CTTGGCCACAGAAACCAACTCTCCTTTAAGCCATATGGTATTACTTTATCTCCCATGTAAATGAGACAAAATGTGAAGGTATAGAAAACCCACATTTTTAATCACGAGTTAAATTATATACACATATCAACATATAATTCAACTCGTGGTAAAAAATGTGGATTTTTTATACCTTCACATTTTGTCTCATTTACATATAGATAGAACTTTTCTTGGCCACAGAAACCAACTCTCCTTTAAACACAAGTGCCATATGGTATTATTTTATCTCCCATGTAAATGAGACAAAATGTGAAGGTATAGAAAATCCACATTTTTAATCACGAGTTAAATTATATACACATATCAACATATAATTCAACTCGTGGTAAAAAATGTGGATTTTCTATACCGTCACATTTTGTCTCATTTACATATAGATAGAACTTTTCTTGGCCACAGAAACCAACTCTCCTTTAAACACAAGTGCCATATGGTATTATTTTATCTCCCATGTAAATGAGACAAAATGTGAAGGTATAGAAAATCCACATTTTTAATCACGAGTTAAATTACATATCAACATATAATTTAACTCGTGATTAAAAATGTGGATTTTCTATACCTTCACATTTTGTCTCATTTACATATAGATAGAACTTTTCTTGGCCACAGAAACCAACTCTCCTTTAAACACAAGTGCCATATGGTATTACTTTATCTCCCACGTCATTGATGGTTATTAGGTGGTTATTTTACCTGACTGCTTAAAAAGCATAAATGCTTGTAAGTAAGCAACCAGACGGCCGACCAGGCGCGGATCCAGGATTTCTTGGGGGGGGGGGGCCAAATTTGAAATTATGCAAGCCAAATATTGGTACGTAATGGTGACCAGCAGTGATGTAATTGGGGGGGGGGGTGGGTGCAGGGAGGGACGATTTTTCCCCCTCCCTTCTTCGCGAAGCGCGGAAGCTTTGACATTTCAGTAAATTATTAGAGATAGGAGACGATTCGTTGTGTCGTTATCGACTCTTAATCTTCGTCTAAATTCAGGTTCCCCCTCTCGCGCGAAGCGCGGAAGATTTTACGTTTCATTAAATTATTAGAGAAAGAAGACGAATCGTTGTAACGTTTTCGACTCTCAATCCTTGTCTGAATTTCAAAATGTTCTTTGTCTACTCCCTTTTCCTTTTCACTCCTCTCTTTTTTTGGCCGGCATTTTTTGGGGGACCACCCCACCGCCCCCTGGCTACGCGCCTGCGGTCAGATGAACATATGTTGATACCTTGTCCGCCCCGGAAGCTCAGGGGTTTAAGGCAATAATTTACGGTCAGATTAGCACTCAGGGGTCCACCTTAGTGCTCTCGGCGGGGTCCAAGGGCAGAGCCCCCGAAGTTCAGGGGTTTTAGACATTTAATTACGATCAGATAAGCATTATTTTGATAACTAATTGTGACACTGGCAGGTTACTAATTGGCGTGGGGTTCAGGGGCGGAGCCCCCGGAAGCCCAAGGGTTTTAGGCACTCAATTACGGTCAGATGAGTATCAAGGGGCCCGCCTTAGGGCTCTTTGTCGGGTCCAGGGGGCAGAGCCCCCGGAAGTTCAGGGTTTTAGGTGTTTAATTACGGCCAGATGAGCATTTTTTGATACCTTATTATTTTGTGACACTGGCAGGAAACTATTTGGCGTTGGGTCCAGGCGGCAAAGCCCACAGAAATCAGGGGTTTTAGGCATTAAATTACCAACAGATGAGCATCTTAGGGTCCGCCTTAGGGCCCTAGGTGGAATCCAGGGGGCAGAGCCCTCGGGGTTTTAGGCATTTAATCATGGTCAGATGAGCATATTTTGATACCTCATCATAATGTGACACTGGCAGTTAACTATTTTTTTTTCTTTCTTGCTCTCTTTCTTTCTTTTTCTCTTTAATATACTTTTTCAAAAAAGTGGGTGGTGGGGGGGGGGGGGGTGGGGGTTCGAGGATCCCGATCCCCGCCGTTCCGCGAGCCCTGACATGTAGGCATCTCAAGAAGCATTTCCTTGTCTGGCTGTAAATTTAGGAGTTTGTCATTTTCCAACAAACGCATTAAAAAAGTATAATATACTTAAAATTATGTCATTTCAGCATTATTTGTAAATCACCGTTATGGAATTAGAAATAAACCACGTTTGAATTTTATTCCCCCCCCCCCCCCCGATCTACACCTTGTTGGCGGGAAAATTGCAACTGATATCCCTTACCTTTCTTCATTCTCTTTCTTTTTCTTTCCCTTTCTCTCCTCTTTTCCTTTCCCTTCCCTTCCTTCTTTCTCTTTTATGTTTGCTGGAGGAGGGCAAGGTCATTTTGGCCCCACCCCGCTCCACACATTGTTGGCGGGATTAACCGCAACTGATCTCCCTTTCTTTTCTACTTTTTCTTTCTTCTTTCTCTTTTTTGTTCCCTTTTAGCTCTCCTCTTTTAAGGCAAGGGCCTTTTGTCCCCCCCCCCCTCCGATCCACAATCTGTTGGCGGGAAAATGGCAACTGATATCCCCCTTCTTTTGTTTTCTTCTTCCTCTTTCTTCCTTCCCTTTATCTCCTCTTCTTTTTTTATCTTTCCCTTTTCTTCCTTCTATTTTTATTTTTTGATTGGGGGGAGACAACAGCCTGGGAGGCAAGTCCTTTTGCCCCACCTCCCCGATCTCCTTCATCCCTCTTTTCCTTTCTTCTTCGTCTTCTTTTTTTCCCTTTCTCTCCTCTTTCCCTTTCCCTTCTTTTCCCTCTCTCTGTCTCCTTTTTTTGGGGGGGGGGGGGGCAAGGCCCGCTCGGCCCCCCCCCTGGATCCGCGCCTGTACAGAAGATTGTTTCATGATTCGGGAATTTTCGCTAGTCAATTTGTTGATGGCGGGGTTTTTGTTGTCCGATGAACTTGGGGTTTGTAAGCTTGAAAGTACCGCAAAGGCGGTCTAGATTAATGCAAAAATAAGGCAATGACAACAACAAGTGTAAATTTTAAGTGATTTATTTCATCATTTTGTCTTAAGGATATTTACACCGATTTTGCATGGTATTTCAGGATTTCCAGTCTGAAAAAAGCAAGGTGAACACGGTAGCTCGTTTTGCCATGAGTATGACGTAATTACGGGATACATAATGACTATCTGGTCTTCTCCCTGACTGGACGGCTCTCAACTTCCTAAAATATTTGTATTTTCCTCTTATTTCTTGTTTTAAACAATTGGCGTGTCCAGGGGAGGGGCAAGATGCCCCGGCAACAACCTTTTCCGAAAGCCTTAAGTTCACACAAAAGTGTGCTCCCGTTACAGCAAAATGTATTACTAACCATAAAAATCGTACCACTCGGGCCTGTAATCATATTAAAAAAAAGAATATCCGCCCATTTTCCTTGTCATATAGATGAATGTGACTTGTAGCCTATTATTCTAGATGAAAGTAATGAACAGGATTTACATCTCAATACATACTCTTGATGACACATGTTTAAACGCCACACATAATTTGTGTTGTTGATAATGTAGAAGGGTTTATTAGAGGAGGGGGTGTTTAGAGAAAAGAAAGCTTTGTTAGATTGACTAATTTAGACAATGAAAATACATTTTCCTTACATGATTTGGGTCGGGTCTATGAAAAAGAAAATCATTCAACTAGGGATCATTTTAATCTAGAGAACAAATCAGAGTTATCTCGAAATTTGCAATTTTCACGTTTATATGCTAACGAGCTGGGAAAAACCAAGCGTAGATTATTTATTCCTGAGCTTACAGGCTGATTTGAGATCTGCCTCTATTTTACCTTGAAATACAGTGCTACAACGAGCAACTAAACTTGATTAAAATTGCTATCATAATATTGATGATGATGTTAGCAATAATAATGATAGTCATAATAGTAATAATCATAATGATGATACAAATAATGACAATAAAAGAAGCAATAATGATAATACTAATAATACTAATGATAATGATCATGATGATAACAATAGCGTGCATTTGATAAATACAAACTGGTCAATACCATCAACAAAGCTCCATCAATTAAATCCAATATACAGGTAGGCCTACTCTCAAATCCTGGAAAATGTATTACTGTGATAGATCAATGCATTTGATATTGAACTCACTTTAGTTATTGTATATGTGTAGGCCTATTTTAGTCATTTCACTTTCATAGTATCCGCGAATGCATGTTTTGATTCAATTAAATTCAACATAAAAGAAGAATGAAGAAGAAAGAAGAAAGAGAGGAATGAAAAGAACCAAAGAAAACATACATAGAGAGATAGAGATAGAGATAGAGATAGAGAGAGAGAGAGAGACACACACACACACACACACACACACGCACACACACACACACGCACACACACACACACACACACATGCCCACACATACACAGGCAGACAGAGAGAGAGAGGGGGAGGATAGAAATATAAAAGAGACAGACAGACATAATTATGTTAGACAGATAGACCAGTCTGCCATATAAACAACGGAAATCGAACCATGAGGATGTTGATAAACCATCCAAATCAGATGTTGAAATAAAAATTCATCATCCAATAACAAAAGGCAAATTCTATACAATATATAAAATTTATTATATATATATTTATATATTTTTGCGTGTTTATCTGTTAACGTATCACTACGTAGATACCATGATCACAACCCGTCCAATAATCTACTATTCAAACATTTTTGGATCTCAAATACACCATTTATGTTTCAGTGGCAGATCTAGGATGTTCTATCCAGGGGAGTCGGAGGAGGAGAGGGGGGGGGGGGGGGGGAGGGAACAAAAACAAAAACAGAAAAAATCTTTAAGTTCTGGAATTACGTTTCTACTCCAAAGTCTTTGACAAGTCCCCCCCACCCCCCCCCCCCCCCAACAAATGTTCAAATGTTATTAAACCCCAGTAGTTGTTAAAAGAAGAACTTTGTCACATGAACCCCCTCCCCTGCACCACCACCGTGTATTTATTGTTCAACATTCAGGAAAACCACAAAGAAAAAGACATAATTAAAATATTTTTAATGATTTAATTAATGATTCATATATCTCCATTACCTTCAAAAACAAAATATAAATCTGAAAAAACATTAATTGAAAGCCACTTGAAAAATAAAATTAGAGCCTTTGGCAATGCATAAATTTCATATTTCATAGTACTTGGAAGCACCATATTTTTAGCAAATGACTACAGGAAGCTGTGCATGGGTGTTTAATGTACAAGGCATTGGTTCATGTAATAAAATTGAAATTCCACTAACAATGGTCATGTATGAATGCTTAGCTTAGTCACATCTTTCTAGTTTAAGAAATACACCTACACGTAAGTCTTGAAATCACAAGTTGCCAGCAGAAAACTTATTAATTTCAATAGGGGAAAGCATGCTCAATGTTCTTTTACAATACATCGATTGACTCTGCAATTAACATTTGTAATAATAGAAACATTATAATGAAATGTTAATCAATAATTTAAATAATTTTAAAAGACTTAGATATTGCACAATCAAATTATCTGATCAATTGTATATATGTATGATCATAAAAGTTGTTCTAAATGAGTAATGCAGTCATTTGCAAGCAAACAGTGATGCGTTTGTTTTAGAGAGCTATGTTCATCAGCGATGAAATTAAAATGCACTTATTTCATGAATTTTTACCAACTCTAGCTAGCTTCGTCTGTTATAGCTTTGTTTACATGACACACCTATCAAATTCCATAGAAAGAAAAATTATTATTACTTTCATACAAACTTATTTACAACAGATTTTAAAAATATAATTAATATCTGATAAATTAAGTAATAATTAATTATACACATGCAGAAAACAATAATTAGGAACATAATTTAGCACCTGACATTACCCAATACAGTCAAAATCTTTGAAGTGGCCTATCATTTCACATTCATGGTCCTTTCATTCATATATCTCTTCCCACTACGCTATATTGGGAATTTTGTTTTGCACATACACTTCTATAACCATATAATATAAGGATAATATGGCAATTATTGGATGATTCATAGTATTCAAGCTTGAAAAAGATATAATTCAGAGAGAAAATATTCAATAAACTAAAATGAGGTATATCAATATAATCATGTACAGAAATATAACATTATGCAGCAAGAAGAAGGGAATGAACAAAAATCAAAAGAACGTCAAATAACTAGTGCCGCATTAGAATGTGAAGTAAGAATATATATTTTTGCGCACCCACCATAGAACCATATACTCTATCATAAACTATAATAATCATTGTTAAATGTACAGAAGTGTTAGAAAGTGTTCAAAATCAGATCTGCCTTGAGGAATCGGTGGGAATAAATTTAGGCAACAAAAAAAGCAGAAATGCAAATTCTCTGATGAACAATTTTTTTTCCTGAACACTCAAACTTGGTTACTTGAGGAGGTGGTAGAAACAACATTTTAAGTCCAATAGCGAGACCTACCAGGATATCTGACATTCCTTTTTGTGGGACCTGCTAATACTTATACCAAGAACAATTGAATGAGTGATTTCCCAATCACAACTCCATAACTATGAGAAATAAATTCATGAAATATACCTGATGTGGTCATTGTCCTTTTTAGGCTACAAATATACTGTCAGTTTATAATGCCTCTTTAGCTATAAAGCAATAACTAGATGTACATGTATTTTGATTTTGTTTGCATCAATCAAAAGCCATTTCCCCCACATATCAATGCACTCTTCACATTGAATCATAGAAGTGAATAAAAAGATAGATATACAAAATTTGATCTTGATAAATGATGAATTTCATGAGATAATTCGTTGATAGTGCTGGCAAGCTCATGAACCAGGAATGAAAACCATGAGAAATGGCAAGATATAAATGGAAAATTAGTTCTTACATTTCAAACATGCTACATTTCTTCAACTTGTTAGACAGTTACAAAAAAAAAAACTTATGATGGAAATCTAAAGACGTTTTGATAACTCTTTCACAAAACAAGAAATATATTAATCTAATTATCTAGTTATGAATCTACATTTATTTCTGAAATATCACAAAAGAAAGAAATATGGTTTACAATACTGGGCATTCTTAAACAGCTTCTTTTTTCTTCTTATTGGCAAGTATTACTTACATTTGATACAATTGGCAAGGATACCTTTCATTAAGCAAAATTGAATCTCTTAATTCTAGTATTACATGTCATTTTGGAATGAACATCATATGTGTTTTAACTCAAATTTTACAGAAGTTATTCTGATCTGATATTTTTAGGCAAGCGATGCTTAATGATGAGCATCATACATGTCAGCACAACTGTAGTTGGCAAACAAAGTAATACACATTATACCCTACCTTTCATTAAATGGTATGCGTGGACATTAAAGTATATAATAATAGAATGACTCTGCATTAAATTTAAATTGGATGCAAAGACTGTACAGTAAACTAGATATCTCTTCACCATATAACAGAAATTATTGTATTTATTTACACAAGTAAAAGGTGAGGTACATTTATACATAGTGTATATATTGTACATGTAGGTGGTTGTTTGAATGATCTAGTGTGTAGAGCATGTTTTGTCTGCTGTCAGCCAAAATGACCTTCTACATGTATGCAGCATTGAGTGAGCATTGTTTTGTTTCTCAGCAAATCAGAGAGTGCAGGATCCTCTCATTCCATTCTTAAAGGCCATCAGAAAATTGTCCAACATGAAACAATCAAAGAAATCATCTGATAATCTGTATCAACCTGCATGATTGCCAAAAACTTGACACATAGAGAGCACCTTTAGTGCACTTATAAAACACTAATGTCATTTGATGATATACCCGGTAACCAACAAAATAAAAAATAAAATGATTGTTTGATTTATGTTGTGTCATAAAGGAAAGATTGATAGATCTATCAAAAATACATTTATACCCTGTGAATACATGTAGTTTAAATGTGGTATACTAAATTGACTTCTACATTCATTTATATGACCCCTGCGAACCCTTGCAACCACCTTTGACCTGTACGATGACCTAACCTGTATCCTGGCAACATCAGACCAATTCAAGGAAGCCCCATCATGTCTAGAAGAGCGTTGATCTTCACGTCTAGCCACGCTGTGTGACTCTTCTTGAAGCAACGGACCCAAGAGGGCGGTAGATTCTTGAAGCCGAACCAACAGCCTAAAACAGCACCAGCCACCGATGCATTATGGGTGCTATCACCTCCTTGCATGGCAATCTGTGTTATCAATGACCTGTTGAAAAGCAATTGCACAAAAAAAAATTAGTGACAGTAGAATGGACATTTTATGGACAAAATTAGCATTGAGTGCGATAAAAAAAAGTCCCTACATGTTTAGAAAATGAAATGATACAGTATAACTTCAAGTACAATATAACTTCAGAAAATATTTAGGTGAAAAGGGAAAACATACATGACTCATCTGGACAAAGATTATGATTCCTTACCCCCCCCCCCTTCCCCGCCCAGTTAAAATGCATTCAAATTTCAAACTATTACATTTACAGTATCAGACAAGGAACGTTGAATTGTACTCAAAAGCAGTGACCCTCTAGGAGAGGATAGCAATATAAATATCTCTCACTCATTATTTTAATTATTATCAACAAAATTGGTAATCATTATCACATTAACCTTATCATACAATCCTTAATCTTTCATTCTAACAGGGGAAGTAATGAAACACAACTAGAAACAATTTGTTATGCTTGTTTGTAAGGTCATGATTGCATAACTTATTTTCATGATTTTATCAATCTTTCAAAACATTTTTAAGCATCTGAAAATAATAATTGGATTTTGTAATGCTCACATCATGAAAAAATATATGGAGTGATTAGAGATTAGTTGTTTTAATATTATGTCACAGAGTTGAGGTAACAGGTGGTTTTATGATTCTATAAAATGCTAAAATGTATTCCATTCATTCTCTTTTCAAATTAGTGTTTCAAACACAAAGCCTAAAATACTTAAGATAATCACCTTGAACAATAAACCAAATACAATTACAATATGAATTGCCAGTCAAAATGCCTTTAACTACTTTATTTTGCAATTATCAAAATGACAGACAAATAAATGGTGTTGTTTTGACAGACCTGAAGTTTGAAGTGCTAGACATCCTGAGAGCTGCTAAACAAGTGGCCACTGGTCTGAATGTATGACTCGGTTTGTTGACATCAAGTGACGTCAAACTGTAATTATTTCAAATTAATATCATCAAACAAAATACTTAAGTGTTGTTGCATCACTGAGGATTCTTTATGATGAGGCGTTCTAATTACCTTATGTAAAGACAAATCATAAAATTCCATCCACGTTTTGAATGTTTTATCATGCACTTAACCGCTATGCATAATATGTATGTGCCGGTACGTATTTTATGGAAATTAGACAAAATTGTTTTGCCCAAGTAAAATTCTAAGATTCAGGGCGTTTCACAAAACTGCCATAAGAACAAGTTCACAGACATCCCGTTCGAATACATATTAAATCTAATGCACGCATTACAATGGGTTGTTGACAAGCTTGTACTTATGACAGTTTTGTGAAACGCTGCCCTGGTCGCTTGTAAATAGACATTTATAAAATTGCAAAGAGGATTTCATATAGATCTGATAAATGAAATCTTTCAAAAATATATGAAAAATATTATGCTCTAAAACTCTATTGGAGCATGCATGCACGTGTACTTGTCAAAGAAGACATTCCTGTGTGGATTCGTGTATTGAGGTTTGACAGATCTTCAAAATACATAAACTATTCAACTTTAGAAAAATTTGTGCTTAAAGATGCTTAAAGTGTAGAAGCAGTACATATGAGTGACAATAACTTGGAAATTGCCTTGGAAATTACTAAGTAATTAAAATAATGTTAGAGTTATTATTAATATAATTGTGCAAAAAGAAAATCATTAACAAGCAACATTTCCCCACTTGATAACACCAAACTAGAAATATAGCCCTTCTAGCTACCTGCAGATGATGGTATAAAAGGTAAGATTTCATGTTTGAAAATACTTCAAATGATACATTATCATGTACGACAGTCAAAGTGAACCTGTTCAAGCATTTTATAAAAAGCATTGAACATTTTATGTTCATATATCATAACTTTCAATAATTTTGATATGATACAGAGTAGAATTTATTGAACACATCTATATGCATATGATATCAGTCAAGTTTCAATGCTTGATACAAAGTAAATTGTTTGAAACATACATCATACCTGTCAATACTTGATACAGAGCAATACTTCTTGAACATCTGTTGGTGTTCATCATGGATTAGATGTTTTCTTCCAATCTCTGTTGCCACGGTAATGATCTTCTCCAGGGAAAGATCCTCGGACGATGACGAGTTGCAGTCCTTCTGAAGAATTAATGCTACTAGTGATGATAAGAAAGCACAGCTGGCCTGACACCTGCACATCATTAAAATAAATATGGAGTACAAATTTAATCCAATTCATTAAAATAGCTCACTCTCTTGATTGAAGCAAATTTGTAAGGTTCATTGGGGACTAGTAATTCTATGTCACTGCGCCACTTTCAAAGAATTTGGGCGAGAAATAATAAAAGATGCTGCTTAAAAAGGGACCCATTAATGTGTCTCTGGTGACAATACATCCTTATCTGCTGCATTTTATATATTTGTTTGTATCTATTCTCATGTCATTTGTTCATCTTTTCGCTAAATGTCGCAATGTATCCCAACACAAACGACAGGGTATAAATTCAGGGCCTGACGCTACTTCATTAATGCAAAAACAAAATAAATCATAAGTACTTTTTTTCTGTCTAAATGAAATAATGAACAAAGTTTGCCTCCATCTCCCCCCTCCCCCCTCACTACACATGTATCTATCTGTCTGTCTGTCTGTCTGTCTCTTTCTTTCTCTCTCTCTCTCTCTCTCTCTCATCATGTCTCTCCTTTCTTTAATATTTAAAGGCAAAATAACAATATGTAACCAATCATCCAAATGATATTTAATTAGAAGATATAAAGGCCTAGAGTATATAATCTTCATGCTTGTGCCAAAACATGTGAATTGATGCACAGAACTTCTTTATACATTGTTAATTAGCAATGTTTACAGGTTGTTACATTTTGTTGAATGGTACTTAGCTGGAAAAAAATATGAAGAATTAATGCAATCATATTTAAAGATGTTCATGCGATGGTATAGATGTCGTGAAGTAGGCAACTTTGCGATCACTACATACCACTCAGCCAATGGGTATTACGATCCCATGCGTACGTCCGTGTGCTGCCCTCCTTATATACTCAGACTTGATAATAGCTGAATAACTATATTTTGTAGTGTTTTCTTACCAGAACTCAAGTTTATCTTTAACTAAGAATTTCACATATTTTAATGAATCTGAGACAAAGTACCCCTTATATCACCATTCCGTTCTATTAAAATCAGAGAATGGTACTCATCAATGCACTTCTCCAGAATTAATGTTTTCCTTTAATTTTGTCAAGCCAATCAACTTTTGTAATTTAATCATTTTAATTAAAAGCTCTACAAGGTTACAGTGCGCTTTCTCCAATAAAGGTACTATGTCCCATTTTCAGGCCAAAAAATGAAAAGGTTAAATTCCAACGGCATTTGAAAGATAATACTAATTTAGAACTTCTGTCTTCAAGTGGGAAAATAACGACTATTAGTTATCAAATCGTCTTAGGAGCTATAGAGCCAATAAGTAATAGTCTTGATTTTCAGACTATAGTACCAAATTGTCATACGTTTTATGCTGCGCAAAGATTCAATCAGTTTAATTTTGGCAATCACAAGAAGTGGGTTAATGTAGACAAATGCTCATGTACTCTTTGCAGCTCATTTTATGTATGTTATTACCAAAGAAGAAAAAAAGCCAGTCAGTCACTCAATAGTGTCTGACAGTGAAGTCTAGCAAGTAAACGGGTTGCCTTGCATAAATTGAATATTAGGACCCTGCTAAAGTTTAAATTTCACAGATAGGACATACATGACATATTCATAATTCCTGCAAAGTTCTACAGAATTTGAGGTTGGCTGCAAAAGGGACATAGTACCTTTAAGTTGTAGAAATTGTTGTTCTCAACTAAGAATTTCATATATTTTAATAACTCTAGGAAAAGTACCCCTCATGTCACCATCCTCTTCTTCTGCAACTAAACAGAGTTGTAAATCAATTTGTCAGGTGGTTGCAGATTTCAAACCTTTAACAATTTCGACTACATGTATAAAAAAAGGCTTTTCGTTTTTAGTAAAAGATTCCTAAGTATACTTTTAATTCACCACAAGAGATATGATGAACCAACAGAAACTTCAGAGGAAGAGCATGTTGCATTCCTCTCTAGCAACATCCGTTTACCAAAAAAAATAAAAAAATATGCACATATTAATTTTCTTTTACGCAATATCATCGCAAGATTTAATGTAAACATTAAGAAACAAGTTGTTTTTTATCAATTCCTAAATATACAAATGCAATTGACCAAGTATGAAAAAAATGTAAGAAAACACAACATCATACCTTTAAACTTCAGCATACTACAGTATAATCTTTAAAGGGGGTGTAAACTGATGAATACAGGCGTACGCCATCTACATGTACGTCTCCTTTTGGACAACTGCACGTAAATAAATGGACTTGACTAACGGTAGTCAGCGACTTAATCTCTACATGGTCAGCGTTCTCGAAACATACCGAAGTTCTTCTCATGCTTCGGTTTTGCATAATGCATATAATTATGTTGCACGCACATGATTGCTGCGGTTGCGTCCGTAGTCGTATTATACCCGATTGGCCCCGAGTCAGGCTATGGGAAAGACCCGTAGTCTCGTCGGTTTACAACCCCTTTAACATCATGCTCTTGTTTTCATTTTGCTACTAACCACAATTTATTTTTCCATATAGACGATAGTCCAATTTTAGTAAGAACACTCAACTGTATGCAATGGTCGTGGGTTCACAACACCTGTGTGCTTTAACAAGGCAGTTTTTCTACATCGCCCTTCTCGACCCAGGTGTATAAATATGTAACCTGATAGTAAGTGAACAATGTGGTTTGAACTTGAACATATATACACACCTGTTAGATGGTGGCTGACTTAAAAATGTTCCCCAGGGCCCAGGGAATATACAGGGAGCATATCAAGGTGTTCAGGTGTCATAAGACTGTGGAATACATGTTTTGTGGTATGGGTACCAGACCAGCACTAATTAGTCAACATTTGCCATACTTCGCCCCATGGCAGAAAGCCAGAAAATGGGTAGGAAGATAGTCCTTGAATGCTTTTAAGCACTTTATGGCAGCTGGCCTAAGGATAGGGCAATGATATTACTTTATAGTACAGGTGTTGTGGTCTAGTAGATAAGTCACCTGACTGCAGATCACAAGGTACGAGGTTCAAATCCCAGCCTGAAACTGACGTTCTTTGGAAAGACGTTAATCTACATACACTGTATGCCACTCTCCACCCAGGTGTTAAATGGGTACCCGGTATGATGCGAAAGTTAATGTAGTTTGCTCAACATTGTGAGCATCTGTAAAATGTTGCCTGGCTGAAATGCTCCTTTTTTATGATAATGATGATGCTACATATATGTAGCATCATCATTATCATCAAGTGTCTCAAATTGTATAAATATAAGTAGACTGCCTTTTGCGAAACACAGAAGACAAAACTCAACTCAAACTAGATGAATACGACTGCATTTCTAACATGTGTGTCTGTTGGTAAGTGATCCCTTAATGTTTAAAGGATCCCCAACTTTTAAATTTATCTATTTGTACATACTTGAGTCCAGTTTTGATGGATTATAACACTTTCATGACCCTATGATGTTTCATCTTGACCTCCTTCATCCAAAATATAATCAGTTCATTCTTGCACGGTTGCTCATACATCCAAGTTTGATTTGAATTGCCTAAATGCATTACAAGTAATCACCGGTAATCAGATATTTTCTGGCATTTTTGATAATTGTTATGCCTCTGTTACATTTGATCTTTTCCGCCCAAAATTCTAATCAATTTATTCTTGTATGCTCAATTATATTTCATTCAAGTTTGCTTTAAAGAAAAGGTTCTCATTGCAATTGTAAACTAACACTGAGTGAGAATATCTCATTTGCTTAACTTGTAAATTCAAGCAAAAATTATAAAAGTTGATTACGGTAATATTGACGAAAAATCAACCCACTCAAGACCTCCAGAATGATCGTAATCAAGACTCAAAATACACGGGGGCGACGGGCGATTCACCCCCATGAGCTACATAATCACCTCCGTCAGATTGCTTACGGGGGCGATTGCAAGATTAAAAATCACCCCTGTGGAATTATAACATAAAGATTATCTTTTCTTTCATAACTTTCACAAAATATTGAGTTTCAACTTTCAAACCTTAAACCAATAAAATGGAATTATGGAAGTTAGATTAGTGTGCTGGATTTCTCGATCAAATTTTTCGATGTCTGGAGGTCGCCATATTGTAAACAAATGTATGTTTATTCACCGCAAGATTTCGCTATATCTACCATCTCCACATCTCTATGAGTATTACCGATACAAACAACAGAAGCTCGCAGAGCAGTGCTTGTAAAGTTGTAAGAGGGAAAATGCAGATTTAAATAAATGATAATGATGAAATAGCAAAGAATTTAGGAGCCATGGGTACCAATTCAATGGAAATTTGTATTTAAAAAAGAGCCCCTGTCAGTACTAAAAGAGCCCCCTTGCATGATCATAAACACCCGATCAGAGTTTGGTTAAAATCCATCCGATGGTTCTTGAGATATCGCAGTAACGAAAAGCACAACGGATGGACATCAAGAACGTTGACATACTGATAGGTCGAAAGTCACAGTGTGTTTCAAACTTTGAACATTTCTTCTTTTTTATGCGAGAGGCCCCAAGAGATACTTAAAGTAAGCATAATAATAATAATAAAAAACATAATGTTAAAATAAGATTCCTACCTTGGATCCTGGTGTGTTGATGTACATATCCTTAAAGCATTCTCCTCCACCTCTTCTAGTCTGTAGAAATGAGGCACTCCAAGGATAGCTGTTCTCACTACGGCACAGTTATCAGCTAGATGTTCACAGGAATCAGAGTCATGACAATCGTAGTTCCTGTTCCACAAACCTCTTGCTATGGCACTGGGTTCTTGACAGAACAAGGGGTTGGCTATCACCTGGGTGGAGATGAACAACAACAAAAAAGCAAAAGCTATCAATAACAAATGGAATACAATCTAATTTAAAGACCTTATCTGAACTGAAAAATAAAATGGATGAATAATATATATCAACGGAAAGCTTATAAGCCAAAGATTACAATAATATCAATTATATGCCATTTTAAGTTTGTCAGATGAGTATCAGCTCTCTCAAAACTCCAAATCTAAAGCTCTGAAAACCGGAAGTTGTTGACCTAACAACTTGCTATTGACTTGATGACATCATCCTATGCATATTCACAATGACTTTGCATTAATTAAGTACGGCTCATCGCCTCAGCTATATTGGTTAACCAATCAGTCCACATGTTATGTTGTCACTGTATTAACTTAGGCAAATTTGACCCCAGTTGATCTGTAATTTGGAGGGGTGCGGGAAATGAGGTTTTGACTTGCTTTTGTGCAATAATGAAAGGGTAAATACTTTTTGTTACTCTCTACATTCATTCAGTTTTCCATTGATATCAAGTTGTATTTTCATTGAATAAGGTCTTTAAGTATGATAGATATATATATATATATATATGAACCATAGCCCAAGTTGTCTCAGACTTAGTATTCAATGGTTCGATATTTGTATTTTTCTTTTTAACATGATACTTTAAACCAAAATTTCATGAGTTTTGTTGTAATATATCCCCCCTGTAATATGGTTTCCATCCAATGTGATTCAATTCATACAGCCTTTTATCATATGTAAGCTCCCTTCAAGGTATTTAATGGTTTAGGTGAATGGATGAAAACCTAATCCTTTCTTATCATCTGCTAATACTTTTCTATGAAGCTTTTTGCAAGTTGAAGGTACATTGGATACAGTGAATTTAAAAAATTGATATGCCTTAATTACTAATAGTTATAACATTCATTTGTATCATCTTCTTGTGTCATTGTTGATTTGAACTTTCTTCACTTAATTTTGTTCCCTCTTGATCTTTTCTCTTTAATTAACTTTAAAAACATTCTCATGATCAATACTGTATTTTCCCCTTTTTTTCCTTTTCATCCTATAAACTGATCAGAGATCAAAGGAAGTTTTCTCTTACCTTAGCCACAGTATTACTGAACCCCTCGAATCCCTTGGTATCACCAAGCTCCGGAAAGCCATGATTGTACCAATGAGCAAGTCGTTTGGCAAAGTCTAATTCATCTACCACACCAGCCCATTGGAGAATGGAGTCCAAGGTCAGAACCTGGAAAGAACAAAAGGCAAATCATCATAAAATGATTTCTATTTCACAATGAGATCATTCAATCTTTTCAATCTCATCATTTCAATCTCACAATGAGATCATTTCAATCTTTTAAATCTCATCATTTCAATCTCACAATGAGATCATTTCAATCTTTTCAATCTCATCATTTCAATCTCACAATGAGATCATTTCAATCTTTTCAATCTTATCATTTCAATCTCATCATTTCGCTCTCACAATGAGATCATTCAATCTTTTCAATCTCATCAATTCAATCTCACAATGAGATCATTTCAATCTTTTCAATCTCATCATTTCAATCTCACAATGAGATAATTTCAATCGTTTCAATCTCATCATTTCAATCTCATCATTTCAATCTCACAATGAGATCATTTCAATCATTTCAATCTCACAATGAGATCATTTTAATCATTTCAATCTCATCATTTCAATCTCACAATGACATCATTTAAATCTCACAAAGAGATCATTTCAATCATTTCAATCTCACAATGAGATCATTTCAATCATTTCAATCTCACAATGAGATCATTTCAATCGTTTCAATCTCATAATTTCAATCTCACAATGAGATCATTTCAATCATTTCAATCATCATCAGATCTCCTTCACAATTATTATCACTGGCAACTGATGTCAGTTCTAAATAAATCAAAATTGATTGAATACACTTCTCTGCTACAAGAAATAGTAACTGCATATCTTTAAATACACAAAATGACTGAAGTTCTTTCCTGAAATCTGCTATCTTACCAATTGATCAAAGGCAGTAGTCCAGTCTCCCTTGGCCCATTGGAGTCTATGTTTATCACTGATCCTCTGACCAGGATGAAGAGTATCTTCTTCATAATGAAACCTGCATTCATCCTGTGTCATCCAAGCAGTGCACAAACCAACGGCATCACCAATAGCAGCACCATACAGCAGACCTAACAGAGATAAACATCAAGGAAAATGATGACATTTTGCAAGTTGGATGATATTCTCAGTAGAGAAACTCATATTGGATTAGAATATTACATTGCAGTTTATCAATCTAGATACTCTCTCAAATAAAAGTTGATGTACCAATTTTTCATTCATTCACTAGCTTTTTTGTTTCCTTCTGATTCAGTAGAAAGTACACTTTAACAGCACAAGCTGATTCCATCTTATTATTTATTTTTAAACTTAAAAGCCTAATTAGATCATCTGGTCTATTATTTATTAATTCTACATTTAAAAAAATCATCACCTATACTCTGTAAAAAATATTTTATTGTATTCTTTGACTTAGGACATTCCCTATTTAAAATGCCATTTGGTGAATAAATTGAATTAATTTCAATCACATCAACACATCCTAAACTCTAGGAGGTGCTATAGCTCAGTTGGTATATAGCAGTTTTCTCGTAATCCGGCGACACAGGTTCGGAGCCAAGTCGATGCGCTAGTGCCCTTTATTACCAGGTCCCTCGGAGACAACCTAAAGCCGTTGGTCCTCTGGTTTCAAGCATTTATGCTTTCTTAGCAGTCAGGTAGAATAACCACCACAATATAAAACTACACAGGACCCAGTAGAAATACCGGTAGCTCAAACTTACCAACAACTTTATCCATGAGCTCATCTGCTTCCAGAGTAGTAGCCCCTGGAGGGGGCCGAAGAGGGGTACGGATTCGGCTTTTGGTATTGGTTGTCTCCGTCAGCTCTTGGGCATACTGTGCTTGTGCACACTGTGGATTGGCAACACGTGACTGCAATACATCACCTATGATATAATGCAAAAAATATAGTACAGTTTGATAAATTACATGAAATTCCTAAATAACGTTGGTGAGTGATGAAGGCATTTCAGCTCGTGGCAATTTTCTTGAATGGAATAAAATGTGTTTCTGAAAAAGTGTGGATAAGATCTTTCCCTCCTATAGGAAAACAGTATATCAAGAAATTTACTATTAGTAAGTATGATTTATAAGGTAGAACAATTTTTCAACTCGCGAAATGACAGAAAATTCTTCTTGTATGCCTTCAAGAACTTATCAATCCAGTACAAGAGGTGGTATGGACTTTTCTTTCAATTATGGTTTATCATCTGGGCAATTAAAAAAAATTAGAAAAAAATAAAAATTCTTACATACAGTAATTAAAGCCCCACTGCACTTCTATAGCTACTTGCACCCTCTATATAGCAAACAATGTCTAAGTGGTGGCCATTGGTCGCCCATGGTCCCCTTCTTGAAATGTTAATTGACAGCCGATTTGATGAGATAATCACCTGTCAGTGACTATGCAGGGAGGTCTAATCCCTCCTGGCCAAACTAGCGCAGAAAGGCTTTAAATGCCAAACATGTTTAACAAAAATTAATAAGTCTGAAGATGATACATGAAGCAAATTATTTGCAATCATTATGTGATAAAATGAAAGAATAATATAATATACCTCTACATCTTTTAAAGATGTTTCCAGAATTGCTTTTCTTGAGAATGTACCCATTTTCAGACTGCTTCCTAAGAAACTGCAATGTCTTTTCTGATCCTTCATCGCACACGCTCTGTGGAGGTGATGCACATTTATTATTGGATGCCAGCAACACTTCTATTGTGCCCGACTTCCCGAGAGACAAAGGCAACAGTGTTAATGAATTATCCATGACGTTCAACTTATGCAGCGACTCCATCACCCCTATATTCTCCGGTAAAGACTTCAGTTTGTTGCTAGATACGTCCAGCTTTTCAAGCTTCACAAGGTGGATGAAGGAATCCGGGAGATGTTCAAGTTCATTGTGATGAATGAGCAGCGTCTTGAGATGGAAAAGAAGAGAGAAGCTGTCCGGTAGAGCAGGGATGCGGTTGTGAGCCATGTTGAGGTAGGAGAGATGCGGGAGGCGGAGGGGTATCTCCGGTGGAATGACTGATATGTGGTTGAAGCTGGCATCCATGTGTTCAAAGAGTGAGATGGAGTCTACCAGAGCCCATGGTAATTCAGTCAAGGCTCCTTCTAAATCCTCACCAGCTACATGCTAGATGGAAAAAAAAAGAAGCATAAACTAGTCATATTTAAGCCCCACAGCACTACTTATAGCTACTTGCGCCCTCTATATAGCAAACCATGCCTAAGCAGTGATTGTTGGTCCCCCATGGTCCCCTTTTCCTTATGTTAATTGAGAGCTGATTTGATGAGATAACCATCTATCAGTGACCATGCAGGGAGGTCTAATCTCTCCTGGCCAAACTGGTGCAGATACATCTTGCATTTTATTTATTTCTTTTTTAAAATACGAAATCAGTTACATTTTACTTTTGGTATCTAGACTACTTAAGTGACCTTTGATGTGAAAGACAAGCTGTAAATTATACAAACTTTAGAATAAGTCAAATATAGACTTTAAGGCTTCCCCACACTTTCCTGTTAGAGCGCTAACAAGGCCCTTACTTTCTGATAATCAGCACTGGTTATCTTCCTGGTGAGCTTCAATTCTCTCCTCTCATCAGGCCGCACTGGAGTAAAGTCATTCACTTGTAGCTGAACATTCCCCATTTCTGCCTCAATGAAAGTTCCACATCATTTGACAAAGAAGTAGTGAAGTAGAATTTAGAAGTCTATCTATAATTGACAGAAAAAAAAGGATCATACAATCAAAATATTTTTGTAAAAATTTCCTTATTGGTTCTGGATTTTTTAAATTTTTTTTTACAGGTGAGATAAAATGATTTGGACAAGGTGCTACTATCACGGGTCCTTTAACACTAGATGAACAAGGGCAAAGAGTGAGGGGGGGGGGGGTATAAATTGAAAAATATCTAACAACATCAGCAAAGAGATGAGCAGTCAGCAAGATCCTGCATACAATACAGTGTCAGGAGCAGGGGGCGTTTAAAAAAATGTGGTCACATCAGGAGTATGTGGGGACAAGGGTGCAAAATTGACAATTTAGTTTATGGAGGCAAGAAATTTGGCATGCATCAGTTGTTGTTTGGTCAGAAAAAGCTCCATCAATTATTAAAAAGAGTGACAAAAATGAACAGAGAACAGCTAGCCCAAAGAAATCACTCGTTTGAGATGCAGGAGCAACAAGATGGCTGCTGTTTGCATCATTGATTCTTGGTGTACAATACAAATTATTATATGCAACACCCTATCCATGTTATGCTAGTCAATGGACTAGTACTACTCTGACATCGATCACAATCCCATGGGAGAATGGCTAGCGAGAAAACTGCAGACTTTGGAAAGATTGTTGTCCTTGCTAAGTAATCAAACAAAAAAATTCCAAGATATATGACAGTTTTTAATAAAATTATCAGCCAATATTTGTTGGGTTTCTTTATACACGCGAAAATGACCTTTAAATTAAACAAACTGAAATTTGTACAAATTGCAAGAGAAAAAAGTTAAACGGCTGTGCAGAGTTGCGGACCTTCTTTAAATTTTTGTTTCTTGATTTTAGGTTTAAACAAACAGGGTACAAACTACAGGGTAACAGGTGGGTTTTTTAATGAAACATTGATAAAATCACCCATTTAGCACATAAAGATCTGGGAATTAAACACCTAACGGGTATAATATCTTTTACAAAACACAGAAGCTGTTGGATATCATGTTTATTGCTTAAGGGTAGAGCATTCTTCCAGTTGTGGTAAAGGTAACAAGAATAAAAAATTCAACAAATATATTAACACTGAATAACAGCCATCTGATCATGCCAGGCCATGGTGAAAGGAGTAAAGTTTGTACAGAAACGGGAAAGAAAAGTAAGAATCCAATGCGCATGGAAATAACAAGCTTTCCTTACTGCATCAATGTAGCCCTGACTGAGCTGAGCTGAGTGTAGACCAAAAATTTCTGTCTCTTTCGTTTGTTGGCCTCTTATTTGGGTAGGGTCCGCCGTCGGCTAGAGCTCTCCTCTCCTTCGAGCTATAGGAGCCGACCCTACCCAAATAAGACTGAGGCTAACGAATGTCGCTCCTCTGTTTAAGAGGCTAACGAACGAAAGAGACATAAATTTTCGGTCTAAGCTGAGTGCAGCTGATCTGACGTTCGAATCCCATCAACCCCATGACCATTTCCCACCCCCTTATTTGTGCCTATTTAATTACAAAACCAAAGTTATTCTTTATAGTCATGAGGACCAAAAGTTTCAACAAAATATCTAGCAGTGTTGAAAGTTGAATAACTGGAGTCTATTCCATTCTTTTGAAATTCTAATATATTTACCAATTCACTTGTCTTTAGAGCTAGCCCCATTCATTGATTCCGCCCCAGCTGTTTCTTTACAAAACAATACAAATTGTACATGACATCGATATGCAATGCAATAACCATGTGGACTATGACGTGCCAAAATTGAGATAAATCAAGATTAGTGAATATAATGATGTACGTGTAATGATTACATTTACATTACTTAATAAATGCCATCAAATTAGGTTTGAGAGGATCATATTCGAAAACATGACTTTTTTTAAACTAACAGCCTCATAGCTTGTATTTTATATACTCAATAATAAATATCAGACAGCTTTTCATAGATCATACGCGCTTGTGATTTTTCTGAAGTGGAAAAGATGCGACTTGAGAGTGAGAATAGAGGTCGAATATAGTCTGACTTCCATCTATTGTTAGCAATGATGGCTGGAGAATGGCTTGAACTTGAAAGTGATCCAGGTATTTTATTATTTATAATGATTTTTAATAGCGTAATCAAAGTTTGTTTTTTCTTTGTGATATCATAATGGTCCCACATATTGATAATTGTGCCACAATAAGTGAGTAACATGATGAGCGGCGAATATAATACGACGCAACGCCCGTGCATGACTGAAATGAAACAACAACAATATTGAGTTTCCATAGATTGACTTTCTCTAGATTTATGTTTTCTTCATGTAGTCTAGATCTAACCATTTTTTTTTAATGAATTATTATCCTTTACTCGTTGCTACACAAATGTCAACGGAAAAAGACAGCTGGGGGGTCTGGGCGTGGGCGCTGGGCATCTTTTCAATCTATGAAACGGGATCAGAGAAGTTATCATAATTCATAAATATACAAGTTAACCAAGAGGCAACACGCCATTAAAATGTATGTAAGTGTTTATAACACATGTTTTAATAGAATGCCGGTGAACTTGTAGACTAGTTGTACTAATGACGGTTTCTTGAAGTTGAAATGATGTCTGGGGCCAGTTTCTTGAAATCGTCCTGAGCTGAGTCTACTCTAAGTTCACGGCATCCCATAGAAACGTGTGTTAATTCTATAACACATGTTTCAATGGGATGCCCAAGAAGCCCCAAACGGGCCCTTGAACTCTTATTTAACTGTTACTTACAGTGTAAGTCTAAAAACTGTTAAGTAAATTGATCCAGTCATTTAGAGTCTAATCTTTAAAGTCTTTTAATAATTTATCTCATTTAATTTCCAGGTGTGTTCACTCTTCTTGTCCAAGAGTTTGGTAAGCTGATTTTCTATCTTGAACATCAATCAACCACATTACTTATTCGTCTGCTTCTATCTGACATCTAGTTCTGCATGGTCAATAATATTTAAACAAATTTCTGTTACATGTGAGGTGTTACAACAGGCGCGTACGCAGGGGGGGGGGTTTGGGGGGTTAAACCCCCCCCTTTGGAAATTTTTTGTGTGTAAACCCCCCTAAAAAAAACCTAAAACCCCCCCCTTTTGGATTTTTTTTTTTTTTTTTTTTTTTTTTTTTTTAATTATTAAAAAAAAAAAAAAAAAAAAAAAAAATTATTCCCATGGCCGACCTAAAAAAGGTGACCTTACCCCCCCCCCAACGGAGCAAAATGTCAAATTTCCAAATTTCGAGACCAAAAAAAAAAAAAAAAAGTGTCCTCTTACCCCCCCCCCCCCCCCCCCCGCTTATTCAGCGGCTGGCTGAGTCGTTGCGAAATTTTCGGACCGATTTATAAATGTTAAAACCCCCCCCTTGAAAAAATCCTGCGTACGCGCCTGTGTTACAATAACATGTATATATATCTGCACAACCTCAAAGTACGGAGATACACCAACAGCATGGTGGCCTGTACTTCAACAGAAGAAGTAGAATAAGTATTGAATTTAATTGAATTGAGACATTGTTCAATTGACATTGTAAAATTCAAAGCATAAAGATAGAATATGTAGGTATACACTATAGGTATAAAACATATTTCTTTACTTTATTATGAGTATTTTAAGTGATATATTATAATTGTCTAGTACATGTAGCACAATACTGCATACTGATTGAGAAAAACAGGACAAAACATGAATATCTTATACCACATTACTGACAAAATAGATAGCCATAAAATTGTCATTCATATACATGAGTAACAGAATCGTTGAATTATCAATCTTTAACATTCTTCTAAAAAATGATGAATGTTTGTATTTGAATTCAAAAGAGGAATAGGACTAAGAAGAGGAATGAAATGTATATAAGTACATGAGTGAATTCATATTTGTACCTTCCCTTTTCTATTGATTCTGTGATTTGATTTAAATACATGTAGAATTCAGCCTTAATGCTTTTTGACCAGTAGGTACTGGTTCTTATTTTACTTGACTGATTGCCATTGGCATTATAACTGTTCCAACCCCAAAAGAATTATCAAACATGATCCAGCTCTGAAATATGTGTGTTAAACTCTCATCGATTCTAGGAACAAAAGGTGTACAGGTTGAAGAGGTGTATGACCTTCAAAAGCCTATAGATGGACCGGTCTATGGATTCATCTTTCTCTTTAAATGGATTGAAGAACGTCGAGCGAGACGTAAGGTTCAGTCAATAGCGGATGATGCATACGTCACTAATCCAGGCCTGCTCAAAGACATGTTCTTTGCCCATCAGGTAAGCTCAGATCTAGTTGATAACAGTCGGGGGAAAAAAGATGATTTAATCGGTCAATTATTTTGTCTTTTGTATAGGGTATCTTATCATTACAAAATAGCAATTTATTTCATTATCTTTGATATACAGTCAAACCTGCTTTAGTGACCACCTGTCTACAACAAGCACATTTTTTGTTTCCCTTGAAAATGGTTTCTCATTGAAACATGTACTAAAGGAACCTGTCTACAAAGACCACTTTTTGTGTTTCCCTTGGGCGGTCGCTGTAGACAGGTTTGACTGTATATGGAATAATGTAGAGAAGCATATTCCAGTATCAATAATTGTAAATTAAAAGAAAAGAAAATGTTCCGGTTCTTATAAAACTGTTGCCACTCAATTTATTGAAATAGCATCTTTCATGAGAATATTTTGCCATCATAATCTGTAAGTTCTGAGTGGATGATACCTGCCCATTTCACTTTCCATTCCATTAATTGTGATCTACAATGTATTCCATTTGCTGAATTCAGATGGTACCAAATTCCTGTGCAACACATGCTCTACTCAGCATACTGCTCAACTGCCAAGACATTACCTTGGGGAAAACTCTTTCAAACTTCAAGGAGTTTACTAAAAACTTCAGCCCAGAGGTAAGAATTTATCCCTCCATCAGTCTGAAGTTTTAGAGTTTGTAAAAAGAATTGTAAGTGTTTAAGAAAATACTTTTAAGGTTGTTCACATATGTCTATTACCGGTAATCAAGTGTCTTATGAAATGTATACCTACACAGGTTTGCCTCCAGTCAATCATTTATGGTGCTCCTAGCTTAAAAGTGTGTCGGCCTATTAGTTCAGTTAACCTTATATTGATTTTCAAGTGCATGCTTTGAATAGAAATTAACAGTCTGTCTTTGGTCTTGGTAACTTAAAGGTATAAGTAACTTTGCCTCTGATTCTGAACAAAATTCTGGATTTAGCTTATGCTGCAATCATAATTATAAATCTTTAGGTCAGAAATGAATCACATGATTTTTACAAACCATTTGCATGTTTGTTTATCAAGATACATGTATTTATGATTGGAATTCAAAATTTCAAAACCGTTTTCCCAATGTGTTTTTTTTAACACTACAGTCTACTGGCCAAAATGAGTGGTAAAACCGGTCACTTTGAGGATTTTTACTTTTTGAAGCACAATTTGTTTTAGGGCTTCAAAATTACACCATATCACAGACACGTAATAACACGTAGAGGCATCTCATATTTGTAAAACTGGAAATATTGTTACACAATGCCTTTATTGAAACCAAATCCTGGATACATTCTTATTTGGTTTCCTACCTGCTAGGATCGTGGGGAAGCCATTGGGAATGTACCAGAGATAGCCCAAGCTCACAATGCCCATGCTCATCCAGAACCTCCAAGGTTACCAGAGAAAGCTACCGGAGGAATCACAAGAGCTAGAGAAACCTTCCATTTCGTCAGCTATGTCCCTATAGGAGGAAGGCTCTATGAGCTGGATGGACTCAAACGAGGCCCTCTGGATCATGGTAAGTTGACCTTCATTTACAAACTTTCTAGGATAAATTCTGTGTTTACTTTAAATTGTTAAGTTTTCCATGATGTATGATGTCATTAATGTCCAGATATGCCACATGCCAAATTTTACATTTACTGTGAAAGTGATATGTGTCATTTATGTGTCTTTGAACCAATGTTAAATTCCAAATTTCTTCATCTGAATGGAGATATTGCCACTGATTTCAATGAAAATTAATTATTAATTGGTATTTTGAGGGAATGTACATTAGAATATAGATATATAATTACGGTATATAATACTATTAAAAAAGACCTTTTTGAATGATGCTCTTCATAAGGCCAGAACTGTTTTTTGTTATTAACGAGCTAAGATGCTTGATTCTGATTGTAGGGCCTTGGGATGAAAAAGAAGAATGGACTGCTAAGTTCCAGAGAGTCATCGCTGATAGACTCGAGAATGAAGGGTAAGTGAATATTTTATATATTTTGGCTGTATAGTAGTCATCGTGAACTTCTCTCTTTTTCAGTTTTTATGATTTTTGAATACCAGAATAAGGTTATTATAGTTATGTGACACACATCCGACCATATAGTCATCAATCAGTAATTATCCATGGTTGTAGAGTAGGGCACCATATCAAATTAATTGATTATTCCCTTTTTCTTTTATGGTGTTTTTGTAATTTAAAAAAAAACTCTTTTTCTTTGAAAAAGATTTCATATTGTTTTAGTATATATTTCTTTAAATATAATTTTGTATTAGACAAGTGCACCGTGTCAAGCTGTTTACTTATTCCCTTTGTCTGTTATGGCGTTTTTTTAATTAAAGAATACCTCGTTCTCTTTGAAAATTATTTCATAGTAGTTTATATTTCTTTGAAAATAATTTGTATCTTTCATAACATTCCAGTGGTTCATCTGACATCAGGTTTAGTTTGATGGCTGTAGTAGCAGACAAGAAGATAGCCATAGAACAGAAGCTCTCTACACTCAGATCAAATAGAGAGATTCTACTGCAGACCCTCAATCAGGTAAATACATTACATCATAGATAACTTCCTTTTTCATTTCACATGGAAAAGTAACATTTCTGTTGACAAAATAATTATTTGATATACTTTATATCCCGGTAGACCATTTCACTTTGTCATTCTGATGATAAGTAAATCATTCATGAGAATGAAGCTACATGTAAGACGAGGAAACTTTGTGATTTGAAAATTTTGTTAAACATATTTTTATTTATGTGTGTGCATACCTGTGACTACGTGAAGGTGTGTTGCTGTTCCTGTCCACTCCCGTATTTTGTTTAAACTATTAGTTTTTGCATACGAATGCTTTCATGACATTGCCCCTTCTTATTTATGTGAACTTTTATCATTATATCGGCCTACTCGTACTTTAAGATCAAGCTCAAAATCATTATTTATTGTTCCTCCCACCTCAACAAAAACATACGGTGAACGTTCTTTTATGCACGCCTCCTCAGTCTTATGGAATTCACTTCCAGATTCCATGAGAAATCACAATAATTTGAACAAGTTTAAGGTTTCTCTTAAAACGTATTTATTCAATGTTAAAATTGTACACTCATGAACTCAGCGTCCAACACTACATGTACTTCTTTGTTTCTAAGTGGATTTTCTAATGTGTATGACTTTTTCTTGTAATTCTTTCTTTTCTATTTGAAGCGCATAGGGACATGCTATCCTGTAATGTGTTATGCGCTATAAAAGAACTGAGTATTATTATTATTATTATTATTAATGACAGCCTTTAACAATAAATTAATCAAAACACTTTCTTGATTCGCAAAATTTAGTGTTGTAATTTCAATGATTTTGCTAATCTGGACCACTTGAAGAAAAAAAATAAAAAATTTCTTGCACATAAGAATCTGCTTTTAGATTATTTAATTTGTGTTACATTGTATAAAGACACCCTGCTTTTTATTCAATCTAAGCAATAGAGCATTTTATGTGAATTCATTCTTACAACTATTACAAATTCTACTGGAACTGAACTGCTCTTTTTCCATGATATACAGCTTGTGGAGTCGACACAAAAACCTCCATCTGGGAAACTATCACTCAAGCTGTCCAGAGTGTTTGATGCAAGGTGTGACACAACCAAAGAGCACAGGGAATCGACATCAACTGAAAATCATCTAGGTGACTCTGCAAAGAACCTCCCAAACTTCACATCTCAGCACACATACAGACAACATGCAGAGGAGATCACTTCAGTCAAAAAGAAGAAAAAGAAAAAGAAGAAAAAGAAGAAGAAACATGTCCAGATGGATAAAGGTCCAAGCCCAACACCGGTGGTGTACAAGTAAGAGCTGATATCTAATCGATATCTTATCTTAAGTGTTACCTTGATGTCTTCAAACAAGATTTGGATGTTTGAATCTGAAGGATTAAAAGTTGTTTCAGTATTTCTACCATAATGGATTCTTATCATGTACATTACTTGTTCGGATAGAATGATCACGTAATCTATTATTCTATAATTATGGACATATGTTTGTTGCATCTGCTTATTATTTTATGTGACAATAAAGAAAATACATAAGGAATCAGAAACAGACAATTGAGCCAGTATAGATACCAACAAATAATAACCTTATAATGTCCCAGTTCCAGTGGTTGTATTACATAAAGTTCTTTTTACAAAAATATTAAATGTAAAATTTAATGACTGAATTACATATCTAATCATATTTAGTGAGTTCATTGGTAATTTTTGTGTTTTGCTCTACTTTTTTTATTTTTTAGATTACCAGCAGCCCTTGACAGTCACAACTATTGTAAATCTCCTCTGTCTTGTGATGAACAATCAATGTCAAGCCCCAATACAGACTCGGCAGAATCTGAGAGTGAGGAAGACAAGAGCTTGGACAAGGGTTCGGGCAAGAGTTTAAAGTCGTCTTTTCAAGAGGACCAAAATTTAAAGGCTGGACCAAGTGATACGCAGGAGCAAGGTGCTGAGGGGGCGGGTGAAATACCAGAGAGGGATGAGGGGAACGTGTGTCTAGTTGTGAAGACAGATAATAGTGATGCCGATGGAGGCAGTTGGACAGAGAGTGTGGAGATTGTTGACGTGGAGAATGTGACAGAGGCAAAGGTAGAAAGCACAAAGATGGAAGAATGTAAGAAGGAGGAGGAGGATATCATGAAGGGTGACACCAATGAAATGATGGATGCTCAAGAAAAGGACACCAAAGAAAATGAGAGTAATGAAGGTGAGAGCATCAAAGGGGATGTGGTTAATTCAGAGATTAAACCGGAGATTAAGTCGGAGATCAAACAGGGGATTAAACAAGAGATTAAATCAGAACCAAGTACTAGCAACAAGACGCTTCTGTCTTTCACAGCGAAGATTCCTCCAGATTTATGCCAACCGCTCACCATCCACACAGCGCCGGATCGCATCCCGTCTTCACCGTCGCCTAGCAACTACAGCACGGATACAGCTTCTGAGATGGGTAGTGCTTTCAACTCCCCTCTCATCAAGTCTGCTAATCAGTCTAGGTCGAGCAGTCCCACCACAAGCAAACTCAATAAGTTCCAGGCCTGGAAAGCCGGTGCTAGCGTGGATGAGAGGAATAAGTTGGAAGCTGCCATCGCCAAGATTGAAGATGAAAGGAAGCAGGCCATTATCGATGAGGGAGGGGAGATTGGAGGACTGGATATTGGAAGGTAAACTTGAGTGTATGAATGTAGAGATATTCATGTCTCTTGTGTATTCTATTTGAGGCAGTAATATCTAGTATCAGGCAGATATCATTCTATGAAGCAATCGTTTGTTGTTGTTGTCAAAATCATTCGTTCAGCTCTTCATCTCAAACTATAAATTCACACTCAAACTTTAATTGATAATAGACCATGTTCGACAATGACCTTCCTGTTTGGCCTAGAAATATTTATTGTCGCTTTCTTTCTAGGTCCTTCCATTTGCAAAATATTTCTTACCATTTACATTATGTCCCACAATCTCAAAACAGTCTTTGTTTAATTGGTCAACAATACATTGTCACTGTAAGTATGTGGAAGCTTCATATTATTAAAGTCTCTGTTCAAAGGGGAATAGACTGAAAGCAACCAAATATTTCAGAAATGACATATTTATTCATTTTCTCCCCTAAACAGGTTGAAGTCATTGAGAAAGAGACCGGGTATTGACTTTGATGATACTGACATCCAAGCTAAGAGACAGCTTTTCAACAAGGATGGATCAGGTGGGCGTGGCTCGGGCAAACGAGAAGCAGCTGTCTGGACGAAGATCAAGAAAGCTGCCCTCAAACAAGATGATACTCAGCACTTCACACCAGGGGTAAGATGCTTTAATGAACACTGTCTCCTTTTTATATATGGCTATGTGGCATGTATGTGATACTTGCTATTAAAAAATGAAATGTACTGTGTCCACAGATTTATTAGAGTGTTTCCGTCAATTATGCTCTCCTCAAGGATAAACTAAACACTTTAGGTCAACAATCGACCACGAATATATCATTCACTCTCACTTTCACCCATTATTATTACCTATTTTTATTTTTATCTTGATAAGTTTTATTGGTCACAAAACGAATGATTCACAGGATATGTGTTTTGCAGAAAATTAAATAAATAATCATATTGTTACCTATCGATCTTGGTCTGTCTGTCCTTCTCTTATCTTTATCTTATTTCTATTCTATTCTATATATTTTTTCTCTGTGCCATTCACCTACATATAGTTTTACTTTACATGATTCCTGTAAAAAAAAAAAATTAACCTTTTTGCAGGAGCTTCTCGATGTCTTGAAAGGAGTAGAGAGTGAAATCAGTGTGTATGAGCAGAGACTACAGGATGAACGGGAGAAGAGAAACAAGTACAAGGTAATTTTTAGAGACACAATTCGATAGTCTTGAAAGCACTCGTCTCATTTTAGATAGATTTGAAAAGTGATGAAAAGAATATCTAATTTCAAACTGCAAAGAAGGAGACCTGGGCCTTGTGTTATAAAAAGTTGTGATCGATCAATATCAATGGCAAGTTCTTCAATCAATCGCAAGTTTGCAGTCTCCTATCTCTTATGGACATGGTTGCGATTGATATCAATCACAAATAAGTTACGATTAATATCAACTCTTTTTAAGATGGGGGCCCTGCCTGTCAGTTCACAACATTTGCCTTGATACATCCTTGTGAAGCCAAAGAAGACGAAGTAGTAGTTTGTGTGTATCTCTGTTCTAATGGTGACACATGTTTTGTTGTTAGTTGTTGCCACTTCAGCAAAAATTAATAATCAACATTCTAAGTCTCTGCAATGTTGAAATATCATGAACTAGTACATGTGAAATTATATTTTCTGCAGATTGATGACAACCGACGGACCCACAACTATGATCCATTCATCTTCACATTCCTGTCTATGCTAGCTGAGCAGGGTAAACTAGCGCCGTTGGTAGAGAAACACACCCTCATCAAGCGAAGACAAGGTATCTCCTCACTAGGACGGCTGCAGAGGAACCGTAAACCCGATAGGAGGAGAAGGAAGAATCGATCGAGAGGTATCCGAAAGAAGTCGGGGAAGTACAAGTAATGTAATTTCGAAATAGATTACACAAAGCTGTTAAAGAAATGTGAGAATAACAGTGTGAATTTTTTATTATTAGATTAGACCTTAATCATACCACTGTAATGTAACATATTACCCAGTGCCATTGCTATACGGAATTTGGACAACTCAGTTTCAATTGGACAAAACATCACATGCTGTATTGTTGGGCAAGCACACAGCACAAATTTGTCCCATAAAACCAAATTGGCTGAAAATCTCTCCGTACAGATGACTGTGACATAAACCGATTGACATCTGAATTACTTGACATTTGCAATGGAGAAAAAGTAAATTTTATTTTTTGAAGGATTTTTTTTAAAAGCTTTCATTAGTAAACTTCTCCACTATTGTTGATGAAAATTGGTACCAATGCTAAACTTAAGACTTTCCTCTTTCATTTTCATGTGATCTATCAAATAATTTTGAATTTACCCCTCGATTAGCCCCAATTTGAAAATTATGACTTTGAAAGAATGCTCATGTTCATGTAGTATTTGAAATTCATTGTATTTTCTTGTATTCAGCCTGCACATATTATAGCACGGCAGTTTTCTATAACAAGAAGTTATATTGGCTGTTGAGATGTATTTGTGTTGGTAAAAATATTATGAAGTCAAGTGAAATCTAAATTTGTATGCTTGTAATAACGGCTAAAATGTCATACGTATCTATTTGAATGTATATGAGCAGTATTTACCAGGAGACTCTTATGTATAGAGTCTACTTTGCCCAAATAGAAATTATAATTATCAACACTACTCTTGTTTTTACACCACAAATTCACATGATTGAAAATGATGATGACATGTTAATGTTACAATCTGTTAGCATTTAATACTCACACATATCACTACAGCAGTCAGAATATGAATTGAACCTTTAAAAAAATCAACTAGATCATTTGAAGTGACTTTGAAATCTGTAAATTCATGATTGTTGTGTCTGTGCATTTGGATTATTGCAGCAGCTAATTAAGTGAATCATGCTTGTTGATTATCAAATGAAATATATGCGTATAAAAGCGAATTATTGGTTCATATTTGATGGTGTTATGGAAATATGTATACTAAACATATTTTGCCAGGTTTGATATGTAAGATATACTGGTATAGTAGATGTATTTACCTTGCACATATCATCAGCATGTCTCTGTGTTGGTCATACGATATTATTCAGTATGTGTATTCTCCAAAGATAAGATACATGACATTCATTGTTTCTTGACTGGAACAAAACTTAGCTCTTCTGGAATGAGTTCCTAGCAATGTACAGTAAATGCAAGAGGTAAGGGTTCAAAGGGAGGGAGGGGGAGGGAGGGGGGGGGGAATAGATCATTTTCTTCTCTCTTGTGGGCTGCAATAAATTTACTAGTCATAAATGGGCAAATCCAAGGTATTTATTATTAATGAAAGGATTACATTCAAAGATTTGAGTGAACCTGATGATAGTTTCAATTGACAGCCTAGCCTTGGATCAAACCACATGTCAAGTTCACTTGTGATGACAATTCATATTTTAGCATTCATTAACCGTTAACACACTTACTCGTAATTTATTTGCCCAAACAGTGGTATTGATGTTTTGTGAAACGAGTACTTCAACCTTTGTCTTTTGTCAATGCCCACTTGGTTATTATTTCTACATATAAATCCATTTTTAAATCCAATTTCACTTGATAGAAATAAATTATGTAAATAAAATAATGCATATATTATGTATTACATTTGAAAATTATAAGCTTTGTTTTATTGTTGTTTTTGTTCTTGTTTTCATTGTTAGCTCTTTCTTTAGCTTTTATTTTCTATTTTACTTTAAATTTTATTTTTCCTTCTTCTTCCTGTACAACATACATTAATTGTAAATAGTTTGAACTAAATGTAAATGCTTTGATATCATCTTCAGGAATTGATTTATAAGTTTGATTCAGATAATATTTCATATGAACAAATTTTATCAAACATTCCTTATGTTACATTAAAAAGTATCAGGAAGGGAGACTTACCATTTTGGTTGAGTGTATATTATGTGAAAAGGCACCATTTCGTTCAGAGCAATTATTTCCTGTGATAATCTCCTCTATCCTACTTCATTGCACCCAAGATATTATTCTTCATTTGTCTATCATAAGCATGCATTCTCTCTCTCTCCTCTCTCTCTCTCTCTCTCTCTCTCTCTCTCTCTCTCTCTCTACTTTCCCTTTGCCCCTCTCTCCCTTTGTCTATCTCCACATTTTTTCTTCTTTCTTTCTTTCAGATCATATGTACAATCTAAACTCATTCATCAAAATTGTGTTTTGTATAATGTAAAATTCTTTGATTCATTGTCTCACCATACCACAATACATATAACTCCAACATCAAGATAAATGGTTTTACATCATGTAAAGGATATATTTATTATCTACAAAGGGTAAAGAATGTATACAACTCTCATGATCAACTGTAAAATAAATTAAATCAATTTGTCCTTTCATAATTCTTTCATAAATAATTTTATCAAAATATTGATTTTTGTAACATGCAATTTAGCTACGATACGGAACAAACAAAACAAGAAAATACCCATGTACATTCAGTAAGAGACAGAAAACACAAACTCAAGGTAAAACTGTAGCATATTTTGGAATGTAAATATTAGCTTGTAATCTTTTGTTTTCATGGCTAATTTGGCAATTTATACTACTAATTATCAAGTTTACACATATGAAAAAATGGCTATGGGTTCACTAAAGAATCATTCTATTATATTATACAGTTGTATATCGATCCACACACACAACTATAAATACTACCAGTCGCATTATGACAGTAGAATTTCCTGCATATTAGTGATGTGCATCAAAAGAAAAAGTACAGGTTTATGAATTCTAAGAAGAAAATATTCAAGGTTGCTCCAAAAGTTGTATTTTTACAAAAATGTACAAACAGTTTATAGATGTAGACATCTTCTCTTTGATCATTAGTCATCAACTGTACACTGACAAATTACAAATTCTTCATTCTTACTTTTAACAAATAAATTAAATAGAATATTACCATTATCAATGAATTACAGTGCTTCTATAATGTTGATAGCAATTTTGAATATTTGATTGCAACTTGTGTAGCAGCAAAATTGAAGTATTTCCACAGCATGAGACATACATACATACATACAAACATACATGAGACAACTTACATCTTACAAACTTACAAACAGGGAGTATAAATTATGTAAAGAAGTATTCTACAAGTATGTCCAATTATTGGAAGCAGCATGTGCAATGCATAGAGTTGAAGATAATCAGCATTTTAAGAATATATTTCTATATAGATAAATTTATTTACATGATTGTGAATGTACTTAACTATTTACAACTAGATTTATTTGGTAACGCATATAATCATCATTTTAAAGTACAGTGCATACACTTCACATCTTATGATGTATCATACTGATAAATGTTTATATACAAATATATATATAGATTATAAAATGCACTAATTTACATCAATTATTTACAATGAGTATTAGAGAAATGTACAATGCTCTACATTCAGAAATGTACAATCCTATTGCATGAAATACAACAGTGAGAAAGAAAAATGAACACACTTTGTTGTAGAAATGAGAAGTAACGTCATATGGAGGGAAACTGACAATGGAAAAAGAACAGCGATGAATGACATTCCTTGATATTGTATATATCAAGTCTTGTTTATTTTGTTTACAGATTATAACAAAAACGTTCACATTTTGTTCTCATTTTCAGAAATATAATATTTGGTTCAATGACTTGTGAATTTGACCTTGGAAATAGAACTGAACTGAACTGAACTGAAGTACTTAATTCCATCTCTTGTTTTGCTCCCTAAGAAATAATATAAATCTTCTCTGCATCAATGAAATGCATTACATCCCTTGGTTTCATTTAAACTTTATGAAAATGCATACCAAATTAGCAAACATAAAGTACATATAAGACATATGTATTTGATAACATTCATTAATAGAAATCTTGCCATTGCAATACCCTCTCGACAGTTCATACTGAGTTGTCTTCTATGACTCTATTCTTTAAAGCTAAAGCTGGCATTCAATTTAAACTTTCAATTTTATAAAAAATAATGCAAAACAGAAGTACATTAACTACAAAATGTATTATCATGGACTTGCAGTTTATTGAATGTGGCTGATATACAATTATACTACAATTGTTGCGATTCCACGGACAAAATTAGAAAAAAAAGCATGATATATTTCCTGATGTATGTTTCCGAATCTAATGATGTAAAGTAAAGAAATGATGAACGTTGAATGAAGACTGACTTTTACACATGTATATTTACTTGACCTTTTCCATGATTCATTTTCAAAATATACCAAACCGAATCCAGTAAGCAGTAACATGTTCTGATAAACGTTTAATTCTCTAAATTCATTACTGATTAGGGAAATAATGAAATGCATCATATATTGGAAGGAATAAATTGTACAATAAGCTCCTTCCAGACAACACAAAATTGCTTTGAAACAGTCCTAGACACAATATTCTTGATTGTTTGCACTCGTTTTCAAAGTCTTCAAATAATTTTCTGCTATAACTTATACAGTTTTCTTCTGTAGTTTAACATTTTGTTTACTTTCATGAGTAAATCCATCATGTCAAACGGACAGAAAAGTGAAAGCAAATACATTATTGTAATATGTTTTAATAAATTCTTCAAAGTCAAGGAAGTTTAAGACGTATGATTCTGGATACCCACCACAACTGTATTTAGGCACTCTCATAACCAAACTCACAATCATTAGGCAAATATTTTTTCATTTCATATACTGAATGAATGATTACATTTATTTACCAGTTATGGGACGGACTGTTTACAAACAAAACAATTGCTAAGACACATAATTTTGCATAGCATTCCTGATACAAATGTCCACATTTGTTAAGCTACATTTTTGTCAAGGTGATATATTTTAGTTAAAACCAACATCAGAAAAAATAAATAGTAAAACACATGATGCCATGATAAGAAATGGTCATGCTTTCAAAAGTATTCCAGAGTGTCAAGTATATGATTTTAATAGAGGCCACATGCCTATTGATATAGTTATCATTCTGATAGAGCAAAGCTTAGACATCCTTGTCAAGTTGTCAAGCCAACCACATGGGCACACCTCTGTTGATCTAGTTCTCAAGCCAATTAGGTGGCCACACCCCTGTTGATCTAGTTGCCAAGCCAACCGCGTGGGTACACCTCTGTTGACCTAGTTGTCAAGCTGACAGAGCATGGCCACACCCCTATCGATCTACTTGTCAAGCGCAGCTGAAAGAGCAAAGCTACACCCTTGTTGATCTAGTTGTCAAGCCAACTGCATGGCCACACCCCTGTTTATCTAGTTGTCAAGCCGACAATATGGCACACCCCTTTTGATCTAGTTGTCAAGCTGATAGAGCAAAGCTACACCCTTGCTGATCTAGTTGTCAAGCCAACAATATGGCCAGTTGGCCGCACCCCTTTTGATCTAGTTATCAAGCCAACTGCGTGGGCACATCCCTGTTGTTCTAGTTGTCAAGCTGACAGAGCATGGCCACACCCATGTTGATCTAGTTGTCAAGCTGACAGAACATGGCCACACCCCTCTTGATCTAGTTGTCAATCTGACAGAGCATGGCCACACCTACTAATCTAGTTGTCTAGCTGACAGAGCATGGCCCTACCCCTATTGATCTAGTTGTCATGCTTACAAAGCATGGTCCCACTCCTGCTGATCTAGTTGTCAAGTTGACAGAGCATAGCTACACCCCTGTTGATCCAATGGTTAGGAGGATGAGATGATGGAAGCTGTATCTCAAAGACAAAGTTAGTGGAGTGTCCAGTGGTAGACAATGTTCCTCGTCGGACACTCGTCTTGTAAACTATAATAGAATAGAAAGGAAATACAGAAATTAAAGATTTGTTGGATGCTATGATCACGGAACATCAAAAACATTTTAATACACAAAGATCTTTCAAAACCTTCTATGTAAATTAGGGTTCTAGTTTGTATCAATAAATAACAAATAAGAGGACTTTGTTTGTCTCCCAAAGATGAGAAATATACATGTAAAAAAAAGTTATCAGAATCTTACCTGGACATGAATATGATGGTGTAGACTTTACATTGGACTTCTCAATAGGTTTGATCCATATCTAATGAATGTAAATTAAGGAAACTATACATAAACTCAATGAAATACACAATAAGCATGTTGAAACTAAATGTCTATTAATGTATCTACATTGCTTAATACTAGTATACCAAAGTAAAACCATTAATGCTCACCCTTTACATTATTTTAATTGGGAGCTAAAAGGTGAAGACCAGTTTTGGAAACGCACCCCTCTCAAAAAATGAAATGGAAGCTCTTATTACCAATCATGTGAAAGAATATTTTTTTAATAATATGTGATGATAAAAATTTTGCCGGGAAACCACCTACTAATTAATATACTTGGTAAATTATCATATCGATTCGGCCTGGATAGATATCATGTAGTCCCATATACATCTTTCTGTGTACAGTGCTTGTCACTTTACCAAGACTCGGCCAAATTTCTTATCATTTTGATGATTCCAGAACCTTGCAGTACACACTAATACTTATATGCTAGATGATCAACCTTTTCTGATCGATTCCACAACGTTTCTTTCACAATGCAATCGCATGACCAGAACTGGTATATACCTTTAAGAATGAAAGGAAGAAATTGTCAGTGTTTTTATTAAAGATACATAAAATATAATAAGCTTCTCTACTTTAATATCCTTATATCCTGGTAATTCAAACCTTTACAGAGATCTGTAACATTATTGATCATCTAGAATGTAAAATGACAATTCAAACTCAAAGGATACAATAGGTAGAGTATCATAGAGGATCTTGGGTTGTGATTCAGCAAGGACATGGGTTGGTCTATCCCAGCGAGCTCCTTCAATGAATAAACCAGTCACATATACTCCATCACCCTGTAAAAAAAAGTTATTGGAGTTCAGTTATTACAGCTTAATTACGTAGGACAAACAAGTCACATATACTCCATTACTCTGTAAAAAAAAAAACATCAATATGCATAATATTGGTAGAGCTACATGCAGTGACAAGCATTCCATCATCCTGCTAAAAAAATAACCATCTATCATGGCTCAGTGAAGTAGGAATAACTAAGATTGCAAGAGACTGAATTAAAATCCGAACCTGCCTTACAAAATTTGTTTAAATGTGAAATTATTGTTTTTAGAGAGAAGATATATCATGAACCCTGCATTATTTTTAAAATAGACTCTGCGAAACAAAAATAAGAATTACTGCCACAAGAGCAATTTGTAATTCACTTACTGGTTTAGAATCCATGTTACTCTCATTCTTCATGACCTCAAAGTCAAGCAGTAACTGATCGATTGGGATCTTGTATCGTCTAGCAAAGTTCTGCATGGTTCCAGTCAGGAAGGAATGTGTGAAGTAGAAACCTGATAGCCAGAAGACTGTAGGCATCCCATCACGTATCCAATCCTACAATTGAAAACAGAAAGGAGAGTCAGAATACATTAACAGTGATGACGCATGAATGTACGTGCATTTTGGAAGCAATGACTGATACCCTTACAAAATTACAAAATGTGAACAATGAGACAAAATTTAATCCAATATGTGAAGATATATTCATCCTTTATTTCAAATTTTAACCTGTTGCCTACGGGAAATGCAGAGCTGCCAACCTTGTGCGACCAAAAAAAGGAATCATGATGGCAAAAAAAGGAATTTCAAGCCAAAAAAAGGAATTCATAGAAACGAAAGTTACAACCACGCCCGACACACTTCCAATGCAGAAATGTTCATTCATCATGCTGTTTTTTCCATACAAGGAGGAATTTTTTTGGTGGTTATTTTGGTATTATCGGCATTTCATTCTTTTTGAGAATATTTTTCTTTTCAAGTATGTTTTAAATTTAGTTTTCTATTGAATTTGTGATCAAATCACCATTTTAGGGCAGTTGTTTGACGTGTGGTATGTAAAAAAATAAATAAATAAATAAATTTTAAAAAAAAAAATTTAAAAAAAAATTAAAAATTAAAAAAAAATTTAAAAACGTATTTTATGAAAAAAAACGTAATGCCGTAATTTGGAGGGAAAAACGGAGTAATTCCGGCAAAAACGGAATGGTTGGCAGCTCTGGAAATGGTTGGCTCCTATATTAACCCTATGGGAGTGAGAAAATTCACTAGTCAACAGGTTAATACTGGTTAAATAACTTTTTATTCATACAACTGCCGTTCTCAACCCATGTAATTTTGGAGGTAAAAATGTTCCACATTGTGGAAATATATGAAATCACATGTATGACATATACTAAATTCCTTGAATGTTCTCTATGATATCAGCCTAAGAAACAATAAATCATATAATATGTATACCGGTAGTTTGATCCTAAATATCATATAAAAAATGCATGAACGGGTATCAACTGCTTTACTTACTTTGAAGAACTGTAATCTTGCCAGAAGATCAGTGATGTAGCTACCAAGAGGTTTAAGAGACGGGTAAGACTTGGCTGCCCACATACCTGGTACCTAAGAAGGAGGAGTTTATCAAGAAAGAAAATTAATAATATGCAGAACAATTAATCAAATATTTCACAATATCACTAATTTGCTAGTTTACTGTCTGATTTCGCTTATTCTTTTCAACGACTGGGACAAAGAGGGTTTGAATTTGAAATCTTAATTATCAAAGCCCATTTAGTAACAGTCATTTCCACGCAGAATAACTGTATAATCATAAAACTATTGCTTTGCACAATACTGATAACAAACAAACACAATACCAAACAAAATGCATGCCACTGTTTTTTGTGGTACATACCTTTCCAACCATCATACTATCAAAGACATCTTCTAGCTCTGCAGACATGACAACCAATCCTTTCATGGCCTTGCGGATATCCTGAAGACTGGACCTGACTACCTCGATCAAGCGATTGAAACGGATTAACTCTTGCACCAGGACAGTATTCATCGACTCCTCATACAGCACAGGGTATTTTTTCTGCAGGAAAATGATCAAATATACAAAATTGTCACTCTCACAGGTTAAAAAAATATATTTAATGAATTCACCCCCCCCCCCCCATTTCAAACTTGATGTAGATGAATGGTCATACAATTAGCGCTGCTTCACCACATATAATTGTGTGCATATTTAATATGATTTTATAATCAATTACACTGCAGTGCATGGTGTATTGTTAAGTACAGGGTTTTTTTTTTCTTCACTAATATGAGCAATTCTCTGCAAAAAGTCACAAACTGTACTTAAATCTTTAGCAGTATTTAGTATTAACCCTACATTAATTCACTCTTTTTTCATCTTTTAATGGATTCAATCTTGCCTACAATATACTAACAGCAAATCAATTTAAATGATACCAAAACATATGTCTTTATTGGAGTATGAATTCCACTGGTTATATACGTATTAAAATACGTTTGTATCCCAGCCCGACGCTAACGCCCAGCCTTTGGCAAGACATTATTCTACATTTGCCACTCTCCACCCAGGTGTTAAATGGGTACCCGGTAGGATGCGAAAGTTAATGTAGTTTGCTCAGAATTGTGAGCGTCTGTAAAATGACGACTGCTCCCTAGGGAATAGAAAATGGGCATACATTGTGTGAAGGCAAGCCTGAATCCAATGACCAGGGTAATAACATATCTATAAAGCATTTAGAGACAGTGTTGATGTATTAAAGATGAAGTTGAGTTCTGGTCATGCGATTGCATTGTGAAAGAAACGTTGTGGAATCGACCAGAAAAGGTTGATCATCTAGCGTATAAGAATTTTTGTGTATTGCAAGGTTCTGGAATCATCAAAATGATAAGAAATTGGCCAAGTCTTGGTAAAGTTACAAACATTGTACATAGAAAGATGTATATGGGACTACACGAACACGTGGCGTAAAAAACCTACCCCCCGAGTTTTACGATGTACATGACATATTTAGAATATGAAGGCATTTGAAGAGCCATACTTTTCAGGGAACATGTCTCATCTGATGTTCTTCCACATTTGCATAATAAGAATGATAACGCTCACAAATTATTTTTCACCTCTTCCCAGAACTCAACCTTCTCTTTAAGCACTATATAAAAGTGGAATATTATTATAATTATCAAACAAAAACAAAACTCTCACCTGCACTTCCTCTAGGTTGTAGTTGGGAGGTATCTTGGATAAAATATCTGATGCCAGATCTTCAATGATTTGTTGAGATGACTTTTCCCCTCCTGATGCCTATAAATATATTAGGGAAAATATTGATTGTTTAATTCTAGTAATATTTTTTCCTCAACATCTTTAATGATGAATTAAATATTATTGTATAATTCACTGTATATTTATTGTTATTTTTATGTTTGTGGACCCCTTTGAAAATCAGCTGTGCTGAAAGGGCCATCCACCCTATGAGAGGAAATGAATAAATGAAGATGACGTCAACAATCATCACCATGGATACATATTGGTGTTTTGTCTTCATCCTCCAGTGGATGCTTCTTTATCCAAGCAATGTCTGACTTTGTTTCCTTGCACATTTCAAGCACATACATCCATTCCACTACTCTAACCTGAACAGATGTCAAAGTTTTTCCAATGCCATATGTTTTAAAATCCAGGATACAGAATTCAAATTATATATTATCTGGGGTTCAACACAGGCTAATAATACTTGTCTATTTAAAGTTGAAGTAACATTTGATCTCTTTAAAATTCTTGCCTGAGAAAAAGATGTTGCCTTGAAGTCATTTAGAGTGTCATTATACTCTTCCAATATATTGTTATGGTACAATATTGTTGTTTACTACTTGTTTAAACAAATGATCTTTCAATTCATAATAAGATATTCATATAGATGCTCAACATGAAGGCATACCTCACCTGTTATGATGCATTGAAGTAAAGTCAAAATATAAGTAATTAGAAACTAAATTACTCCAAGCACACACACACTAGCTACTGGTAAGGGTGATGATAAATAAGGTTTGATAAAAGAACCTTAATATATAAAATGAGAAGCCTGAGTTTGGCTTTGAAAAAGATGAGAAGTTTAATATATATAGATACCTTGATATTGATATAAGAAGTGTTCTTCTTTATCTTATTATGTTATATCAAGTGAAATTCAATTTGAGTACATATGCATGATAATAAGATTGTATTGAAATAACCTAGCATGCAATATATAAATATGAAACATTATTCTATTCAAAGAAGTAGAAGTAGAAATGACAATATCTTCTATGCAGATAGAAACCATGCTTAAATAAAGCAGAAATATGATTCTAAATATCTGAACTAAGAAATTTTACAAATGTTAGTGTGACGTGCACTGAAAACATGCATATATAGGTACTCTATGCTATGTACCTTCTTCATATTGTTAAAAAACACACAGAACATAGTTTGTAAGCCTTCCATGGCTAATTCTAATAAGTCTGAAATTATCTCAGAATTGAAAAACTAAATGCCTTTCATTATATATATCATGCAATGAAATCACACCATGCTATATTGTATGTTAATCAAGGCTTCATACTCAGTTTGAAAGATGATATGGTGCAAGGCCATATTACAAAGGTATACACACCTTACAACTAAAAAGTGTTTATGACTGGACTTTGATATAGAATTTCACACTTGCAAAATTGTGTCTAGATATTTTAAGCTCTCCCATTGTTTTAAAAGCAAAGTCAGCTACTAATTCATGGTCAGTCAGATCACTCTAGATCCGAACTGATTAGACCTTCAAACTAGAAAGTTGAAAAAAGTGATCCTGAAAATATGACATTACAAATACATCATCCCATTCCAATTTCTATTTTCAAAGCCAGTCATATTCAGTGGTTAAGATGTACAGAGGCCTATTATTTGTAAGATATATTAATCCTTTGCCTATAGGAACCTGGTTGTCCCTGTACAAAGTTCAATAGAAATGACAGAATTCAGTAATCAAAGGGTTTATATAGGATTTCTACTGAATTTGTTTTTATCCACAGTGTTGGATAGATCCATCTGACCCTCTGATCAAAGAGTAAGACAGATGAACATAATGGTTTTATAATCCTTTCTTTATTAAAAAAGTGCAATGGCAGGATAAAATGATCTAGTTTGTTTGCAGTTGCTTTGTCTGGCTTTGCAAATACAATGCCGCTGACATTTAATCTAACATTATTTGAGTAAATGAGCTTTGCACCTCTATGCACATACTACATGATTTTAAAAATGACCCATAGTACCTTTTACTTCATGATTTTCGGATCTATCAAGTGTGATTTTAGATATACATTGTACTCTGTACATGTACCAACAATTAAACTGAATATTGTATGAAATATCAATTATGAAATTACACAACTAATGCTGCATTTGAATAAAAATTATTGAATGTTGATGCAAGTGGATATATTTGATATGGTGGAATAAATATGAATGAAATGATTTTCGAGATGCACTGTACACGTACCAACAATTAAACTGAATATTGGTTATGATATCAATTATGAAAATACACGAATAATGCTGCATTTGACTGAATATAACTGAATATCGATGCATGTGGATATATTAAATGTGGTGGAATGACTATAAATGAAATGTCTAAACGACAAGTACAGTGACGATGACGACGATAATACTCCACTAACAAACTCACTTTCTTCTTTCTTTTTCTATTTTGCACCACCGAAGCCTGCAAAGAAATGTTCTTCCTTGCGTTAGTTTAATGTCTTACGGAAACAGCAATTGGACTTGTAAACTTGTAACAACAAAATATCTGTGAAACTAACATGTAATGAGCTGGAGCTTCAAAGATGAAACAATTATTATAATATGGATGTCTCAGTTTTACACCTCCTCTCAAAGTACCGTTACCCTGCTTTCTAAATTTAAAACTGGGCCCTGTTTCATAAAACTTGTTATCAACAATGATAGAGTTCCACAGATCTATCATAAATCTGCTCAGAGCCAATCAACTGCAAATATTTCAGTAGCTTATAAAAACTATTTTTTCTTGCTATTGATAACAAGTTTTATGAAACAGGGCAAGATGCATAGAAATAGTTGCAGTAATTAGATTGGTTATCAGAACTCAATATCATGCACGTGCTAGAAATGAAAAAGGATTAAACACACTGCAAACCTGCCTTTAAACTATACTACCACAATAGTAAAACAGATATTTATGACAGGCAGTTTGCCTGCATTAAATCATAGTGTCGTGTAGTGCAATCAATTGCTGTTAAATTAATGTCAAATTAATGTTAAATTGAAAAAAAGAAAAAATTGCAAAAATCCTGATTGTATACCTCTCCAGACTGCATAAACATTTAAAGCAATTAGAGAAATTTGAAGAAAACAGAAAAAAGGAAAAAAAAATAAGTATGCCTCAAAATTATGATGATCAACCAACTTTCTCAATGAGAGTTTTACATAGCAACAAGCAATTTAGAAATGAGAGTCTGGATGTGATCATTAACTTATCTGTAGGCTACATTTTCTCATCTTTTTAAAGTTTACGTCATAAGCACACAAAAAACTAACCCTGCTTATGTAGACATATTGGTTTTGCATACAGTGAGCACCAGAGCATACAAAGATATATTGCAATCAATGTCGTCAAAGTAAAATGAATTTTTGATACCACAATGTTTAATATTTCACTTTGCAATTTGTTTTTAGCTAAAAACATGAGATGCAAGAAATGTTATGAATATACAAATTGTCATTTTTGGTGAACTTCAAAAAAAATATCTTAATCATTTAAAAAGCATATCATGAGTTAACTCAAAAATTTAACAACTTTAAAATGAATTATTTGTATTTTTTCCTTTCACATTATGTTTTTCTGATGACTTGCAGATGGGCACATTTCTTTTGCATTGAATGCTTTGTTAATTTGCTTCTTTTCCCTTTTTTTTTTTTTTTTTTTGCCATTTGTACCATTTTTCTAAAATGATTTTTTTCCCTTCCAAACAGGGATGGTTTATGATGAATAATGGCATACCTGTCGAGGCAGTGTAAGAAGAATTCCATCAAACAGTTGTTGAGTTTCCTTCTGATCCTTGGTAATGTCTGCATTCTCATGAAGACCAAATACCTGTAAACAAAAATATTTACATGTTCGTAAAGCATCTTGCAAATATATGCATCCTTTTCTACACACAATATTTGTACACACATATGCCAATACTACCCACTGTATCACAGCAACTGAAAACAAATTACTACTGCCCAGACAGCTAACCAAAATTTCTTGTTGGTTTATAGTCAAAATAGTAGTCTAGCTGATAAGCTGGTTAATTTTGAATCTTAATGGTTTATTTCACTTATAATCAATTCTTTCTTAGATCAATACTAAAGTCTAGGTATGCCTGCTGAACTCCACTATCAATATGAATAGTCACATATCAACAAGTTGTATACTATTTTTTCTACAATCTATATCAAATTAAATGTGCATACCTCACTGTAAACTGTTAGAACTTACTCATCATAAATTTTTCTTAAGAATATGATTTTTCTACCACAGCCCCATTCCTGTTTGAATTTAAAGCAGGAAGTCTTCTCAAAATGAATTCTACAAAGCTTAAATCCACTGAGATTTGCATTCAAACATGCTTTAAGGTTCCACTGTGGACTATAAAGTAAGTTTGCATAAGCGTATATTGCCAGTCCATTGGACATGATGCAATTAATGCACATACATGAATTACCATTGACAAAGATTCAAACAACGTTGAGATAAACTTCCAATATGAATTCCAGCCATAATAATTTATATTGTGATGTATAAAGACAAAAAAAAAAAAAAAAAAATCAATGATATGGTATGTACCCTCCCATGCCATAAGTATTGCAACATGATGAAATTCGTTAAATTTGTGGTTAAATTTGTGTAGATGGGAACATTGATAACGCCAAATATCGAGATATTCTGGACGCCCACTTGTTTCCATCCATTGCTAACATCTTTGGCAACGCGCAACACCCGTTCGTCTTCCAGGATGACAACGCACCGGCACACAGGGCAGCCAGGATGGACCAATGGTATGACGAAACTGGCGTCAACAGGGTGCAGTGGCCGGCGCAATCACCAGATGCTAACCCGATAGAGAATCTGTGGGATGACATCAAGAGAGCCAACACCAAAGACCGACCAACCACGAGGGAAGGTTTGGTCCGCTCTATCTTCAGGGCCTGGGGCAGCATCACCCAAGAAAGATTGCAAGGACTCTACGCGACGATGCCAAGAAGGATGCGCGCCATCATTAGAAGGCGAGGATATCCAACAAAATACTAGAGACTCGTGAATCTTACATGAAAAATGACTATTGATATATCAATAAAATGTGCCTGATAGTATGATAAAAAATGATGCACTACATATTCATTAAAACAGCACTCATTTTCAATTATTTGTCTCCTGTGTAATGTGTGTGTCTATGTTGCAATACTTTTGGCACGGGAGGGTATGTATTTAAACTGTGTTCAATTTCCTCTGTATTTGTAACCTAAAATTTGTACAGGGCCTCTCAGGAAAACAGTTTTGATACTAAGAGAGTTAGAGAGCCTGTATAGTCCCGCTGCGGCACTAATTATCCTAAATGTCCTTTGGCTAGACATTAATCTACATTTGCCACACTCAACCCAGGTGAGGTCAATGGGTACCTGGTAGGATTATTCCTTGAAATGCACTGCGTGTGCTCTGATAACGGCTGCCAGAGCTAAAGCTAGGGTAATAATTTCAAAAGTTCTTTGGAAGTGCATAAGAGACTTTATATAATGTGTTATGCACTATACAAGAACAGACTATTATTATTATTTAAATAAAATTCATAAAAAAATAAATAATAAAACAAATCCTGCATACCTCTGGGTGTGGCATCAGAGGGAGACTCTTGATGTAGTCTGTGTACGACTCATGAGGGCCAGAAGGCGGACAACGATAGTTGCCACTCTCCGAGAAGCTGTACCCTTCCTCCGCAACGATCTGATCGTTGTAGAAGATTGCCAGAAGACTGATCAACAGACGGCGGTCGTGGTAGTCAGTCACTCGACCACCGTAGTTACACTCTCCGGTGAGATACGTCAAGGCTTCTAATGGGATCACATCATAGTCATTCAGAAACATCTGTTTGGATGGACAAGAAATCATTTAAAGTTTTATAAAATGATTAGTGTACATTTTTCTCAAATGATCAAAATGCTGTCAATAAAATCATTGTTGAAAGAAATTTTTCCTTTTTTTTTCTATGGAAATTTGCAATAAAACATCATCCGTCCCAATTGCTTTTCATTTGATACATGTAGGCCTACTTATGTTCAACAGCAATATACAAAACTAAGACTCATCAGCATTTACAATATGGTTTTTATCCTTACTAATAGCACAATTCAGTTTAAGCCTGGGATTTAACCCCCCAAAAAACAACAACAACAACAACAACAACAACAACAACAACAACAACAACAAAAACAAACAACAAATAAACAAATCAATCAATCGATCAATCACTCAATAAAAAAAAGGGGCCTGAATAGAATTTGAAGTTGATGAAAATATCAGAAAGTACCACAAAAATGTAAATAAGAAAAAGAGAAATAACAAAGATAACAAAATCCAGGATTCATGTAAGCTTACCTGCTGTTGTCTAACACTAATCCTAAGATCTGATTCATTGAACTCATACGGTGTATTCCAACCAAGAGGTCCAAACTGTCTTCTCTCTTGAACCAAGGCATGGAAGAAACAAAGGCTGAACAGTAGCTTCTTCCATAGCTGTGAAAACAAGACATACAAATCTGTTACTATCACTCATGTTCAATAGATTTCCATATTAGCTTCATCAAGTTTGCATGCATTTAACAACTGCCTCTTTCTTGTCTCCTCCCTTTTTTTCTTTGTTTCTTCTCCTGCTTCTACTACCTGCTTTTTCGTACAAATAAAATGTACTTAAATGTACTTAAATATATATATATATATATACACATATTCTGGTGAGATAACAAAAACTCTCAGATAATGAAAATAATTTTATGGATGAAAAGTGTTCCTAGCTGACCTGGGGGATGTTTCACAAAGACTATGATCGACTATAAGTTAGACTTAACTATGGCAGGCCGCTCATGCCACTGTTTGCCTTCACCATTTACTGGCAATTGTCTCTCAAGGGACGTACAAATCATGGTGACAAATCTAGAGAAGATCATAACAGTGAGATCAAACAATGGCATGAATGGCCTGCCATAGTTACCGGTAAACCAACTTAAAGTCGATCTTAGTCTTTGTGAAACACTCCCCAGGTTAGTCTAATCATATCTCATCCTAATCTATAATTATCTACAGTAAAAAGAAAATGTATATTTACGTCTGGTTTGGTGCATCCATTGAAGAACTCCGGATCTGATATAGGATCATTAAGGTACGATCTAAGCAGGTTAGCCCTGAGTCCCTTGGGAGGTTCATTGGTCATCTTGATGCCGTTCTGAAGGATGGAGACAGGGAAGGTCGGGGTCGGGTAGCTGGTCAGCCACAGACGGAAGGAAGGACGGGTTTTCTCGCTGTCTGTGATCAACTCCTCACAGATCTTCTCTAGGGTTGGTAACCATGACAACGCCAAGTGACAGTTCTGAAGCACCACCCAGGTACCATGCTCTACAGCCTGGAGAGGATCAAATCAAAGATGAGGATTGATACATCACAACCACAATGAGACATCTTCAGTATTACAATGTAATGTGCCAAAGAGGTTATATTCATTCCATGTTTCTGAAAGGAAGATTCATTTCTCGTCCATACTACATAGAAATACAGGTACAGATAAATGTAATAGAAAAGGAAACATTAAAGACAAAGATGAGTTCTAGTCATGCCATTGCATTGTGAAAGAAAAGGTGTGGAATGGATCAGAAAAAAGTTGATCATGTAGCATGTAAGTATTGGTGTGTACTGCAAGGTTCTGGAGTCATCAAAATCATAATAAATTTGGCCCAGTCTTGGTAAAGTAACAAGCACTGTACACAGAAAGATGTATATTAGACTACCTACACAAATGGTGTCAGGGCTACTTACCTTGATTTCCTTATCTTTCTATGCTCATTTTTCAGTCAGTATACATTTTCTACAAAAATTGTTTGGCAAATGACATTTATTTGTAATCTTGAACATTCAGTGTAAGTTTTGTTTGATTCTGTGAGAATTCATTTTCTTTCTTTTACCATAACTCAAGTTTATCTTTAAGTTTATAAAATCTATAAATGTATTTCATGTAAATAACAACTGCTGTTCTTTAAATATTAAAGAAAAAATTCACCTATTTTAAAATCAATATACTGTACCGACTTATTGAGAATGAAGTATAGCATTGTGTTATTATTTGTTTAGTAAAGTATGTCTATCCAAGTAAATCTCCTTCAGAATATCTATCCAGGCGCGGATCCACGGGCCCAATTCTATCGGCCCGGCTATGGCAAGCCCATTGTGTAAAAACTAGATATACTCAGTTTATCAGAAAAACTGTGTTTGTCAATGATAAACTCAGTTTATCAACTGATAAACTGAGTTTTTCTGATAAACTGAGTTTATCATTGATACACTGAGTTTTTCTTGATAAATTGAGTTTATCAACTGATAAACTGAGTTTATCAACTGATAAACTGAGTTTTTCTGATAAACTGTGTTTATCTGTTGATAAACAGAGTTTATCTGAGAAAAACAGAGTTTATATAGTTTTTACACAAAGGGCTTGCCATAGCCGGGCCGAAAGAATTGAGCCCGTGGATCCGCGCCTGTATCTATCTTACCTCATTGATCATCTTGGCAGCAATAGGACCTTGCCCTTGTCCCAGGGATACAGTCGCCATACCATTACCGCCCATACCTAGATAGAGAAAACATTCAAATTGCTTTAGTATGCATAAAGCTACCTCTCATTCAGCTATCTCTCATACATCCACATATCAACATATATAAATTATTCCACCTGTCTTCATGTGTGTACAAACATGCTTTGATTTATCTTCTAATACTTTTCCCTCTTTCCTACACCAATAACATACATGTTAAAGAAGTATTAAATTCTGCTCTGGCTGTAATGTTGATGTTGAATATTCTAGTTTCCATTCTAAAAAAAGATAAAAGGATTACAAACTCCCCCCTCCCTCTTTTTTCAGTTTTCTCTGTTAATTTCATTATTTAAAAAAACCTGTATATGAAAACACATTCAAAAGTATAATTAAAGTTAAAGCCCCATATTAAAATGAAAAAAGTAACTACAACTAGGTATAAATAAACATCAAAATGTATAAATGAAAACATATTGGTCTACTGCTATCGTATTAAACACACATAACAAGTAAACTTTAACATTTTATCTAAACTAATGTTAGTAACCCGATCACACTGCCAGAAAATAAGTACCGGTACATTAACTTGGTAAGAACACACTTGTAGCACTAGCGTGTGCAAGCATGGGTCAAACTACCATGCAATTAGTATCTCCCACACACACACACACACATCTTGTTACGATACACTATGGATAAAGATGATGAACAACGTTAGTGCACACAGGGATTAAAATCGTTATTGGTGCAATATATCTAGCGTTAGTTCTCCATTAATAATCATCACATGCAACAACATGCAGCTTGATTGAAGCCTGCCTGAAGAATATGCGTGTACAAAAAGTGAAGTGATAATCTGCATTCTGCCAGAATAAAGCTGTAAGAAAAATAAAACCAAAGTATACTGCTGATGTGATAAATGAGTCAAAAGAGAAATTGGAAACGAAATGAATTATAAAATGTAAACTTGTTTGGTCATCAAGAGGATACGAAGCCTGCCGTAGAAATGCACAATGTGAAGTATACAAAACTAGAAATGGAAAAGAGAAAATGAATAGAAACTCCTGCATTAGATGAAAAGAATAACGATAAGTATATAGACTTATACAAAAAAAATATACGATCTGTGATGTTGAATGATTAAATTTTAAATGGGTTCATCTCTTCAAGCTTATGCACAAGTTTTTGTTTTTCTTTTTTCTTTATATTGTTTGTAGTTGTGACCTTGATTAATTATGATTCAGTAATCATCAAGAAATATAAAACAAACAGAACTGAAAATATTTTTTCAAGAAATCTAAATATCTTCACTTTAATGGGAACAAATGTGGTTAATTGAAGAAGAAAAAATCAATAGAATGCTCGGAAAACAAATATTTCTATATTCCCTCACATGTGTCATAACAATACTTTGATTTGCTTTGATAAAATTGGAAAGCAGATTTATGCATATATGTATTTTATAACTTTATATAATACTGTTGCCATGGAAAAGGTGGGATGTTTTGCTTAATAACCACACTGGTAATATTACTTTTACGTGTAGATGGGCATTGTTTAGAAAATATAGCATACTTTCAGATTGCCTAGTTGTGTTAAATCAATACTGTTTGAATTTAATCCAGAGTATACTTTTATTTTGTTTGAATTTATTCAAATCAAATACAATACTTTACATAAGGACATCATATGATAACATTGAACAAAGATAAAGACGAAATAATCATATGCAGAAACAAGTAAACATGCAAATACATAAGAGCAGGAAATATCAACTCAATGATGAAAGAAATGTGATCAATGATCTCAATAAAGTTGCTTTGCAAGGTAAGATGACTCAAAAGTGTTCCACAAATTCAAGAAGGAATAGACCCCAAGTAGAAATGAACAAGTTGAATAGAACATATGAGGGTAGATAGGATGAAGGTACGTGGGAGGAAAGGTTGTGCATGACATACTACTGAGAGATCGGACGAGAGATGATCGGAAGATCTTGGATTTTCTTCGGTGACGATTCCTGTCGGCGAGGTACTCTAATCCTGCAGCTTCTACAGGATTATAGGGATCATCCTCTGTCCGCATCTCACCATCTCCAAGATCAGAAGCAACAAGGTCTGGCTCATCCTCCTTACTCTCAGGCATGTGATAGGGTGAGATTGGGGAAGGGGTGCCGTGCAGGGGCGTGTTTGGGGAAGGGGTTGCGTGCTGGGGTGAGTTTGGGGATGTGGTGGTGTTCATGAGGGGTGTGTTGCTTTGGTTGGGAGCATGTACAGGATTGGGGATGCTTGGTGAAGGGGTATCAATGTTTTGTTCAGCGTCAGAGTCAAAGACACTGTCCGCTTCGGGAATAGCTGAAAGGACACGTCTAGCAGGAATGACATCGACCAGATCATCTTCTACAAGCTCAAAGCTTTCATCTTGGGGATCACTATGAAGGTTAGAAGGGTGCAGCAACTTGTGTTTTTTGCCCTTATTAGTGTGAGATACATGGAGCGGCCGATTTTTATACGTCAGCGCATGCTCTAGATTCTCTGTACTACCACTGTCTAGCTGCTGTGATGTTTCATGAAGTAAAGAAGATGTATCTCCTCCAGCCTCTGTCATCTCTTCCTCTCCACCCTCATCACCTTCGTTCATTGAATCAAGAAGAGTAGACGCATCTGGTGTCTTCCTGTGAGCAAGCAGCTCAAGACTGCTCGTTGCGCGACTCATGTTGGATTTGACAGACATGGAGTCTTGCTTTGGTGGCTTCAGGAAACCTGTTTATTAACACACAGTCATCATCAAACACATATATATAGTACGTGGCATGCATCAAATAAATCAATAAATCATAACGATTTAGTCCATCTACTTAATGTAAAACCAGAAATTTGTACAAAATAAATAACAACCACTTACTGGGCACAAATCTTTTAATAATTTTGTGATATTCTATAATTATTTGGGGGCATGAAACCTTTGCAAATCTAGACCACTCACCAATTTGTCAAAGTTTCTTATATGCGAAGGTTTCTGGTCTTACAGCAGTCTGCATTCATGCATGCCTAAACCATAAGACCTATATCATGACATATACTGAATGACTAAATGAGTGAAATATGGTTTGATTTGCATTTTGTGTATATAATGATTACTTTTACATGTCATGTATTATTGTTGCAAATGGCTAGAAGCTGCTTGGCATATTTGTCATCTCTGTCAACTTTGACTTTAACACTTCCTGGCAAGAACTCTTTCACTTTGCATCCCATATTGAAACATATCAACCCTTTGCGTACGGGAACCAGGTGGCTACTGTATTAAGCCTCAGGGAATTAATGAATTCAGTAGTCAATAGATTAACATTACTACATCTCCTAAATCACTCAACATGAAATTCAATACTTAACTTCATAGTATCAAACAGCTCTTCAGCCTTTCCGTATCTTGTATTGAAACAGAACCCACTGTTAATATTTTAGTTACAGCATGCACCATGAAAAACACATGCCCTCCAAATATAACATGCACACACCACACAAGAGATACCTACAATTATCTAGTACCAACAAATCAAAACCATTAACAATATCATACGTTACTAAATTTGATGTCAGTATCAAAAATAGAATTAAAATGTTCAGTTCTGTTTAGTTGCTACTGATTAAGGCTAATCATTATTATATACATTAGTTGTGTGCATCTACCAAATTCTGTGTTGTGAAGGGGGAGGGGGGACTACTGTGTTTATGGGATGACTACCGGTACTGTAAATAGGGTAATTAAAAAGATTTTGAAATGTTGATTAAGAAACATAAATACTGAGGTACATAAATATTCTTAATGCATATCTTATGTCAAGATACAAAGACATTGTTTATAAATTGAAAAATAACATTTTGTAATGAAAAAAAGAAGATAATAAGTGATTTATGGCCATTTTTAGGTATCGGCAGCCATCTTGGAAGCCATCTTGAGAATATACATCTTTCTGAACCTTTCATTTTTGTATACTTTTAGTATGTTATTCCTGAGGTTGAATACTACTAGAAACCTTTTGTTGCAATTTGAGGGGGGACAAACCATATTTTGACCCGACTAAAACCAGATTGAATTCATATCTGTCTTATAGCTCAAAATGATGTGATTGGTATCATTTGAGATCCTACCTTTTTCAACAGCAAACTTCATGAGAACATTCATGGGATCAGCTCCAGGTGAAAGCACAAAGATGAGAGGAGTGAAGTAGGATGAGTCCACATAGCTCTTAGCAAGGTCAAAGGTCGGGGGTTCGATGTAGGCTTGACCCATTGCCTTGATGATGAAGTTTTGGACAGCTGGTACCATCTGGTAATGAAAATGATGAATAGAGCGTGTGACATCAACATGTCAAATTATTGCTGCTGATAAATACATGTCTGATTATTATCTCACAGCTTCTTGAAGTGTAATTACACTAATTAAATTAGACTAAACTTGATACAACTGAGTGTGATCATGTCATCATGAGAGTGGAAATGGTGTACATTGTGCATGAATGAATCTGATGACCGGGGTAATAATTTCTGTTACGCGCTTAGAGATGGTACTTTGTATTTAAGCGCTATGTAAATCCAGATTATCATCTTCATCATCATCATCATCATCATCATCATCATCATCATCATCATTATCGTTAATGTCATTATTATCATTATATATATGTTTATTTATACAAATTCAGCGATGAGGTCCAGTGAGCAATACTAGAACAGTGTTAACTTACTTTATCTGGTCTGATTATACGCAGGACGATAAGTTTCTCCATCTCATTTAGAGAAAGGTTCCAAGGTTCAGGTATCTTATCGGTGTGAGGTGATGGTGAGTCATACAGCTTCTTCCATTCTAAGATCTGGAAAAATACACATCCAAAAGACAATTTCAACCATAGGTGAATTCTCAGTGATATTGTAGCACCTAGCCTGTAGTAAATTAAAACATGATTTTTGGTATTGATGCCGATTGTTCAGCACTTTTGCAACTATTTTTCTTCTTGTGGTAATCTAAAATGTTTCTTACAAGCATATTATAAGACAGATGGGTTGATAATGAAGCATACGTCATTGACTTCTTCATGCATTCATACAATGGATAACCTAATACAGAGTTAAAAACAAAATTATAATCATGCTACATTTTCCTTGTAAAGAATTGCAATATGTGCCACAACAACATCATAGCTCATACATGTACAAGTATAAAAACTATATTTCTTTCAGAATAATATACAAAACATATTTCCCTTCTCCTACGAACACAAGTCAACAAGTTGTTCACTTTACAAGTATTACTTACATTACTCCTGAAATTGAGCATGAAATCATCAAACGCATCAAGCTGTGAGACTCTGACGACCTCCGCCCATGACTTGTCCGACAGCCAATTAGGAGCAGGATTAGGGAATGGATTCTCTAAAGCCACACCCCCTGTGAGAAGGAACCTCCATTCTCTATCATCAATCTCTCCTCTGAAAACAAAACAAAAGAGTTCAATATCAGATAAGGATTCTAAAGAAAGCTATTGTCGTTGTAGATACTTCACCATTATATTCCCATTTTTTATCAAATAATTTGTCCATCTGGCATTGCAGTGCTCTTCTTTCTTAAATTTAATTCAATTTAATTCAATAAATTTGTAATTATTCCAGCACAAACATTTAAAATATATAGGTAAATACATGAAATAGATATATGAGTCTAAAAAATATACAGTATAATATAGTACAAATTAAAAAACGTAAATATAATTGGAATTGGGATGGCCATAACAAACTCACGTATACTGACACAAGAAAAATGTCTGACATAAACTGTACTTTGGAACTTGTAAACCACAACAGTAAACGAGAGACAGAACACTGAATAGCTTGAGATCCTTGAAACACTTATTACTGCTTCTTCTCTTCTATCTTTCTAGTGCATTCATGCATGTGATTGGATGTATGACACGCCGATGAAATATTTGTTTCTCCATAACTACACTATATATATATATATATATATATACATATATATATATATATATACATTTACAATTCATCTATACATCGAAGGCCAAAAACTTCTTCAGAAGTAACAAATTGTTTTGTAAAGATAGTGATATTACTGATATAACTAAAATAAAACAACTTTCTTACCTGCCCTTAGCTATGCCAATACAGAGTATGAATGAAAAGAGCAGCTTATCCGTCTCAAACAATGATCGGCATACGTTCTGATAGATGCTATATGTGAAGTGATCATTGAGGCTCTTGATACGTCTCTCAAGGTCATTAGAGGGCTCGCTCAGACTGATGGACTGTAAGAAATAATTAGCAGCATTGAATTAGAAATTCTGGCATTTAATTTGTGACAATAGTGGACTACCAACTATGACAGACCATATCAACCATATACATGAGGTTTTATAGTATCTACATGTAAATCTAACCAGAATAAGTTGCAATCCTACTGCATTTTTATGTTAAGCGCGGCAATATAGTTGCCAAAGATTTACTTCTTTTTTCCCTTTTGTTATAAAAGATATAAGCAAGTTCCCAAAATACAGAACATTTCTGAAGAAAATCAATTATAAGACAGTTGTAAATACATGAAATAACTAACAATAACATTGTCTTATCTCCTAGAATTGTCAAGAATTCAACCAAAATAGTCACCATTCTTCGCAATCTAGTCAGATGTTCACTCAAGGTACACACAAAAACGGTTACACTCTTTTTTAAACTTGATGTGAAACACACCAGTACAATACAAATTGTTTATAATAGTGCAGGGGTGATAGTGAGAGTTAAAAAATAAAAAAGTTTTTCGCGCGAGGTGTTCAAGCAAGTCATGAAAAAACTGCGCCTCACCCCACTCCCCCCCTCCCCTCCAAATTTTAAACCAGAAAAAAAATTGATTAAAAAAATTATGATAATAATAATAAAATTGGGTAAAAATATAATCAGGAAACCGATTTAAATCAGGAAATTATTAGGCTTGTTAGAAGTACTATTGCACCAAATACCACAAAAAGACCCTGGGTTTTAAAAAACAAGACCAAAATTGATGAGATTATAGAATTATACTTCTTGGTTTTAACAATACAATCAATAAATATTGCAAAGCCTCTTAAAATATGCCATAAATGATGTAAAATGCAATTTAAAAATGATCTTGCTTTCATTTGTTTAGTAAACATATTAAGACGAGTCAATACATCAGTTTCAGGCAGTAGAATATATGGTGCCAAGTGTCTGTGCAAGGGCATAAGGGAAAAGGTGCAGTTCTGACTTCACCATACTGCTTGAAAATGAGAAATATGAACGCAAGAGAAGCAACTAAGCCCACCCCCTAAAAAAACAAAAAACCATACAACAAGGTTCTGAAAAAACAAGCACAAATACTATGCTAGAAATTGTGTAGTGAGTGCTGTTTCAGCCAGTGAGTTTGCGGTACACGGCAATATGACATCTCAGAAGGTGTGTTAAAAAGTAAATTATTATTTATTTCTCAAAACAGGAAATATATATGTTTCCCATTTTCTTAAGCTGAATGTAGCATATAAGGCATACCTATTATGAAATCAGTTGTGAATTAAACGAAGGTGATTACATAAATAAATATAATATTTAATCAAGGACTGCTCAATGTAATCTACTGCACAGTTCCATTTTCAGTAATGAATACAAACATATATTGTGAGTCGTTTCCAAACAGTAAAATACTTCAAGGTGTTAAAGCAATCAACATGTCATCTAATGTCACACAAAAAGAATTTATTATCCTTCACCATCAAGAGTGCTGACAATACAAAATCAAAAACAAGTAAAGGCTTGATTAGTGCAAAATATAAAGATAAAGCCCCCACAGTGTCTGCCATCTAACTCAATACATTGCATATTGAGCACTGGTGACTCATCCCCTCAACCTCAACACACCACATGGAAACAACGTCATGAGTGTGAATAAGACAAATTAAACAACAAATAAAAGCTTGATTAGTGCAACAACAAAAGATAAAGCCCCCAACATGTCTGCCACCTCATGAAGTCGGTCACATTGCATAGTGAGCACCGAAGACTCTTTCGATCCCTTCACCTCAACACACACTACATGGAAACACAGGACTTACTGGAATCTCCGCTAGCATTTCTGGTGTCATTCCTTTTGTGTCATAGACAGACTGAGCAGCATTTATGAGAGGTGAAGAAATGTCATATACATCATCAATTCATTCATCATATACGGTACTTAATTAATTATTGACAAATTCATGTGATGTGATTTAAAGATGCGGCATATACATATGTATGACCAAATCTATTTATGTGTTCATGATAGAGTAATATTTCATTATTTGAAAAGGATCATAACTATGAGAAAGAATACTTAAAGCCTGTCTGCACTAGTTTTAAACCTCCCTGCATGGTCACTGACAGGTGGATATCTCATCAAAACAGCTCTCAATTAACATAAGAAAAAGGGGATCATGGGGGACCAATGGGTACCGCTTAGGCATTGTTGACTGTTTAGAGGGAACAAGTAGCTACAAGTAGTGCAGTCTGGCTTTAAGAAGTAGAATTCAATAAGTTTATGATATGTAGCTGAAGTATTGAAGTGTGTGTATTTTTTATGCATATATATCTTACCTGCAGATAGAGGTTGATAAACCAAGCTAAGGAGTACTGATACATAGGCTCAATGTTAGCTAGGTCAGAGATTGTGAAGAAGAGTATCGATGAATGTTTGGCAACCTGCAGACAAAAAATAGACAAATTCATTCTTATCAATAAGTCACCATTGCCAGTCTAGATGTCATTTAATTCAATGAATTTAAATGAAATACACCATTATCTTTAATAGAGAAAGAAGAAATTTAAGCCTGATCTTTCGATACCAGCATGGAAAGGAGTGGAAACTGACAATGTATAAACCATAATCCAATCTTTCCACAAAATAATAAAATAATCGTCTTAGTACTTTTATCTTTTATGTAAGTGTTAGGCGCTATATAAGCACTGTAATTATTTATTATTTATTATTTGATGAATTTCAAATAACAGAGGAAATGGAGTTTTGTAATATAGGAAAACAAGAAGAAAAAAAAAGAGATTCTGATGTAACAAAAATAGTACTAACAATGCAAGAACACTTAACTTAAAAGCCATCTACTGTTTGTTTTACGTGTATTTAAAACATAACTGCTAGATGTATTTGCAAAAAAGTAGTTCAAGTCATCGACCAACTCGCAATCTCTGTTCATCTTCAAAATATTCATTCATGCCCTTTAATAGTTACATCTACTAAAACATATGGGCACCATGCTTTCTAGGATGCCATACCAGAACTATGGAATAATCTCCCAGCGTCTCTAAAATGTTGTCCTTCACTAAATCAGTTTAAGTTTAGATCTTGCCAGTCTTAAATCATAAAGTAAACATGTGAATGTTGTAATTGCAGGGTTGGGCGGTAAATACCGGTGGCGGTAATTACCGGCGGTAAATACCGGTAAATACCGTCCGGTAAATAAGATGCGCGTCCGGTAAATATGTAAAAAACAGGAAATATGATTTTAATTCTCTATTTATTAATAATTTTACTTGTTTTTAGCCTCATAACTGAAAATATTGTTCTGAAATAATTAGCAGCACAATACTCATAGTAGGAACACACAAATAGATTTATAAAATCCTCACTGCATACATGTACACACCCAAACAAATGGCATTTTGTTCATATGCTAATTAATAGGTATTCATGAATATGGTAATTAGCAACTGGGAACCAAAACCTTCATACAAGTTACTTTTATTGTTAAGTTAAAGATATTTGAATAAAATTAGTGAAAATTTGAACAAAATCGGGCAAGGAATAAGGAAGTTAAAGCTTTTTGAAATGACTAGTCATTAGAGGGCGATATTCAATTTGATGACATCATTTGCGGACAACTCTCCATGCCTTTTGTACATCACATTTCATGTATTTCTTCTTTCTTGTGATTGAGATAATAGAATGCAAAATGATATTCTACTTCACATGTTATGAAATCCGATCAAGAACACAAATAAATAGGAAAAAACGAGAGAATTGTGAAATTTGATGTACAAAAGGCATGGAGAGTTGTCCACAAATGATGTCATCAAATTTAATATCGCCCTCTAGTGACTAGTCATTTTAAAAAGCTTTAACTTCCTTATTCCTTGCCAGATTTAGTTCAATTTTTCACTGATATTATTCAAATATCTTAAACTTTACAATAAAAGTAACTTAGTATGAAGGTTTTGGTTCCCTTTAATGAAGAACATCATATCTAGATTAGGTGTATATTTGGTATCTTTTTCCTCTATTTTTTTCCAGCATTACATAGTTACAGACATAGACAAACACACAAACAAACACACACACACACTCACAAATAGTACACACAAGAGCAACCATAATCACCACCATTGTTATTATGTTCAAAATTGGACAATCCCTATGAACAAGTGAGTGTAAAAAAATATTTCCCGGTATTTCCCGGTAAAAAGTGGTAAATACCGGTAAAAAGCGGTAAATATCGGTAAATACCGCTTATTTCCCGGCGTCCGGGAAATAAGCCTCTGAAGCGGGAAATATGCCAACCCTGTGTAATTGATATAATAATTGTAAGTGATATTTGTTATGTCTTTCCTCTTCTCACTCTCTCTATATCTCTCTCTCTCATCTCAGCTGCAGAGAGATAATTATGTAATATGCACTGTATAAGAATCATCATCATTATTATTATAAGACCCATTCACATATGTTCTTACCGGTTTATATCCATCTCTCGTCTCATCAATCTCAGTCTCTGTCTTGCTGGCAATCTCCTGTTTCTCTGAGATCTCCTTGGAGAGGACCTTGGATGATGACAAGATCTCAATGGCTGTCTCATCTTCTAGGATGTTCCCTTGAGATGAAGATAGAACCTGAAGAAGAAAAAGTGTATGCGTTTAGAGATACCAAAATATGAAATTCAAATTGTATTAGATCATTTCAATCTATAATCTCTAAAAAAAGGTAATGCATTCAATCGATGCATTTCATATCTATGAATAAACAAAAATGTTATTCAATCAATAAGTACATCTTTGTTAAAAATGGAAATAAAAATTTGAACTTGAAATTAAACTAAATCATACCAAAAATTGCTCTATTGTGGGTAGAAGGATGATTTTGAAAAATAAATTTATTGCTTTTTAACATTCTTGTTCTGGTCGACTTTGTCAAATCTAAACACAATGTGGGTTAATCTCAAATTCCAAACAAACCTACTGATCTGACATAGATAAGCAAAAATAAAACTGTTGGAAATTTATGCCACACAAGAGGAAATATCCACACATGCTTGGTTTGGTCAAATTTACATTTTAAAAACATTTCAAGTACACTAAGTGTTACAATACTGACCTCGAGAATCTTGTCTTCAATCTCTTTGAGTTGTTTCTTGTTCTTAGCACTCTCAATGATGAGCTGGTTCTTCTTCTCTTCTAGATCTGGCTTCTCTTTAGCTGCAACCAAGCCCAAAAGCTGATCCTCTAAGCCAAGGGGTGTGATCATAAAGTTCAGCAATGTCACCTGTAAAATATAAGAGAACATTTTTACAGATCTGTAATGTGTCCTTAATCTCAAAAAGTTAAAACTGAGGAAGGATAATTCCTGTTTTCTTTTATAACAGGAAATAAGATATAGTGTCTCCAAAGCCAAAGCAAAATTCATGAAAATGTAAACGAAACTATCACACCAAATGCAAAATGTATCAGTGACTGCATTTTGTTTAAGACCAATTAAGAAACAGTGGTACATTTTTCCAATTCCATTTGAACTGCCCAGGCTGAAAATCACTTCATATTATCAAGAATCAAAGATATATTATTAATCATTGAAAGAACATGCAGTTCCAAGTTGTACAAAGTAGACACTTAATTTCAGTTCAAACGGACAAAATTTATGCTGCCAGTGGAAAACACATAGAGGTTGCTCTTTTAATCACCTTGACAGACACCTCAGGAAGGTAGTGTGGATTACGAAGCCTCGTCGTGATGTAGAACTTGAAATCTCGACTGAACTCTACCACATTATCACCAAGACGGATGTAGTCCAAACCATTCTGTACAAACAGACAGAGGAATGATAATAATAATTATAATATAGCGCCCAATACATACAACAATGTGCCTAAGCGCTTTACAGATATATTATTACCCGGTCATCGGATTCAGGCTTTCCCGCACACAATATATGCACATTTTCCACTCCCTGGGGAGTATTCCAGCCAGTCGCCCTTTTACAAGCGCACACTTGCTCATCCAACCACATGAACTTTCGCATCCTACTGGGTACCCATTTAACACCTGGGTGGAGAGTAGCAAGTGCAGGTAAATATCTTGCTAAAGGATATTAGTGCCGTGTCGGGACTCGAACCCTCGACCTTCGCATATCCAGTCAAGCGCCTTAAACCACTCAACCACACACAAACAAAATTGGTTAAATTATTTATTGTAGGATAAGAATCTTTAATATATTGGCATCATGCAACATCATCAATCAATGCTTAAACATTCATCATTTCATCAATCGCTGCTCTCTTGTAATTGTTGACTATTAATTTTAAGAAACATTGATAATTTCATAAGATTCACAGTTTTAACTAAGATTAGACAGAGAACTTGTACTAAATGCCAAGAAATCACAGACTTGAAACCCAAGTACACAACTTCTCCAATTATATTCCAAGGACTTTAGAAAAGAATGATATTATTTCAATTTCAGTAGTTCTACTCACCTGTTTGAAGGTTTGTTTCAGCAGCAGTGGTTCCAGAACAGGGTCCAATTCTTCACCCACATTCTCCAATAAACATGGCTGACCAAACTGCGATATACACATAATCAAGCAACACTTGGAATTCAAAGTAATTTGACATAGTATATTCAAATAAAGCATATGGAAATTTAATGACACTGTAGCACAAGGTTGAGCTAGTGTACATGATTTAAGAAATGATAAAGATCAGGGAGAGAATTATTTTGCAACCACTAATCAATGCAACTGAATATAGTGCAGGTAGAAACATCCAGTCTTTTCTTTTTAATATCAAGGTACCTCACCAGTTCTCCTTTAAACAGTCTCTGTTTAAATAATACAAATGATATTCTATGAAAAGACAGCTTTATTGTCTTGGACAAGAATACAATTCTGACTGACCTGCATGCAATTCTCTAATGTCCTTGTGTAGGTGGGGTCAGATAGTTTAATGACCTGTAGCTTGTTGGGTTTCTCCATGTTCTTGACCCATTTATTGGCCTGACCTTGAGGGTCAATCATGAGAGGCCATCGGTTGGCATTGGTCACTATCAAGGCATTGTCAGTCGAGAAGCTAGAGGGTGAAAAACACAATATAAGTTGATACTATCATAAAGTTTATCTGTATTGGTAGCTTTTGGTCAAGTAGAATACATGTGGCACATTCCACAACTTCCAATTAATATATCCCATGCAGGGCCCAGTCTTATAAACAGCTGTGATTAAATACAATTTATTTGCATTTGATGTCAATCACAACTATGTACATACATGTATAAAGAGATAAGAGACTGCAAACTTGCACTTGATTAGAGGACGTATGATTTATCTTGATAAATCACAATGGGGCCCAGGTTTCATACAATAATTGATATTTTTGCTAGAATGTGACAGATTGATCATTCTTTCAACATTTCAACAGTCTCCTTTTCATTTTCATAAAGCATTATGTACTACGTCATATTTTAAAGTTCCTTGGACCACAATAAAATGAGAACTAGTAAACAACAAAGGCAGACAACCAAATGACAGCATTCTTTTTTCAAGTATTTCGATGAATTGTATTGTTTGATATGGGGGAAAGGTACTCTCTATAAACTGAACCATAGAAAGAGTGCAGAGAATAGAAATCTTCAATGAGTTTCTCACTGATTCTAACTTACTTATCAACAGGTAAGCCTGCTAACTGCCAATCGCGAACTTTGACCGGATCTCCAAGAGTAGCAGAGAGAGAAAAGACGCTAGATACTGGAATATCCTTCTCCACACACATATCATACCAGTCCTTCAGACATTCCTGCAATCAAAATGAAAGAAGTAAGAGTTTTTTTGTTCATGAAAATGTGTTTTATCTTAAAACGTGTGAACCCGACTGATCATCATCTGAAAATGTATGTGGCACCAGTCATGTGAAACACTGCCCAGTGACATTAGAACCATCAGTCTTGGTACATTTTAAACAAGAATTAAGCAGCTCCTTTTCACCTAGAACTGCTAGGAAACTTGATGTTACATGGCTTCTTGGAAAATACAAGACATATATATACCTCACACATATACTTGACTAAACAACTGAACTTTGTGCTATTGTAAAACACAGCTACCACAGCACTGAATTTGCGTTAAAAAAATGTACAATATTGTCATTAGCATCAAACTTGAGCATTTCAAAGAACAATTTGTGTTTGTAAATGCAGGAGATTGCAAATTTTTGTAAAAATTGACAAAAACTTTTACAAAAATCTAAAGAAAAGAAAGTAGTTAATATAATTCTAAATGATAGTGTATCGTCTTACCTGTCTAAATGACAATGTGAATGGACCGAGGTAAGCGACTACACCAGCTGATAACAACACATCACCCACAATGTTGATATACGTCTCACTCAGCTCCTCCGTCAGCTGTACATGGGGAAACAGATTGATATATTATAGAAAATGCTATCTATAAATCAGCAATCAGCAAATATGTTTTGAAGCCTTAATTTCTTTTTACTACAAAGTAAACAAATGTTAATTTTACCTTTGAACAGATTGAAACTGGTTATTTTTCAGAAGTGTTGTCTGCTCACTGTCATTCAGTAGAATTCTAACACAACACTAACTTCGTAATATATCTCTCGTCATTCACTGCATCCACTTTGATCAAATGTACTGTGAGAAAGTATACCATGACACAACTTGAAATGATGTTACTCTTTTTTTACAATTTAAGTTTCTAGATTGTACAGTTGTTAATGAGTTTTATCTTACCTGTAGCCATCTATCTTTCTCTCCTCCAAGTCCAGCAATCAGCTTCTCAGCTCGGATCAGTTTCAGCTTTGTCAACTCAATATTATCCTCTAAATCCTTCAGAATACACACAATGAGAACATGATTAAGATACTATATATCATGGAATCCAAGTGATTTGCAAATAAGTGATTTATCCAACTTGTCAATCTATACATTTGATCTGTAGGCTTTGAATCATAATCTAGAATATCACTCAACAAATAATAATCAACTGAGACATAAAGACAGAATGTTCATTCTTGCCATGAACCTGAACTTGGCTAGCAAAGCATGATCATAATAAGTAGGATAATCATTGCAAGATATTGAAAAGGGTCTTATAAAGAGATACATGTATGTGATTGATCTGAATCAAACACAATACCATCAATTCATCTGGATGTAACAGAGTGTATCCCTCACATGTTATGGTTGGGTTTTCAGTGAATATCATGTTGTCGAAGTGTGTTCGTGGTTGAGTGGGTATGCACCGGACTGTGGATCACAAGGTCTGTGGTTCGAGTCCCGCCGTGCCACTGATGTCCTTTGGCAAGACATTGATCTACATTTGCCACGCTCGACCCAGGTGAGGTAAATGGGTACCTGGTAGGATTATTCCTTGAAATGCACTGTTCGCCAATAACGGCTGTTGGAGCTAAAGCTAGGGTAATCATTTCCAAAGCTCTTTGGAAGCGCATAGGGACGTTATAATATGATAAACAAGAACGGAATGTTATTTATTATGGTAAGTTATGATTGATTCAGATCATATGCTATTTCTTTCAGAACAGGGCCAAGAGCAAAGCAAAAACATTTCGTACCTTCTTCTCTCCTTCTTTACGAGATAGCTGGTCATTCAGTGCTTGTAGTTTCCCCATGATCTCCTTCAAGACACCTCTTTTCTCATTGAGATGACCTTCTTGCTCCTCTAGTTTAGATTCCGCTTCCTGAAGACGTGCTTTCTTGGGGGCAACCACCTACATAACCAGGTCACATTATAAAAAGAGGCTTAATACTAACTCTAGCGAATGGAACGTAGCAAAAATGAAAACTTAACTTGCTGTTTTCTGTATGAAAATAAAACAAAATTTGTTAGACTGTTCAACTGGTAAAATGCCATCTGGCATGCTCACAACCGATGATTTTAATGAATAAAAGTTAAAGTTGTTGGGGCTGGTGTGTTCCTATCTACTCTAGATCTAGCTACTATATATTCATGAAAGCAACGAATAACAAAGGCTCTTCAGCAGAGATCTACCTTTTAGTCCATATACCTTCATTTTTATTTTTATAGGAAAATTAAAATCATCACCACATAATTATCACCTGAGCCAATAAAAGTAGAGGCCTCTCAATACGGGATCAGCTCCCATCTCCTTTGCACCAGAAACATAGGATTTATTAGAACAGTAGGGCCATTAAGGGGTGCAGCTACCAAGTCCCCTGCAGGGGCAGGTATTCCATTCAAACAAATTTCGGTTTTCTTCAAATATAAAAATGATTCCTACAATTTGTGGCCACAATCCATACCAACATTGCCGTATGAAATCATATCTATACACTTCATGATCTATCTTGAAAACTTGAGCCTTTGGCTCAGGCGAGCTATAAAAAAAAATGAAACATGAATGTGCATTAATTACCTTGGCCACTCTATCATAGACCTCCACGGCCCTGACCCAGCTGCACAGACCTTCACACGCAGAGGATACCTTCTTGACCACTTCAGGTCTGAAGTCTGGATTGTTGATATACTGGTCTCGGATCTTCTTGGTGATTGCAGGAGGGATGTTGTCTTTGTCATACTCCCTGAGAGACTCCAGAAACTTCATATCCCCAAGCATCTGCAATCAAATTAGGATTTGTTTAAGCCATTCGCAAATAGCATGATTCTGATATACTGACCTCGCGATTAATTGATGCAAAGTTTTATTGGTCAGTCTTTTACTAAAATGATACTTCTGTCAATCTGAATCTAATGTTTCATCAAAAAATTCAGTCAATATCTCTATTTTGCTCTGATTGGTAAAAGTTGAATATCAATAGTGCAGATTAAGCGTCATCCCCTAAAATGCATGCCTCTTCATTGTATTATCACTTTGATTGCTTAAATGAGTTTTCTTCTCTAAAATGTAGTATTTATACCAATCTATTGTTCTTTGAGACATGCTTCGAGGACACTTACCCTTTTCGCTCCTGGCCAGTAGTCATCAAATGGCTTGCCTTGATCATTAGTCTTCTTTTCTCCCTTTATCCCCTACAAAAAGAAAACAATTTCTTAAAATGACTTGGTTGCTATACACCATCATGAAACTGACTATTATGGTAAAATATTATGTTCAAAGTAAATGTTTGCACTCTTTTATCTACACATAAAATTAAAAACAAAGAAAGTTACGTGTATCTGCCCTACGAACCAACTATTTGTATATTCATTGTCATCATCATGGGTAGCATCACTATTATTTACACAATAACACCACCTAAATTATCATTATCACTACCATCATCATCACCATTATCAACATCAACATCACCCTACCCATCACCATGGTCAACAATACCATCAATATCACCCCTAACTATCATCATCACAATCATCATCATCACCATCACCATCACCGCAAAAATTGTCATTACAATCACCAGCATCATCATCATCGCCCTCATTATCATGAACATCATCACGACCACACCACCTTGACCACCACAACTCTCATCTTCATTATCATCTTCATCATCATCATCATCATCATCATCATCATCATCATCATCATCATCATCATCATCATCATCATCATCATCATCATCATCATCATCATCATCATCATCATCATCATCATCATCATCATCATCATCATCATACATATCTAACCATTCATGATGTAGATGGCTTCCATAACCAGTCTGACACGAACATGGGGATATATATTTCATGGGTTTAACATTGGTGATATTATCTTGAGAATATCAAGAACCCCCTCCCCCTAATCATAATCACCACCACAACCACTACCATCATAACTGTTACCATCATTTACACCTCCATCACCTTAACCATAGTCAACATCACAATGATGATGTATATCTAACCTTCATGATGCAGATGGCTTCCATAACCAGCCTGACACCAGCCGGAGGGTTCAACATGGTTTTCACTATGGTGATATCCTGCTGTTTAAGTGTATTCAACGCTCTCACAGCAGCATCCAATGCTGGCATGGCAACTGCTAGATTCGCTTCACAGTCCTCCTGCAGATGCAAAAATATAAAAAATCTTCTTAGATGAAAAAAGAAATTAATTGTGGTTTGTAAGCTTACATAGCTTAAATTTTTGAAATTGAACAAAATAATACTAAAGGAAAAATTGTACAACTGTGGAATAATAAGCATGCAGTCAAACTTGTATAATAATACTCCACACTACATGGATGCAAAATGAATTTGACCATTAACCACAAATTTCCTTTTTACAATTTCATATGTTAGATGTGGATTAAATGACACTTGTAATGGGTGACTATGCAGTCTGTACGCCTACAAACTAAGTGTACATGTAAGAAATATTTTAATTTGTTTTTTAATTGTTAAAGACCTCTAGCAAGAAAAGTATCAGGATTGGACTGACCTTGATTGCCTGAGCTTCGTTTGCAGCAGCATTAGCCACAGCCTCATCAGCAGCAACAATCTGTCTCTTAGCATCAACCTCCTGAGTCTCTTCTTGTACAATCACAATCAGTTTATCAGTCTCCTTACTGTTCTCTATCAGCTTGGGTTGTAAGGCTGTCAACTCCTCTTGCATCACAGAGATCTAATTATCAAGAGAATTAGGAACAACAAATAAGTTAAAGGCATCGTTTAACAATGTTAAATCTGAGATGCATGGTCCTACGTGTTATCAGTGTCTGTGATATGGTGTAATATTGAAGCCCTAAAAAAAATTGCACTTTAAAATGATCATGAAGTTCTTCAAAAAAGTAAAAATCTTTGAGTGACCGGTTTTACCATACTCAATTTTCCCCAATAGACTGTAGTGTTATAAAAACCGTCAAGAACACAAAAAATATGAATTTAGATTTCCAATCATAAATATCTTGATAATCAGACAGGCTATCGGCTTGTAAAAGTCGTGGGATTCCTGACTGACCAACAGGTTTATGATTATTATTGCAGCGTGAGCTAATTAGTCCAGGATTTTGTTTCAGAATCTGAGGCAATTTTACTGAGTCACTTTAAAAGAAGCGGCACTACCCCCCCCCCCCCCCCCTGCATCACAGGGAATGATGACTTATGTCAGAAAGAAATTCATCAAAGGCAATAGCTTATTTTGTAATTTTCATGTGTATTCATATACTAGTATTTGATATAAATATATTATGCTTTGTATTGCATTATGCAACGGTGTTATTAAAGATGAACTGAACCTCCATCTCTCGCATATAAAAGAACATATATCTGATTCTATATTCTTGTTAGCTCATCTTGCATCACCAAGATTAAAATACCACAGCAGGAAACATATTACTTTGAGGAAACATTGATCAACATCAAATCAAAAGTGTATTCATATACTTGTTCTTGATATAAATATATTATCTCTGTATTTCATTATACCATAGTGGTTTTCAAAATAAACTGAACCTCCATTTCTCACATATACAAGAACAAGAACACAAAAATAGCTGCACAAACATGCAAGTAGCTGTCACAGATACACTCTAGACTTTCTTTGAGAAACAAGAGATTGGACCGAGCGTAAAATAATACTGACCTGAGACGCAGCAAAGTCCAGTTTCTCAAGTCCCACCATGTATCTATTCTTAAGAGTAAAGATCTCCATTCTCTTGCGATTAAGAAGCGTCTTGAAAGTCTTGATGAGCTCCAGGTACGAGGTCGGTGTCACATAGTTGGCTCTCCTCAGTATAGTGAAAAACCTGTTTAAACAAACAAATATTCTTTAGTTTTCATTAACGTCTATTTATTAAAACTAACTAAACATTGTAGGCCTACCTAGAATTTTCACACAAAATACCTACCAACTTTAAAAAGAGTTTGCCAGCACATGTGTGTCCTCTATTACCAAAGAGATAGGTATGTATGCCAGATTGCATTTATAAAAATCAAAATCAAAGTGAAGAATAGAAGACAAGGATAGCGCAAGAGCCTCACTGGAAAGTAGTATGATACAAAGCATTCCAGCCCAATTGGTCAGGTAAGAATGACTGTTTATTTGCTTCTACATGTAGTTTATTAATATAATGATTGCAATAAGAATTCTCGAAAATTACCATCAAGAGTGACTAGTCGTTATAGGTCATGTATGTATAAAAGCACTTACCTGTCTGACATAGCTCTGACGCTCTCGTGAAAGTGTTTACACATGACGACCGTCTCCGCTCTGATCTCATCCGACATCTCAACATCATCTAAGAACTTGTGGGCTACCATCTCAAGAGCATCTTCTGGCCAGGCCTGAGTTAATAAATAAATCAAAGACAACTTTCATATTGGAGCCATGTTAACGGGACAATACGTGTACATGTCCATGTAAAACATTCAAGTTAAACATGTTTCAAAGTTTCATGTTAACAGACCATCAAAACCAACTGCTTGAGCAATTGGCAAACCTTGAAAGTCATAATGGATATTAGTCTGTAATCTAAAGCACACTATATGATCCCACTACAATCTCATTTTGGAATATTTTGCAATAGCATTTGATACAACCAATCAAACATGTAAAATCTTAATGCCCAAGGATCCGAATAGATGATGATTCATAAAATCTAAATTACAAGGGATTTTATGCTTCCTTGTAAGAGGAAAAACTAAATTGGCTCAGAATTGTAGTGATTTCAGACCAGTAGTGTGATTGTCTACAATTTGAAACCAATACAGCTTTTATTCTGCCTAAATGCACCAACAATTCTGGTTGTTGGTATAAATTCTTCTCATTATTTAGAAACTAAATCAGGGAGACAATTTTGTTTAGATTTCCTATATCTAACACAATTGCCATTTCTTCAAAAATCAGATCACAGGATGATCGTGTTGTGCGCGGTGGGCTTTGATGTTACAGAAATATCCAAAGCCTACATAAAACACACATGCCCAACTGTGTAACATACTTTTGTTCAGGATGAAGGTACATTATGAATACAAACATTCAGAATCCTACCATTGAGTTACCTCTCAAATACGCAGTAGAACTAATTTACATCCTATGCAATGCACTTATAGTTACATCAAAGCTGCTTTGAATGTGTACAACTTACCTTGAACCAATCAATGGTACAGCAGTTGATAAGAGAAGGAAACATCCTAAGTCTGTTCCTAAAGGCATCTCCAATAGGACTGAACGCTAATACTACATGAAGGTTGCGTCTGATTCTCTCTATGAACTTGTTGTACATGTTGAGTGGTGTCATCTCAATCTGAATGTTTTCTGCTACACATACTTGTTGCATCTGCATAGATAAAGGATAACATACAATTTCTTTAATAATGTCATTAATTCAATTTCTGCAGACAAGCACCATTCATCAAGAAAAGGTGTTCTTCCACAGCCCTGATATAACAAATCAACTCTGCATTTTTAGCTGAAATAAGATCATAACGATACAGTCATGTGATTACACAACGGTAAATAAGATTTTTGTAAACTTGCTCTCAAAAGGTGCATTAGCACTAAAAACAAAACAGTCTTGAAATGATGCATTTGAATAAAGTGCAAATTCATCATGATGGCCCCCTTACAATACTAGTCCTATAAGAGTTCATGGAAGTAGAAAACATGTTAAAATAACAAAGGAAAAACATTTGAGCTATTAACCCATGACCCTAAGATTTCTCCAGTCCAAACTCTAAAAGATATTTTATTTGCCTATAAAAGTAACTTTATCAACAATTTGTTTTCCTTTCTCTGTTTTTAAATTATTATGCCTTCTCCCTCTACAACATTCTAGATGTCAACGCTTCTCACCTTCTCAATAATCTCAAGACGTTCTTCATTTTCAAACAGGTTAGGTATGTCTCCTGTGTTTAAGATCATGTTGATATCTTCTAGAAAGGATTCCTCCTAAGATCACAAAATGTGGAGAAAATGATGGAAACTTTCAAAATAAAATAGATAATGAAATATATAACAGAAAATAGCAACAGATAACACATGTTGATGTTCTTATATATTCTCTACAAAAAAGGCCAATGTTCCCTCTACCTAGAGAATTATAACAATAAAGTTACATTAAAAAAAAAAAAAAATTACATCAAAGGAAATAGAAGGTTTAAAAAGGTTACCCAAATCGTCTCCTGGAGAGTGTTTCACAAAGACTAAGATCTACTTTACGTTGGACTTAAATATGGCAGGAAGTTCATACCACTGTTTGCTCTCACCATTATAATCTTTAGATAATATTTTTTCCTTTAATAATGAATTATCAAAGAAAAATAAATTCTGTAGATTTGTGACCATTATTTGTATGTCCCTTGAGAGACTAATGTCAGTAAATGGTGAGAGCAAACAGTGGCATTAACAGCCTGCCATAGTTAAGTCTAACTTAAAGTTGATCTTAGTCTATGCGAAACACCTCCCTGGTGTTTAATACGGCTCTTAGACAATGTATGGTAATCATCAGCTTAATTACTAAAAAGACAACCTTACCTTGATTTGATGATCACCAAACAAGAAGACAGTACTACACCCTTCATCTCCTGCTTTCCTCATTAGCTGTCTGATATCATCTCTCCAATCGGCTTGTGTGTAGTTCTTAGTAATCTCTATACTGAACAGTTCGTACATAGCCATGAAGGATGCCAAGCGGGCTGCGCTAGCTCGACCGCTACCACCAATACCTGAAGGAGAGGATAGGATTAACAATCAGAAGTTGTCTTTTAACACAGAATGTTTTTTTGTTTATTGGAAGGACTAGATAACTGCTCTGAATGATATTAAAACACATTTAGATGAGTGAAGACTACATGATGGGAGAGCAAAGTAGTTATAATGTATAGAAGATCTGGACATTTGAACCTTTGTATTACATACAAGGTCAATAAATACAGTGTATTTAAGTACAAATTCCTTTCAAGAACATTGAATTTTGATAACAGATTTCTTGGGGAATATGACAAAATTGTACTTACTCTTTTCAAAAGTACCGGTAAGTTTAATTTCTCCTTAATATATGAACATGTATGTTAGCACAGGGGTTACCACATTATGTGGTTTTGGCTTCCACCGACCTTTACCAAAAAAATGCATGATTTGACACTAGTCTATTCCACTGTTTTTTGCAACATCAATATGGAGACAAGTTAAGAGGCAGTTTTACAGTTGACTCACCAACGAGAAGAGCATGTCCATTGGGTTGCTTAAGGACTCTACTGATCCTTGAGATGTGTTCAATTGCAAACCGGAACATCACCAGATCCATGGGAGCTTTAGTCATCATGTTATACTCCTCTAGATACTTCTCAACATTCTAAAATAAACAACAACAAAACTTGTAAAACAGCAGTCAAAATGAATTCAAGCAAATTCATTTTCATTGAATATGTGAATACTTTTTAATATATATGCAGGAGGGAGGGAATCTTGTAGCGCTTCATGTCCTATAGGTATTAGGATTTGGAAATACAAAGTATGAATCATCAGTTCTCATGTTGAAAGTGAATAGATAATGATAAATTGATTGATTTTTTATAAATATCAGAGTCACTGATAGATAGCAGAGCTATAAAAAAAGAGTTTGGTAATTCAGCACATTTCCCTCCCTTCTAATGGATAAGTTGGTGATTCAATCCTAATGAGCCGTGATACGATTTAAGTTTACCTCTCTGAGCCCCTCCAGATCTGTGATTTCATCATAGTTCTTCTCCTCATCCTTGGTCCTCATATAATCTCCAAAGAACAAGCTGCAATGTCAAGGAGAAGAACAATCTTGATCTCATTCTAACAAAAGCATATAATGAATAAAGTAAACTTTGGAAATGAAAGATGTCAGCAGTGGGATACAAAGCAAGATAATACAGTTGGACAAATATCAATTTAATCTTTGATAACTAGAATGAGCTGTTTTAAATTCAGCTCAGAATCATGAAAGAAAGCACATATTTCTGAATTTTACTGGTAAAATTAGATGTCAAATTATTAAACCAGTAACAACTTATTTTACCTTAAAAGTTTTCAGTGGACTCTGAACACTAAGCAATAGCATATAATGCGGACTTTTTTCTGTATCAAACAATTTTTAATATTTTTTGACAGCTGCTAGAGTATTTCTATGAGGATGGCAGCAAGATATTCTGTAGTGGATTTGCTATTACACATGAAGTTATATGTGGTTGTATAGCATTACAATGAGCTACTCACTATAAATATAGGCAAATTGGTTGCAGGGTTCTCTACTTTTAATAAGAACATGTTGTCAAAATATACTTACCCATACAAATTTACATTAATAATGAATTGAAAAATGCAAAATACTAACACAGCTCATGCAACATGCAAAATTCAAATGTGAGCATGCAAGCGTGCAAACAAAACTGCATAATATTAAACTACTGCTAGATTTAATGCATTAATGATACACTAAATAAATATACAAAAACTATATGATCTATTCTGCTAATCCATCCATTGGTATAAGCAAGAAACATTAGAATTTGTATACATTTTGAGAGAGTGCAGCTACATCAAACTACCTGTATTCACACCTAAAGTGATAAGTGATTAGTAATCACAATTAAAGTAAAATAAAAGAAAGCATTCCAAAGTGTTATGGGTTGCAACCACAAATTTTTTTTTTTTTTAATATAAAGAAATCGTGCAATACTTATTTATTTTTTTTTTTTTATTATGCAGGATCCTCCGGGTCTGCATACCATTACCACAAACATCTACATTGCACATGTCAATGAAATATTTCCATTCACCAGCATCAGGACAATTTCCTTTCATCAAAACACAATCTAGAATTCAAGCTATTAAAATACTCATGCAAAAATAGAAAATTAAGTGTGAAAGAGGAAAAATTAAACATGTTAAGTGAAATGATTAAAATAGTTCAGACAAATTCAACTGCATTCGTGAGAAGACTACCTGCGAAGATGTTCATCTCGTATTTCGGGATGTGCGCTACTGCTGCATGATGGGAAGGCAGGGGTGGAATGGATGCAAATAATGTTTATACTCGATGATAAGAAGGGGTTTGAAAGATACATATTGGTTTGCAATCTAAGCTAACATGTATATTCTATGCACAAACACTGTCAGACATTATATAATGATGAAAGCAACATTTTGATACATTTACATTGCCGAGCATCTATACAATAATAAATCTCTATTCTATCCAAAGCAAGAACAGGATTTAATGCTTTTCAACAAACGTGGGGGTATAATGCAGGGTTTATCTCTTTGCAGACAAATAATTCACTTTTCTACATGCATGATCACACACTTTTTTGCGCTAACAGGGCCATCATATATAACAAATTTGAAACTTTGCAAGAATATCACTTTACTCTCAAAATCAAATTTATGCTCTGCACAATAAGTCTAAATTAGACATACATATCAGAACTCAATTCTGCTTCCACTGCTTCCACACATGAAATATATTCAGGATATCATATTTAGGAAAATCTGTTTCATGTTTTTGTAAGAACACCGGGACTTCTATCGTTGTAATAGAGTTTTCAGGTTTTAAGTCTCTATTGCTGGGTAATGTGACTAAAAAGTGTCCTTAGCATATTATTCTATTTGCTTTGGATAAGGTAAAAGAAATTCAATGTATGTACGTAAATGATTTTTCATACAAAGTGACGTTTCTGTTTGGTATTAAACAAGTCTCAAGGATCAGTACAGTTCCTAAACAACCCAATGGACATGCTCTTCTTGTTGGTGAGTCAACTGTACACTAATGAATAGTGTTGGTTACACTTAGTTTTTGTAGAACATTATATCTTATTCATTTTATCTTTGGATCGATTCTCGTTAGCGTTATGTAATAACTGTTCCAACATTGCGATGTATTTAATGTGCTTTTATTGCAAACTCAATGTATAACTCAGCTCTCGGCCTGCTTTGTTCAGTATTTTTAATAAAGCATTCAATAATAATGATAATTAAGAACTGAATGGAACAACCTACCTCCTCATGTTGGTGTCAGTCACCTCTCTACCAGTCGTCAGATGAGTGAAGACTGTGTTCATTTTCTCTTTAAACTGACTCTGAACAACACTCTACAACCGAAAAACAAACAAAATTAGCACAAGAATGCTCACTTATCAATGCATTTTGGTTATTAATTATGACACACACTTTAATAGGACATTGTATAAGAACTCCATATCACATTAAAATGGAATGGGGGGGGGGGGGGGGTAACCAGCAAAAAGCATGTATGGGTAAGTAATACACAAGCAGGTGTGAATAATACAGAGAGATTTTTTTTTTTGGGGGGGGGGGGGGGGGGGTATTCACAGAAACACAATTCATGACATGGAAGGTCAAAGCCACTCATATATATTTTTCTTTGAACATATGTATTTTTTTTTGCCTTTGAATGTTTTTTTAAACAGATATATGGCGCCATACAAATGCTGTGAATCCTCATCATCATCATGGTAGCAAGCTAAAAACTTAAAATAAGCTCTCATTCCTTTTTTTAATACACCAACATAGCTTTGTAAAAAGAATTTTGGTATCGGATGTGCGATATGGCAAACCAATCGTATTAATCACATCAAATGCCACACAGGATTTATCATATAGAGTATAGAAGCTGTGACGTTATAAAAATCTATTTTTAGAATTTCTCAATTTTTTCTTCATTTTCCGAAAGAGCATAAAAAATAATGTCCAAATGTCGAAAACCAATTGAATATGTTAAGTATTGGCTGAGATACGACCATCTGAATAAATATATGTCCTATGGGAACTCAGTGTTATATGCTCTGGCTCTTAGTGGTTAGGAGCCAGAGCATATAACACTAAGCTCCTATGGGGAGTATATTTATTCAGATGGTCATATCTCAGACAATACTTAACATATTCTATTGGCTTTCAACATTTGGACATTATTTTTTATGCTCTTTCGGAAAATGAAGAAAAAATTGAGAAATTCTAAAAAATTAGATTTTTGATGACGTCACAGCTTCACCACTCTATAGTCTGTTGAGAGCCAGAAGGAAGGTAACTCTACTTTAAAGTATGAGTATCATTCTTCTGACTCTCAACAGAAAACATAAAGTAATTGGTACATTCGACCACACCATCTTACAAACAGGAGTGTTCATTAAATCAATGGAAATGCATTGGATGCATCATGAGTACCTTGACCATGGTGAAGAAGGTCTGGCGATCCTCGTCATCAACCAGGCGATCGTAGAAGACCCTGTAGACTTCGTGCACCCAGAGTCGGATGAGTTTCTTGGCTCCGTCCGCTCCCGACGGGATACAGGCTGGCTTGATGAGTAGGATGCCCTGCACCACCCTGGCAAAGTCTCGTAGGTTGAACACATAGTGGGACTTGGATGGGGTTGGCAGGAAGCTGGAGATGGCTTGCATGTAGATCTCAGTGGTAGAGTATACCATGATCTAAACATGACAGAACATAGATTAATGAATTAACCCATCGACTACTGAATTGTCATATTTCCCATACGTTTAATGCAGGAACCACCCGGTTTCAGTGGGCACTTGGTTAAGAATTACAGGGAAGCTCTGAAGTACTAGTCAATACTTTTTAATGATTTATGAAAAGCATTCTTTTACCCAATGGGGTTGTCTTTAACATGTTTTTCAATTCACAATGTACAAAAGCTTTTTAAACAAGGTCTCATAGAGGACATCAAATTTAATTCAATGTTTCATTCTTCATATCACTGATATCCATAAAAGGACCCTATTCCTACAACTACGTGTACCTTCAAAAGCAACGACATATATTTTTTTAACAATTATAGACCCGGTCTCATTAGGAAAATGATTTTTGATTAATTTGCGATTGATTCAACAAAAATCAAATTAATGCCTACATTTTTTTAAAAACTTTTACTCAGTAATAGTCTTTACCCTTGAGTATCTTCTGAGATTGGTCTCGAAGCCTCGGTTGAAATGCCAGTCCAGGAGCGGAGTAAAGATGTTCTTCATGGTCTCCTCGTTGAACGTGTCTATGGCGAGGATGTTGAAGTGACGTAAGAAGCGAGGTGTGACTGTATTCCTACCCCCACCGGGTGGACCCATTGCTGATACTAGCATGATGTCTTCAAGATACAGCACACTTGTGTCTTTCCTGAAATCCAGAGCATCCAAGTATGATAAGCATTAAAGTTTTCACATCTATATTTCTTTTACGTAAGTTTTATGAAGTACATCAAAATTGTGACATATTATGTCATAGTTGGGCTTTACTTTATGTGAACTCGATGGTAAAAAGAGTTCAGTACTCTGTATGTATTGATATACAGCAAGTATACCGCAGATTTAATATCTTATGGTAGTACAATGGTGCTCGAGGTAAGATGCCCATGCAGATACAGAAAGTATTTGTTCAAGTACAAGTCAAGTTCAAATTAAAAAGAGATATATTAAAGCTGAATTACCTATCAAACCAGTAGCCATGATCCACCCAGTGTCTGAGAAGCTCTATAGGAGGCTGTGCACCATATTTCTCCTTGGCTGGCATGTTGAGATCATCCACAAACACCACAAGCTTCTTACCAGGCGTGGGACCATACACACCCTTCTTTCTCCTGTTTTAGCAAAAGAAAACATATATTTTGTAAAGGGATACAACCCATAGGTCCACAAAAACAACAGGTATACACAGTCAAACCTGGTTTAGCAATCACCTGTCTACAAAGACAACGTTTTTTGTTTCCCTTTGGTGGTCTTTATAGGCAGGTTTCACTGTATCATATCATGTTAGGTATACACAATTTTGAGCCAATGTTGGGCCCAGCCAATAACATTTCAAAGGGTTGCTAGTCAGATTAATGATCTCTATCTTGTAATATTTAATGATCCTTTTATTCCACTTTTGTGCAATCTTGTGGAAGACAACTAAAAAATGACATCCTTCCAATCTGAAATTCACAAATGATTTCATAAAATATCAAGCAGATGTGTAACAATACTTTGTAGGACCAGGGCCCTGTAACATAAAACGTTACAATTAATCATATTGTAGTGTTCGTCAATTAATTGTAACTTTAAAATAAATAGTAATTTAAAATAAATTTCATGTTACACTTTAGAAATAATACATAGTCAGCTTCAATAAATTGCAGTTAGATTGAGATACATGAGATTTTGATGAATGAATGTAAGTTGATTTTAATGTTACAAGGCCCTGAAAAGAATGACAGAAGAAGAATGAGAGCGAGAGAAGGAGAAAGAGGGGAGATGGAGAGAGAGAGAGAGAGAGAGAGAAAGAGGAAGAGAGAAAGGGAGATAAAGAGAAAGAGAGAAATAGAGAGAAGAGAGAAATAGAGAGAGGGAGAGAAGATAAAGAGAGAAACAGAGAGAGAGAGAGAAAGAGAGAAAGGGAGAGAGAGTGCAAGGCTGTTTTCTACCAATACTTACTCACCTGTCAAGCTTAGATAAGATGATATCCTGCGTCTGATTGGCTGAGGTCTGAGCTGAGAAGTTGAGATTGTTTGGGATGTAATCCCCCTTGGCCAGGTCTAGAAGGAAGGCGTTGGTGATGGCTGATTTGCCTGTACCTGTCGGACCTACAAACAGGACCTTCTCACCTTGGAGTAGTAACTTCTTGAGGAAAAAGTTCTGTCGCTCTGTATCAACCGTCTTGATGATTAACTCATTCACCTAGTATTAATAAGTTTAAGAATAGGGGGGGGGTGCAGGTATCAGTTAACACAACACATCAACACAGTAACTTACAATGTGTACATATAATATCTTAAATACAGCAGAATATAAGCCTTTTGTTTGATTGCAATTTACGACCTACATGTTTCACAAATTACTTCAGACAACAACATTTACGAGGCTGCCATGTGGAATTTTTAAAATAAATACCAATGTCAATAACAAATTGACATTCATTCAAAGAGAGAACAGGGGAGAAATAAAGACACAATAAAGTCATGTGAATGCAGATTATTGCAGATGCCATTCATATCAACTGTAGAACAAGAGACCAAAAAAAAAAAAAAAACAGCACAGCACACAATATCTTACCATCATCTATTTAAAAAAAAGTGTGCAGAATTTTGGATATAAATATAAATAGTCCAATGTGATGCATGTAAAAAGGAAAAGAATAATTAAATAATCATAAAATAAACATTATGTATAAATAGCAGAAATGTGATATAAAACATTACATAATCCAAATTCGTGTGACAGCATGCTATAGAGAAAGTAGATATCTATTCATTAAAAAGATTAATTGATCATTTATGTCATGAACTAAAGCTATAATCATAAAAGCCATTCCATGTGAGAACTTTGATAGGTAGTACAGTCAGACTGTCTATTAAAGGGATCCGGTAACTTTGTCTCAGATTCTGAAACAAAATTCTGGATTTAGCTCATGATGCAAGGATAATTATAAACCTTTAGGTCAGTCAGGAACCCCATGACTTTTACAAGCCGATCGCCTGTCTGATTATCAAGATATTTATGATTGGAATTACAAATTTTGAAAACCGTTCGCCTGACGGTTTTCATAACACTACAGTCTATTGGGGAAAACGAGTATGGTAAAACCGGTCACTCAAAGATTTTTATTTTTTTGAAGCACTTATTCATCATTTTAAAGCGCAATTTTTTTAGGGCTTCAATATTACACCCTATCACAGACACTGATAACACGTAGGGCCGTGTATCTCATATTTAACATTGTTAAACGATCCCTTTAAGGCCACCCAAGGGAAACATGAAAAAATGGACACTGCAGACAGGTGGCCTTTCTAGACACGTTCTTCAACACACATTTCTCTCTCTCTCTCGCTCTCTCTAAATGACCACTATTGGCAGGTGGCCTTTATAGAGAGGTTGCCACTAAGACAGGTTTGACGGTATCTCAATATCTTTCCAATCTACCTACCTGAGTATTATCAGCGATCTCAGTGGCAGTGACGAAGGTCGCCCATTGGTTCCAAGCCCCGAAAGTCTTCCTTGTGTAGACGTAATCAAAGACTGAGCCTCGCTTGGGAATCAGTAGGTTACGAGCAAACTTGAGTTCCTTAGGACGCGGATGCTTCCCTGTGGTATCCATGTCACAGAGCTGCTTGAAGAACTCACTGAAACTACGGGCAAAGAAAGATAAAGGGGATCATATATCAGAGCAGATTCTACCGTTTCTACGGGTTCAATTAACCATCTTGAATCATCTCTGATGAACCTCTCTTGGGATTCAGGAGATAACGAGCAAACTTGAGTTCCTTAGGACGAGGGTGCTTCCCTGTGGTATCCATGTCACAGAGCTGCTTGAAGAACTCACTGAAACTACGGGCAAAGAAACATAAGAGTACCATATGTTCAGAAATCTTTCTATGGGTTCATTTAAACATCTTAGATCATCTCTGATGAACGTCTTTTAGGATTCAAGAGGTTACGAGCAAACTTGAGTTCATTAGGACGAGGGTGCTTCCCTGTGGTATGTCACAGAGCTGCTTGAAGAACTCACTGAAACTATGAGCAAAGAAACATAAGAGGGTCATATATCATGTCATATCATGAAAAGATCATCTTCAATTGACCCCACTAATTATTCTGTCAATGCTCTATCAACTGAGAGTCTAGTACACCAGATAGATGAAAGGAAGAAGGAGCACTTAACAAAGTTTTCAATACCTGACTGTACATGTATATACCAGGGGTGATAGTGAGCACTAAAAAAAAAAGGTTTGTTTTTCCTCATTTCCTCAATCACCCCCCCCCCCCCTTGAATAAAAAAATTTAAAAAAGGATACAGGGAAAAAAGACATTTCCCTCTTTTGAATAACAAAATTGGGAAAGAAAACAAATAATCAGGCAATTATCAGGCCTGATATACTGCAACATAGGAAATAGACAGCTTCTCTTTATTTGACCTCACATGCTTTTCTCTGAATGCTCCATCAACTGAGACACTAGCAGATCAGATAAATGAGAGGAAGAAGGAGCACATAAGCTGGTATTTTATCATGCTGAGCGACCCAAAACATATTCCCTGGTTCTTAAATTCCTGTTGCACGCAATTCAGCCCGTTCAAAACACGCATAAGAAGTCATGCATATTATTTCGCGAGCTCTTAAACTTGCGCTTGCCGATCTTAGCGCGAAATTCGCGAAAAATTAATGTACTCCAAATATTTCTACTTTTACAGTATATATATTTATACTGAAATTAGGAAATAGACAGCTTCTCTATATTTGACCTCACATGACCCACACTTACTTTTCTCTGAATGCTCCATCAACAGAGACCCCGACAGACCAGACGAGTGAGAAGAAGAAGTAGCACATCATCATGTTAGAACGTTCATCAAGGATCTTCTGATCAGAGAGCGAGGCATCAGGATCATCTTCCTCATCTAGATCCTCAATGTCACTTTCAGTCTCCTCCCTAAAGTCAGTGATCGAGTTTATATTAACATATGAACAAATAGTTCAGCTGCAGTGACTACATATGAGTTTTATGAATGAACTTCCAGATATTCAGTGAAGACTAAGAAATGGGACTGCATATTTGTATTTAATCCACCCATTTCATTTTAATTGCAAGATGTTTATACTTAAGAACGTTTATATATTCAGTGCATACAATGAATGAAACATAGATATTTATTCTATTCAACCTGTTTCCAATTACTTAGGATTGCATGTCTATATTCATTTTGATGCAGCCTTACAAAAAACTGTACAATATGTTGACGTTAGTAGAGATACTGACTTGCAATTTCAATTTATTTTTTTGAAAATGTATTTATCATTTTCTAGGAAGAACAAATGTGTCAAATTGTATCAATTACCAGAAATACATATTAATCTATTGGCTTATGCCTGACTAGGTCTACCAATCATCCTTTGAAGAAAAAAAAAGAAGACTAGTTCACTTTAGCACATGTATTGTTTAAATATCATACCTCCTCTTTATAGCCCTGTGTTAGCAGCAAGGGGTCACCATCAATATGGGGTTAAGGCCAAAGGTCAATTGTTATGCAACCAGCACCACAGCAACCATTAAAAAATGCAATTTTAAAACAAACAAAAAAACAAAAATCATGACAAAATGGTGAAATTAAACAAATATTGTGGAACAGTTAATGGTCAAGGTGTCATATTAATAACCGTTGGCTTTTGGGTGTGAAGGTGACAGTGAATATGCTTGTGTTTAATTGCAAACAACAAAATTACATTATTCCATTTCATTTATAAACTGATGTAAAACAAAATATTAGTCTTGGCAATGTTTATAAAAGGTAGATTTTCCCAATGTTAATGCATCAACTGTACCTCATCTCTTATTTAAAAGCAAAACCTTTGATTTGTCATTATTGTTTACGAGTCAAACATAATGTATTTTCTCTAAAAAATATGGTGTGTGTAACTTTACTTGTACAAACAGGATTTAAATTTGCAATCTTACATATCCATGCATGTTTTGTTGAAGAAAAAATTTAAAGCCATAAATGTGAATTTAGTGAATATACACAAAATATGAGTTAAATAGCAAACATGAATGTAATCATATCATATAAATCAAAATGGATATTTGGTCTATTCTTTTAAATCCCACATAAGCAGATATCACATAAAGAATATGCAGATGTTTGTAACTGACTATGAAATTATGATTTGCATTTGAACCCAATATTTAATAAGTTCACATACAAAATAATTTTAATTGGCAAAGCTATGCATTAAAAATGTTAGAATTATATTTTCCTTTTCTTTTAACCTGCAGAGCAAAAAGCAAAGCGTCTGTTATATCAGAGATATTAATATCTTATTACATAATAATAATTCCTTCCTTCAATTTTGGTATCAAAGGGAACAAAAAAAAAAGATGTAGGCCTACATGGCCAATTTTCCATTTTTTTTTTCCATTGCACTTAATTGATAAACTTACACAATTTGTAACAATTTTATTCCACATCGTTGACGAAAAAAACAAACACAAACAAAATTTGGATTCACTCAAGTCACAAACAAATAGTGGTTAATCACCAAAACTGCAAAAAAAAAGTGTCATTAAAAGGCAAATTGAAGACTTGTAGACTTGCGTGTATGTGTGTGTGGGTGTGTGTGTGTGCAACTGTGATTGTGTTTGTGATCTTACCCAACATCTGTGAGGAGGCATTTGTAGAGCCTGAGCATAGACATAGTCATGTGCATAGGGGACATGGGTACAAGCTGACGACAGGTACGACTAGCATGGAGTAAACACGGTGGTAGCAACCATTCAAACAACATCTGAGTGCGTTAAGAGAGATAGAATAACCATCACCAATAACATCACATCACATCATCTTTAGGGAAGGGAAATGCAATCATTGTACTACAGGGTACCTCTAATAAAGAGTTCAGATTGATCTGAATTGATTGCAAGGCCTGCAATCAATCACAAGTGTGCAGTCTTCTATCTCATATGTATATAGTTGCGATTGATATTGATCACAAATTAGTTGCGATCAATCATAATTGTTTATAAGATGGGGCCCTTATCCATATACCTGCTGATCTAACTGTCACTTACATATAGGCTTGGTGTCTTTAATATGTGATACATTTAAAATATTCTCTATGGTATTATTATGGTATTATCCTGTGCTTAGCCAAAGTGATTGCTAAAGATACTGTGATAAATGTTGCATTCATAAGAGATGGAATGCAGGAACTATGTGAGCATACATTCATATATCCAGAATGGAGAAGTTGGACCTACTTTAATTAAATCTTTGCTTGAGTGGGTGGACTACAGGCACTAGGTTTTAAATAACTTGTTTTGTTTTTGTGCAATCAACTACACTGTAAGATTTATTTTGGCTAAATATGGAAGACAAAAGATAACGGTCGCTACTGAGTGAGGTTACCAGCGTACTATACCATATGTATTATATGAGTACATGTCCACAGTATGAATGTAGCTCTCCATCACAATGCTATTGACATAAAAAGGAGCATTCAAGTTTATAAAGGCCTCTATCAAAATATATGCAAAATTAATTTTCATGATAAAACAGCTTTAGATTTATAAACAGTTAACTCTTTCATAATGTAGAACAAAATATATAATATATAATATAACATATGTAGAACAAAATATCCATACTTTTTCAGTTAATCTAATGTTTTTGATTTGGACTGACTTATGGTGTGGGAAAGGAAACTATTTATGATCAGCAGGTGCCAATGACAGAGATAAATTCAACACTCATGAGTTTAAAGACTTTACAAAAAGAAACCCTGTGGTATTGTAACAATGATGACATGACTAACCTGCATGGTTTCTTTCTGTTGTTTATTTATGAAGTCTGGTACTTCATGTTCCATCCATGATGCTACTAATGGCTGCCAACCTAGCTGAGAAGGTTCCATGTAGATCATTCCACATCTAAATCAAATCAAAGATTAAACGTTACAAGCAAAAAATGACACTCTGGAGTGTTAAGAGACTTTAATACACTGTAAAAACAGGCATGAGTATGGTGAGGTGCAATGGAACACTGTCATACAGATTTAAATGAGATATCAGAAATAAGCTCTTATAATTGTCAATTAAAGTTGAACTAAGGCAGCTGTACTAGGCACGAGGAACAAAACTCTGTGCTTCATTCTTGAAATCATATGAATCACTGTCCACAAATAATTTTTGAGTAGAGGTGTTGTGGTCTAGTGGATACGTCGCCAAACTGTGGATTGTAAGGTTCACTGTTCGAGTCCTGTTACGGCACTATCCTTTGGCAGGACATTTATCTACATTTTCTGCTCTCTACCCAGGTGTTAAATGGTTACCCGGAATGATGTGAACATTAATGTGGTTAGATTCTGGCACCTGGCCAGAATACTCCCAAGAGAGCAGAACGTGTGCACTTTCACGTGCGGGGTAATAATAATTACAATGTAAAGCGCTTAGAACATAGTATTCAGTGCTATATAAATGAAACTATTATCATTAAGAACGTCATCCATTTATTATTAAAAAAAGAACATTAAAGTACATTATAAAACTGCTGAACAGTACAAGTTTCAGCTTTGATAACATTAAGAGAATAATTGCAATTACTGATCTTGTGTGACTGATTAAGGTGTAGTGTATTACCTGCTGACAGTAGCCGGGGAAGCTTGTTCTAGATCCTTAGGTTCAAAGATCATGTTCTGTTTATTGCTCATCTGAATGATCTCACCACTCATCAAACATAGCTGCAAATAATTAAGACCAAATAAATTTCATGGTGACTTTACATCCAAACCACGTGACAGAATGAGAATTCATAACTTCATCCTGAATTACAATCCAGAATTTAAGATTTAAAAAAAAGAATTTGTCATTATAAACATAATTTCAATACATTTCTACACATTCAGTCATAAATTTTGTTTGTCACATTTGACAATCAAATTTTTTAAGCCTTAACACACATATGATCCTTTTAAGAGAAGAAAACAACTTGAACAGTAAACTAATATAACCTAAAGTCAAAGAAAAAGGCTTCTTTGAGAAATTCCATAGACAACTCTATCAAAGCAGGATATATATTATAATACTTCATTTCTTTAAAAAAAAAAATAGAATTTGGGAATTCCCCTAAGTTCACAAATAAACACTACCTTTTTATTATCATCGAGCACTGTGTTCATATTTTCAATCCAGACAGCATCTACTGGTCCATCAAATATACACCATTTCCTACTGTCTGATGTACTAGAAGCATGTTCTCTGAATGTATTAGCCAATACACCATCAGACCATTCGTGTGAGACAGGGTCAAATCGGCCGTACAGCTGACCCATCGTGATGGCCTTGGGGTTGATGATTCGGTACTCAACCTGTCATTCCAACAAAGGGAAGAAACGTGTTAGCACTGTACTCTGTATATAATATCTATAGAAATCTCGTGTGATTAAGCTCAAAAGTCGGACATTGAATGATCCAAACATTGTTTGTGACATCGTGAAGGCCTTGGGTTTGATGATGTGATACTAAACCTGTCAAAAGGGGAAGCACTGTACTCTGTATATATTATCTAAACATATCTTGTGTGATTAAGCTGAAAAGTCAGACCGACCTTGAATGGTTCAAACTTTGTTTGTGACAAAAGAAATATGATAATTTTCTTTTCTTTTGGAGGTCTATTACTTCGCACTGCTCTTAGTTTAGCATACTCTTTATTAGATATGGATCAAACCTCTACATTGCTACATTGTTGGGAATATATGATATTAATGTACAATTTCCATGTGACTACTAGTTGGGTGTGGAAGTACATAATATGTTTCATTATTTGACCAAAGATGGTAAGGAGTTAACCTACATTGATATAAAACCGAGCCTGCATCATAACGCCTTACTAGATGAAATCAGTATAACTCTTTATGAAAACCTTTTCCTTTCAAAACAGGCACTTGAATCTGACGCATCCCTCTTATTCATTGATAGAACTGCGATATGTCTTACTCTGTGTTCATCCATGAGTTTGGCTTTTTCCAGATCCCCAAGAGCATCCGAGAGAACCTTGAAGGCACTGGTCTTACCTCCGATGGTATCACCTACAATCATCAGACCATGACGGACCAGAATCATCTCATAAATCTGAAGTGGAAAGGAAAAAAGTTGAAAGAGACACATGATTCAGGATAAAACAAGTCCCTCTGAGAGGACAAACATTATATTAAAGATAAAACACAAAGTGGAGGCTAGGGTAGGGGGCAGTTCCCACAAATAAATTTAAAAAAAGAAAATGCAATAAATTATCAATAATTCATTGAATTTCCCCCCGGTCCCCAACATAAAAAAATCCTCTGTACAGCCATGCATTATGGCTCAAGGCATGGGCACACAGAGGACAAAAACACAACCTGAATTTTACTGCTGGAATCATCTCTTTAACATAACAGAAAGCTCACTTAACTGTAATAAACCAATAGTACAAGAAGTCGTGCATCTAAAACTATATCACTCTGTCCAATGCTTACCTGAATGATTTTCTCAATGAACCATGGCACCGATTGTAGTTTGCGTTTAGCAATGTTTGTCTTGAGAGCCTCTTCAAGGACACCATAGTCTGGACGAGGGAGCTCTACGCCGGGGAAGAGATCCGAGATGATGCCTTCAAACAGCGGGATATCATGAGACAGAAACTGGGAGTGGAAGAGGAAGAGGGTCAGAAATAATATATCAGTCTACTTCTGTACATTGCACCATGATAATAGTAAGAATTTGTACCTATAATAATAGTGAGAGTTTTTAGGCATAATGGCTCAGCGGTAAAGCAGTGGTCTTGTTACCGAGAGGTCCTGGATTTGAAACCAAGTCGATGTGCTCATGCCCTTTGGTAGGGTAATAATCTGTGTTACCAAGTCCCTCAGAGATGACTGAAATTCCCGTCGGTCCCCGGGCTTCTTACTTTAACATATGCATGGTTAGCATTCAGGTAAAACAATAATCAACCATTAATTCAATCACTTAAAAGCATATATACATGGTTTCTTAGCAGTCAGGTAAAACAATAATCAACCATCAGTTTCATCAATCATCACCTACAATGGACACATGATTATGATCACAATAAACTAGATCATGGATTTGCTGATATTTTCTCTTCTCATATCAGGGTTTTCTTTTCGTAGATTACACATACAGCTAATCCTATATATAAATATAGTAACAAAATCCACTGTATATTACCTTTGGTAGGTTGACATCTTTGATTGATCTCAGAACGAGAATATCTTCGGCTGTGTCAGGAAACTTTAGCTTGAGGTTCCCTGCAGCAGTCAGGACAGACTTGACTGCTCTCATACCATAATCATAGTGATGCTGGGATGATAGCTGTGTATAAAACAAGGAATAAATGGTAGAAGGCATGTTTAGAATATAATGTGTCATTTAGTTGTTCTTACATTTTTTTAAATTTGTGACATCTTCTGCAATTAGGCTTTTAGCTCTATGGATTTTGTCTCCCAATATTTTGTATAATACCATTTGTTTTTGTATGTTTACATCATAAAATTTTGATCAGACTGCATTGAAATGATCACATAATCCAGTTTGATCCATGGTCTATAACCTACATCATTAAAATTCCTTGTTACAATATTTGTATATGTTTTCTATTGATTTTGTCTCAATACATGTTTGTTATGTTGCCAAATAAAATAATAATAAAAATAATAATAATAATAACAACCCTTGCCAAGACACTTTACCCTGACCCTAAACCTAACCCGATACCTAATTGCAACCCTAACCCTATATCTTTGGCAGGATAAAGCCTGGAGCAATATTGGTTTTGTATGCAAGTCACGACTAGTATCCATTGAATAACTACTATAGATACTTAGTGATCTCCAGAGAATTAACCAACAAAAGTTACCGTATAAGCTTTTTAAAAGGGTTCATAAGGTACCTGTTCAGAGCAGAGTTTGTAGGTAGCCACAATCTTGGTAGAGAGAGATCTAGCATCCACAAACCCCATGGAGTAGAGACTGATCTCAGCAATCAACGCATAGTCAGGTACCATCATGGCTACGGTGCGGAATAGAACCTAAAGAAGAGTTGTGGAAAGTGTTAAAGTTAAGTTATGACAATAATAATATTAATCATTTGAAATTTTAATGTTGGTTTTTGTACAAGCAGGAACAATCTCAAAACCAACTCCATTTCAATTATTTATACGTCCTTAAAATAGCAAAACTAAATGAGTAAAAGAAAGATTCAAATCATGCATCCTTGGTCCTTCCAGTAATTGTATGACTCTATCATTACCAGAATCATAAAATTTAAAAAAATAAAATCAGAATTCTGAATGTTATTCTGTTCCTGATCATTTTCAAAAGAATTACAATGCAAAATATATTTGGGCTATGGAAGAATATCAAAAGAGGTCCAGTCATGTTACATCGGCCTCACATGGAATCTAATCTTGTTCATCAAGTAACTTAGAGGTGTTGTGGTCTAGTGGATAAGTCTCCGGACTGTGAACCACAAAATACAGGGTTCAAATCCTGCTGTGGTACTAATGTCCTCTGGCAAGACATAAATCTACCTTTGACACACTAAATAGCTACTTTACTATATTTTATCGTTTATCATTATATTTTGTTTGTTATAGCGCTTAGAAACTTGGGTGGTAAGGGCTTTATAAGCAATGTGTTTATTATTATTATTATTATTATTATTATTATTATTGCTTACCTTGAGGTTATCAGGTAGTTCAGCTCTGCCTGCATAGCCAGGATTCATGGTGATAAACATAGTACAGGATGGATCCAAAGAGATCTCTGTGCCTTCAAATACAAAGGTTGTTTGCTGCTCTGCTACAGCTCTCTGAATGCTCTGGATCTGCTGGGCTACCACGGACAGCACCTAGTAAAAGAATATAGAATATAAATTTTGTTACACTAGTAGAAATGAATTCATACAAAGAAATGAAAGGTAACCATGTAACCTTCATTTGGGATAGGCCTACGTATATTGCTCTGGGGGAATGCTTCCAAAAGAGCCAAACCTTGAAGTTCAGTAGAGCATAAAAGTATCATACCATCCAAAGAAATAGATGGTTAGCTCATGTCTCAGTAAACATCTTTAAACAGAAAGTACACAATACAAATCATTACAATAATACAATAAAAAGTTTATTTTATCAATGCTTTTACAGTAAAACATTGGAGAATGTACCCCTGGACAATAATCTATCCTAAGCGTATGTGTTGTGCAGGAAACATTATTGTGTTTTCTGGGACAAACAATAAAATAATACACAATTTCTAGTGTCTTGTGTGAGAGAAATTCATTTAGGGTATGCAAGATTTAAATTCTTCCAATGGAATAATAATATTGATAATATTTACGTATAAAGGTATTTTTGTTGACACAGATGTATATTTTATTGATGAAGGTACGTACATGTACTGTATATCTTACCTCTAGCTCTATTCTGTTGAATTCATCAAAGCAAGCCCATGCTCCTGACTGGGCTAAACCCTTGAAGAACTTGCCCATGGCCTTGTAATCCAGACCATCAGAACAGTTGAACACTACACACTGTAACATTAAAAAGAATGTACGCTGTTAATATCAAGATGAACATAAAACTGTATATCTTTCTTTAGCAACCTATTTATTATAAAAGAATCTTGAATGATGAAACTTAGTTGCACTTTGTAAGACAAAAATAACAAATACTTTCCACACAGTCTTATTGCTGAATTAAAATAACATAAATAGTCTAACTTCTTAGAAATTATAATCAGAGGGCTACGATACCTTATATATATATATATATATATATATATATATATATATATATATATATACCTCTATACTTTTTACATTGCTCTAACATTTCTGAGCAATATTATGTTTGCAATTTTGAGGTTATTTGATTTTCATTTCATTTAGGGGTACCTTTGTTTCTATTTTCCATAAACTTACCTGTTTAGCTACAGCCTTAGCCAGATCTTTACAGGTCTCTGTCTTACCGGTACCTGCCGGTCCTTCAGGGGCTCCACCAAGGTTGAGCAGTAAGGCTCCCATCAATGTTCTAAAACACAAGATAATAATAATACCGGTAACTCTTTTATATAGCCCTGTCATTTATCCTGTCATTCGTTGATATTAGGAAATCTTTGTGATGGAAAGGCATAATATTATTTAAAGTCTGCTGATTCATTTGAACTGGCATCTTAATACTACATAAGGAAAAAAAATATATATCTTACTAGAAAAATTGTCTACGACCGATAAAGGCACAATTAGTAACTTTCAACTTTTAACTGTCAACCAGAACAAATCAATGCAAGCTGAGATTCTGACTAGAAAAAGCATTTTCAAATGAAGCAGAGTTGAAAAAACAATATGCCTCGAGTATAAACCAGAATACTGACTTTGAATAGAGTATTTTAAGCTTTCTCCCCAATCCGATACTTCTTTATCAAAAGTTTCAGTATGATAGAGCGATGATGTTCTTACCTGTAGCACCTATCAGTGAGTGGTGTGATAACCAGCCTTCCCGTGTTTCCTAGATACTCGTAACCATAGGGAACTGTCGTTGTGATCATCCTCACCATCACATTACCCTCCTCAAAGTAATACCTCAGCTGACTGATCCATTGGAAGTTGAGAACATCTTCTATGTTCTCATTGTAGAGGTTGGATACCACATCACGAGCTGGACAAACAAAGAAGGAGGGTTATGGCGTTACTCAAAAATCTCCCTCATGTTCATCTTGTATATCCATTTTCCTTTAGTGGGACATATATCACAATACGGCATACATGGCCCGGGACAATGGATTTGCATTTGCAGAAGCAGGGCATAACATACAGACAAAAAACATACAGTTGTACAGATAATATACATACAGTTCAATGAGATAATATATATATATATATATAATATACATCGGGTAATTAGCAATTTTAGAAATATTAATTAAATGGAAATAACTTAAATACAAGTGTTGTTTTTATCATATGAGAATGATGTGGAAAGTAACGTAGAGTTAATGACTAAGGGCAGTACGCTAGAGTCAGAGAGAGAGAAATAGAGAGAGAGAGAGAGAGAGAGAGAAAGAGAGAGAGAGAGAAAGAGATAGAGAGAGAGATGTCATTTCCAAAATAACCAAAGTAAATACAGGTACAATTTCACCTCTACACTCTGATTTGGACATTTAAATCAGATTCTGTATTATACTGAATCACATTTGGGGTGAAGTACTCTACTTACCATGAACATCAACAACAGTAAGTGCTCCCAGAGTGATACGTGCCATCTTGGTCAGCTTCCCTCTCACAAGCTCGACGATCTCTTCAATCTGACGATTGCACGTTGCCAGGTATTTCTTCAGACCATCTTTTTCCAAAATAGCCTGTAAAACATGTTATACATAATTCATTACCCAAACTGTTTATCAACTTTCCTGTTTAATACACAATATGTCATTAATATGTTTGTCTGTAAGTACCTTAGAACCACTCACTGCAACAAACATGTCTTCAAATTTGGTAAAAGTATATACTATATGAATAAGACATTGTATAATACATGTATACATCCATAGAGGAAGGAGAACACTGAATGCTGTAGTGAAAAGAGTTGTCATTTGACATTGATCAAACTCTCCATTACAGGACATAAACTACTCTCAATATGAGTATAATCCACAGTAAATTCCCACTCCATCTGTTTTCAGTGAAATTCAATTCAATTCAATTTATTTGGCATCATAAAAAAAGCAAAGCACAAATCATAAACACAGAATATACAAGCCAGGGCCCTCTTGCATAAAAGTCAAGTTGCGATTGATCGCAAGTCAGATCAAGGGCAAATATCATACGCAACTTGCAATCAAACGTTAATCAAACACAATAGTGCATCGCATTAAGAGAGTTGTGTTTGAATTTTTACGCAACTTATTTACGTTTGCTCATATATCTATTGTAAAGTTGCGCTTGAAAGTTGCCTTTGAAATCTAACCAACTTGCAATCAAACGCAAAGTTGTGTTTGATTTTTATGACTTGCATTTGATTTTCAGAGTTGCATTTAAACACAACTCTTTATGCAAGAGGGCCCAGGACCTCTGAAGAAGCAACTTGTGCTTCTAAATGAGGCCCCTATCAACAAAAATTCCATTATACTTTTTCTTCTGAAACTTTACTTTTGATGTGGTTCTTCTCTAACCCACATACCTTGGTGACTTCAGCTGTCCAGTAGATGGAGCTGGCTGAGATGACAATCTGACCGGGCCAGTTCAGGACCCAAGACTTTCTAGGAGTCTTTGGATAGGCTACCACTGCCTTGGCATTAACATCCCTCAAACTCTTCTTCATCAGGTCCTCCACCTATAGTGAACATCAAACATATCAAACGCACCAAGAAAATATTGTAATTTCAAGATTAAAAGAGCTGTTACGTTGTCATTTATTTTGTTTGTCAGAAGAAATTGCTTAGAGTATGCTGTAAATCTTTTTTTTTAAAGACAGATAAATCACAAATATTTTGATCAAGCAAAAACAGTATATGCTCCTATCATTACGAATCCATCTCCATAATTCATCTAAAATAACTGATTTACACCTGTAAGTAGAAAGATAAAAAGACACAAATTGAAGGAACCTCTCTTCAGAACTGCGTCCACTGTTAAATACTCCCTCATGAATCACAAATTCTGTAGCCATCATATATTCCCTCAAAGAGATATTAATGGGTGATTATATACTGTACTTTACAACTAGAATAATAATTTATTTGACTTGAATGAATAACTAGATTGGATACATTGAAATAAAAGATCTTTAACCAATTACTAGATTGGACACATTGAAATAAAAGATCTTTAACAAATTACTAGATTGGATACATTGAAATAAAAGATCCTTAACCAATTACTAGATTGGATACATTGAAATAAAAGATCTGTAACCAATTACTAGATTGGATACATTGAAATAAAAGATCTGTAACCAATTACTAGATTGGACACATTGAAATAAAAGATCTTTAACCAATTACTAGATTGGATACATTGAAATAAAAGATCTGTAACCAATTACTAGATTGGATACATTGAAATAAAAGATCTGTAACCAATTACTAGATTGGATACATTAAAATAAAAGATCTGTAACCAATTACTAGATTGGATACATTGAAATAAAAGATCTGTAACCAATTACTAGATTGGATACATTAAAATAAAAGATCTTTAACCAATTACTAGATTGGACACATCGAAATAAAAGATCTTTAACCAATTACTAGATTGGATACATTGAAATAAAAGATCTGTAACCAATTACTAGATTGGATACATTGAAATAAAAGATCTGTAACATGGTCGGTTCTAACCTGTATGAGCCACATCTCCACCAGACCATGAGCATCTGCTGGGATGATACGAGAACAAAGCTCTACACTCTCATTCTCAGCCGATTCCATAGCGACGATCTCTTTCTCCGGAGTGAAGGTCAGCTGAGCGATACCTTCAAAGCATTTCTTGAGATGAGGTTGTACCCTGAGAGGGTCTTTAGTCTCTGATAGTATCTCCAGCAGCTCATCATTGGACAGGAAGAAGAACCTGTTTTGATAAAGCATATTGCAAAGATGGTTTGATTTCATATTAACATAAGACAGAAAACTTTGATTAACTGATCTGTCTTTATACATTCATTTACATACATGCAATATTTGATTTCACAAAGGTAGTGACTTTGTTGAGAAAGTGTAGGCTTCGGATACTAGTAATAATATGTTTGCATAAACTTCGACATATAAAGAGAATCATCGACAACATAAATTTAACATAGTAAATGACATTGGATATGGAGATGTTTCTACTTCCTGCAAAATATGAACTATGCATATACTACCAAAATCTACCAAGCATATGTATAGCCACAAATATCATTTGCAATAATGAAAGCAAACCTTCTAATGTTAAGTAGAGCATGGTACAGCTCTTTGACTGTATTCCCTGGACAAGTTTCTTGCCATGATTTGTCTCAGGAATATGCATGGACTTGTGCCGTACTAACCTTGGGAAGAAGAGTCTCTTTTTCTCCAGGTAATCATTGAGGCCTTTCTGAATGGTATCTAGGAGACCCTCGGAGTGTTGGAGATTCTCTAACATGTCCTTCTGTGATGTCACTACCAAGGCTAAGGTGTTTTTCACTGATGTGTGCATGATCTCTCTCCTACAAACACAGAAACAACAGTCAAGACAAATAGTTGTATAACACAAACATTGATTTGCAATCAGTCAACTGTTAATCCAAATGAAGAAAAAGGTTAACCAGGGCCCCGTCTTATAAAGAGTTGCGATTAATCCAAATCAATCGCAAGTCCTCCAATCAATAATAATAATAGAGAATATTTATTAAGCGTATAATAAATTGAAAAATTCCCTATGCGCTTTACAATCATGACAACTTTGAATATATAAACTACATAATAAATAACAAAGCAGATAAGCAAATGACAAAAAATATTTATGGGAAAGTTAAACAATTCACCTATAATTACACCTAAGCAAAACTATTTGACATCACATATTACAAATTCAACAAACAGACACCCATTATGTCGAACTAACCTCCTAACCAGCAAAAGGACAAAGCAGTTCTAGGAAACCCTCAAAACTAATAAGTTTTCAGGGCTCTTCCTAAGCCGTCATTGCTCGAAGCTGGTCAAAAGGTTGGTTCCACAAGACAGGCGCTGCCGTCGAAAAAGCATGAGAACTATACGTAAGTTTGCAGTCTCTGTTCTCTTATGTACATATTTGCAACTGATATCAATCGCAAACTCTTTATAAGATGGAGCCCTGGTCGACTTCAAACTTTTCTTAAATTTAGTTGCATGTGCATGGAAACAGCACATAGAAAGATACATTTTATTTACTCAATGATATAAAAGAAAATTGGCATCCGAAATAAATATAAATAAACACTGATTTTATACATACCAGTGACCATCTACAGTAGTGAACATTTCTCCCTCCACAGGTATCTGTCTTCTGATGTCTTCTGATCCAAAGATAGGTTCCAGGTATAACCAAGCTGCTTGGACCTTCAGCCAAGAATCCAAGATGTCTTTGATTCGATGCTGCCCAAAAAAAACAATCATTCAGATATTCAGTACACATACTGCTGGTTTGAGAAATGGCATTAATTGTATCTTACTCAATATAGATACATGTGTTTCTGTTATTTTGTTTTGCATTGAATAATACTGATAAAATCATTGCAGTAATTTCATAGCACCTACATTCTTCCAAAAGGAATTTTATCAACAAGGATAATTGGTCTTTTCTGATTCTCTCTCAGGTCATTTTATGTGGAGGCGCGATAGCTCAGTCGGTAGAGTAGTGGTCTCGTAATCCGGTGAACCAGGTTTGAAACCAAGGCAATGCGCTAGTGCCCTTTGGTAAGGAATTAATCGTCACTACCAGGTCCCTCAGAGAGGACCATAAGCCTTCGGCTGTCTAGTTGCTTATTTACAAGCATTTATGCTTTCTTAGCAGTCAGGTAAAATAACCATCACATCCAATGATTAGGTATTCCAGGTTTCAGTTGTATAAATATTTAAACCTTCATTTGATTGTCCCTTAAAATAATGAAGGTAAAGAAACTAGAGATTGACAATTAACAAAATCATTTTGTATTACTGTATTATGTTATAAAGTTATCAATCCTCTGAAGGTCATACCTATATGTGTAGAATGCATATATTGCAGAACATCATAAAAGTAAGAGTTGGGGTAGCTCATGACCTTGTGGTGTAAATCTATTTAAAGCTCACAACATAAAAATACTTCTTTCTTAAGGATTGATTCCAAGAAAAAAATGAGCAAAAGTGAAAAACTGTGTTCCAAGTTCTTACCAGTCTTATTTCCCATTCTTTGAGTTCAGCCTCAAACGGTGCAATGAACGGTGATCCTCTCATCGTAGCTGTTTTGACTACATGGTCTTCTATCAAGACCTGTACATCATCTGGTGCTCCTAGGATGGACAGGTTGGTATCCTTGTAGCCAGTGAAGCTGAAGTGTACTGTCTCCCAATCGCTCTTCATCTTTGACAAGGCCTGCCATGAACACAGAAACAGTTAAAATAGTTAAATCAGTATATGTAGGAGGTGTCGTAGTGGAGTGTAGTCGGTTTAAGCACTTGACTTGAAATTCTAAAGTCTCGGGTTCGACCGCTGACACTGCACTAATGTCCTTTGGCAAGGTATTAATCTACAATTGCTACTCCATTCCCAGGAGAGAAACAGGGACCTTTTAGGATGATGAAAGCCTTCATGTTTGTAATCGCCATATGCCCTGAACATATGGTAGGAATATTCCACAGGAAGTGGAGATGGCGCACATTGTGCATGAATGAATCCAATGACCGGAATAATATCTCTAAAGCACTAAGAGAAGGTATTTTAAAATAAGCGCTATATAAATCCAGATTTTCTTATTCTTATCCTCATCTTTAAGAGTCAAGTGGTTTTAATACTTAATCACACATTCTCTTGAACATTCAATGATTCCTGTAAGACAAAACCTAATGGGCTGTGGAAGTCGATCATTCATTATCTCCAGGATATATGTGTAGATTGAAACATAAAAAATGGCTTGACTGTACCTTAAATGCAATGCATCACTATGAAAAACATTAGAAATTGAAAATTCACATGTACAAGATGCCAAAATAATGCAAAGATGAAAGAATATAGAGGAAGGTGAAAGAACAACAATAAACTCCTAGCTGAAAGGGATCACACAAGAAGTAAATAAGGATGGCAGACATCATCATCGGACTCACCTTCTCCATGGCATATTCCTTGCTAGCTTGTGAGCTAATCTCTGATAGATCCTCCAAGTATTTCTCTAGTCCCATCTGAAGCATCTCAACGAGAGGAGTGTCATCTTGAGGGGTCATGTTGAAACCAACCTAGCAAAATAAAGTAAGAAGTCAATAAAAGTGAACATCATGGAAGGCTTGTTCATTTATTCTTCTCCCATCCTGATGTCTGAGGGTCGGGGGTCACATGGAAGGTTATAAATGCACACTAAACACTCAATGTTTGGATCAGATTCATAATTTGGGAAATTCATAACTAATTAACTTCAAGCAAGTTAAAAATCATCTGTCTTAGCCATATTGTTTTATGATGGTATAATACAATAGCATTGAACCACAAGCAACAACTACATATCAGACAGCTTATATACTGTAGAATAATATCAAATTCTCTTAACTTTGGTCAGTATTTCTTTGAAATTCTTTAATAAGTCACACATTTACTGAATCCTAAAATGAACCAATAGACTGATAATGCACTACTTAATAGCAATTAATCAAAATTAAAATTTTGTCTCCAATTTTGAAATCTAATTTTGGAACCTTTAAAGCCTATCTGCACTAGTTTAGCCAGGAGAGATTAGACCTCCATGCAAGGTCACTGATAGGTGGTTATCTCATCCAATCAGCTCTCAATTAACATAAGAAAAAGGGGACCATTGGAAACCATTGGTCACTCTTTAGGAATTGTTTGCTATATAGAGGTCGCAAGTAGCTATAAGTAGTTCAGTGGGGCTTTAATGTGAACCTACCTTTTCACTCATCATATCCCAATGTCTCTGTTTGATACCAGGATTACAGAGAGCATTGATGAGAGGCATGTTGATCTTGAACTTCTCTAGCTTAGCTTTGATGGTGGTCGACGCCCTCATTGGCCCCATCATGTCAGGGTGAGCAAACACCTTGGTCAGCTTGTAGCTGGTACGCCACATGTTCTGGACCTGATGGGGGGACAAGAAATTAAGATGGTGGAAAATCTGATACAAACATTCCTCATAAAAACAGCTTCTTTCCTCTTTCCTCTCTCTCTTTCTCCATCTCGCTATCCTTTTAGCTCTTTCTCTTTCTTCACTATATCTCTCGGTCTCTTATCCCCTCTTTCTCTTTTTCACACTTTCCTTCCTTCTCTCCTGCTCTCTCTCTCTATCTCTCTCTCTCTCTCTCTTTAACCTCTTTTCTCTACATCTTTCCCTTCTCTCTTCCTCACTTTCATTTTTCATTAATGTACATATTCCCCATTTCCTTCTTGTTAGTATTTTTGCTTTATTTAACATTTGGTACAAAATTAAGGATAAACATGTGATATATACGTTTACTTATGATTATGTAAATGATACTGTTTTAAATTGTACACTTGTTTTTAAAATGCAATGTATATCCATGTGCAATTCAGTATATGTAACGGCGATGCACGATTCAATAAATACCATACCAAATACCATACCATAGATTCATTAGGAGATAAATTTCTACACAAAAATCACACTATGTTATTATTACTTGTGCGCCTGGTGTATTCAATTGTCAAGCCTTACTGGCTTTCACGGAAGCACCATTTAATGTCATTTTTTCTTTAAATTTTGAATGTTAGTATGTCAATTTATACGTAATATTGATATTGTTATCTGTTATGTCATTCCATCTTTTATCTTTGTATATATTGTCATGATAATGGAAATAAGTGTCAATTCAATTGAATTCAAATTATATATTCCTTGACACAATCATTTCCATCTCGCATCCACCTTCTATACCACCACTTGTCTCCATCCTTGTCTCATCTACCTACCTCTTCTTCCACCACTTCAGCATTGACATCCAGCAGCGGTCCATTCATCCATTTATCATACATGTGATGGAACTTGACTGCGGCATTCCAGAGTTTATCGTAAGGTTCTTTCTTCTCCTTGATCTGATCTAGCTCGGGATAGGGACTGATGTGACCAACGTCAAGTAACTTCTGCTCCTGATTCACTGCTCCTTTCTGAAAAATATCAAATCACAGGAATGATAAGGTATAGGTGTTCTGGGCCTCGTTGCATAAAACTTACGATTGATAGTAGCTTTGCCATCAATGGCAACTACCATGGTAAAAATGCTGAACAGCCAATCAAAATCAAGATTTCCATGGTAGTTACCAATGATGGCAAAGTTACCATCAATGATAAGTTTTGTGCAACAGGGCCCTGGTCTAGCGGATAAGTCTCCGGACCGTGAACCACAAGGTCCGGGGTTTGAATCCCTGTTGCAGCACTAACGTCCCTCGGCAAGACATTAATCTACAATTGCCACACTCCATCCAGTTGGGGGAAATTGGTACCTCTCAGGAATTAGTTCCTTGAAATGTCAAGCACTGCAACAGCAGGTGTGCTAAAACCAGGATAATATGATGGAGCGCCAGAAGTGGCAATGTGCAAGACATGAGCGCTATACAAAACTCCACTATTATTATTATCATAATGACAGATGAAAGGAACAGAAATCCTTACAAAAGCGAAACAAAATGCAAATTGATATCTATGCTATAGATTAGATCAAAATAAGAATGTATCACTATACACGAGACAAATATTTTTGCTAATGAATGAAGTGTTGATTGCTTCATTGTTATTATGAGACTTATCTATGCTTTCACATACTTTTTGGAAACAGAATTTCTTAATCTCTTGATGTAAAAGATTGCATATTACATCTGAAAATGAAATAGTCAAAAAGATCGATCAGCAGGATTGAATCTATCACTTACCATTAAAAAGGCAGCAACATTAATAGCACTATAGGCTTCTGTTGGATCATGGCTATGACAGGACAAATTACACATAAAAGCCTTTGATTTTAACTTTGTGACCCATCAGTAATCTAGGGACCACACTTCAGGAAACAATCAAAATATCTCTATGGGAAATATATGTCTAAAGAAAATGTCATTGTTTTTGGATTTATTTAATATGCAAATGAAAGCTTTAAAAAACATCAAACTCAAAGACCCTCAAAGACATTCACAAGATAGTACCCACCTCAGAATAGAAATCATCCAGTTTGAGCTGGATATCGATCAGTTTATCCAGATAATCCTGTGCTTCTGACATCCGATCCTTGGTCCTGAATGCTTTGACTTGATCCATCACGTCCTTGATACGAACAGCAAACTTCTTCTGCCAATCATTGAGCTTAGACACGGCATAGTCATGCTCCTTCTGAAGCTTCATTTCACTGAAAGAATCAACATAGAAAAAGGTTTCTGAATAATTTGGAAGTATGCACATGTACAACAAATGAACGTTTTGTTTCCAATGATGTCTTCAAGCCCTGAAGTAGTATATGTTGAAGGTCGAGGGTTCGAATCCAGACACGGCACTAATATCCTTTGGCAAGATATTTACCTGCACTTGCTATTCTCCACCCAGGTGTTAAATGGGTACCCAGTAGGATGCGACCATCATTGTTGGTCAAACAGTTTTTGAGCATCAAGTTACGCCTGGCTGGAATGCTCCCCAGGGAGTGGAGATTGTGCACACAGTGTGTTAAGCGCTTAGAGACATCGTAGATGTATTAAGCGCTATATAAAAACAGAATGTTATCATTATAATCTCCACAATGAAAGAAGATTTTAAAACCTATAATATTGTCACCAAAAAGACATTTGTTTTCTTCCTTAATTGTCCTCCATTTTGGTCTTGATTTGTATAGTTTTGCAATTTCATTTTGTTAAGAAATGCATAATTTAGGTTTTTATTTATAAGATTCAGACACTACAACTCTCAAGTAAAGATATGATGGTCTCAACTATGTAAAACTGACCTGTTTCTGATGATAGGCATGATTCTATCAGGCCAGGTGAATGTTTGATCATTCAGCATCAGATCCTCTTTGTTCAAGTATGCATAGTCCATCAAAAAGATCAGGTTTCCTCCTGCTACTTCTAGCTTTTTCTGTAAGAAACAAAGAAAAAGATAAAGAATAGTAATACTCCTGAATAGCAAACATATCAGAAAAATTACTTCTACAGATCTTCTCTTTGATAATTCGAAAATTATTTAAACTCGTCGAAACAACAATGCTTTTAAAAGAACACAAACAGAACATTGCTTCTATCTTTGCAATCATCGCTGCACTGGACAACCAAACTTCATAATACATGTATAACATATCCTAAAATTAAAACCTATTTGTATTTTGTTGGATTTCATATTTTTAGTCGATACAAAACAAACCAAGTTTAACAATTTAACGTGAAATGGACCATCCATTATAAGTAACAAAAACATATATTTTTGAAACAATTTTTACAAATGAATAGATAAAAACTGAGGGAGAGAGAAAAAGAGAGAAAGGAAGATGGATGAGGGAGGGGGAGGAGAGTAAGAAAGAGAGACAGAGAGAGTGAACAGGAGAGTGTAACTGTAACTGGTTAAGATGATAAAAATGGAATAAAACAATTTTACCTTGAGTTGTAGTAGCTCTCCAGTGGTCAGTCTATCCACATATTCCTGTAGTTTGACCAACTGATGCGTAGTCTCTGATTGACTGGTGATTTTCCTCACAATCTGGTCGTACTGCCCACATATGCCACGGTTGAACACTCGACTTGTATTGACGATTTTTGAGATCATGATGTCTGCCAAGTCTCTTGATCTCAGGATCAGCCACTGTAGAGAGACAATGTTATATGGTCATAGAGGTGTCGTGGTTGGGTGGTTTAAGCACTTGACTTGAAATTCAAAGGTCGTGGGTTCGATCCCAAAATGGCACTAATGTCTTTTGGCAAGGCATTAATCTAAACTCGCCACTCTATACCCAGGAGAGAAATGGTAGGAATACTCCCCTGGGAGTGGAGATGATGCACATTGTGCGTGAATGAATCCAATGAACGATATAATAATATCTTTAAAGCACTTAGAGATAGTATTTTGTATTAATCGCTAAATAAATCCAGGTCATTGCTATTATTATAGCAATTCATTTCTAAGGTAGAGCGTAATAGCATTACAATTTGAATATACATGTAGCTTCTGTACCTGGCAGGGACTACAATGTATTTATTCTATAATATTTTAATTGAATAAATATGTTAACTAGTGGGGCATATAATTTTAAAACATAAATCTGAACAACAATATACAGTAAATTTACACATAAGGTGTAATATATGTGTGTTCTATGTCTTCAATAAACCAGACTCGCGGTTTGATCAAAATTATCAAATTTTTGCGTGCCTTGGGGCTCTCTGGGAACGGATGTGTGTGGGTTTGAATGCATGTTGCAAACAGGATTGTGTCTGGGCTACGGCCTACATTATTGTATACATTACATTATTGTGTACATTACTGTAAGATGATTGTTCATGTCTACTGCCTCGCTCGGGTGACCTCGTTCAATGTCTTTATTTAATGACCTCAATATTTTAAAGAGACTATTGTCTTATTTCTTTAGTAACAAATTAATTTGCTTGCTGTATTTGCTATTTTGCTTGTTTCACCTTGTATAATCATCTTATGTTAAGGCTTCTTGCCCACCTATTATTACTGTTACGTCCTCTACCATTACAACTACTTCAACCAAATGTTAGTTTTATTTATGGGAACCTATAATCTACAAGCTGAGCTTTTTAATAGGTTCCTCACATTTCACTCTGTATAACCTTCTATTCATTACAATTAATTTCGACGTCTTTGCAAAGAATTAATTATATAATGTGACACTTTTTAGTATATTTCATAGTATGATCTAATTTTGTCAATTATGTAAATTCTTTTTATTAGTGAAATGTGAAATAAACCTGAAACTTGAAACTTGAACTTGAAACTTTCTAAATCTATTTCCCTTCCCCGAAGAAAGGTGAAGTGACAATACTTACCCTATTGATATCTGTGCAGTCCAACTCAAAGAGATGCATGGGTACATTGAGAGGAAAGAGACCAACTTCTGCTGCCATCTTCTTGAGTTTCTCAATCTCTCTGACATAGTCCCTGAGATGTTGGTCTTTATTCACAAACTTCTCGACCTGCGAGTCTGAGGATGATTTCAGCAGGTAGGCATAAGGAGCATACACCATCTTAAACCTGTAATCGTAAGAAAAAGTTTACATTTAAGAGCACCAACTGCCATGAAAGATATGCTAATTTTATTGTAGAATTGCGTTGAAAAGAGCCATACTTAAGGTTTTCGTTTTGCACTCATCAGAGTATAATGCAAGAATGAACAGCAAGCTGAAATAGAACGTTATTAACGGAAACTAAAAAGGAACAAGGCGCGATTATTGTAGGAGTCTCAGTACAGCATGCACAAAAAGAAAGGTCTTAGAGTGCCTGGAAATATACTGCATGTTAGCACTGTGACCTATAGAACTAAGACTAGACGTACATGGCCATAACTTGTAGAGAAGATAAAGGAAATGGTGATGGCGATGGAATGTGATGTGATGGAAAGAATCAAATGGACAGCTTAATTTTCATTTAAAAATATATCTCTACAATATCTAAAATATTGTCTGTTATTTTGAACACATAAAAAGTTGGAAATTGATCAATCAAGCCAAGATTAAACAGGAAGTCCTGTAACGTTTGTGGCAGTCAACAAGAATATGCATGATGCATCCAGCAACTAACCTGACAGGGCCGTGATAGTTATGCAAGATGACCTCCTTGACCTGCTCTTTTGCCCTCTCCACGACCTCCTCATCGTCCCTGATGGCGGGAATGTGAGCGATGGCCACGGCGTCTACCCGATGAAAGAGACGCTTCTCGACGCGGTGGATGCCCTTCACACCATCCACCATGGTTTGGATACACCGATGGAGGATGTCAATGACACCGTCAATGTCTGGGGTGAACGAACAGGACACCTTGGACATCTCGGGACCCTGGAACACAATAATAATAATAATAATATTCAGTTCTTGTTTAGCTCATAATACGTTATGAAATAATATCTCTATGCGCTTTTAAAGAGCTTTGGAAATTATTACCCTTGCTTCAGCGCACAGTGCATTTCAAGGATAATCCTACCAGGTACTCATCTACCTCACCTGGGTTGAGTGTGGCAAATGTAGATCAATGTTTTGCCCAAGGACATTAGTGCCGTGGCTGCACTCGAACCGCAGACCTTGTGATCGACAGTCCAGTGACGTATCTACTCGACCACAACACCTCTACCTCTACCTCTACCAATAATTAACGTTACAGCTCATGCCAAACAGTTCAACACACTGAAACATTTCCTTGAGAAACCCTTTAATTTTTTTACTTCTACAAGCACATGACCACAAAACATAACATATTTAGGTAAGAGTTTACAAGCTTTTAAATATTGATCACACACTTTAGATACATTAAAAGGTAAAAGTGCTGGCAATCCTGTATTTACTTCAATCAAAATACAGCGACTATTCTTATAAACAAACCTGATTTTCATAGTTAAAGCTATTTAAATTGCCTCACAATGTTCTGTCTCTTGAATATACTCAATGTTAAAACCAGCGTAAAAAGTCCATAATCATTTGATTGTTGGATTGCCTGCATTTGACAAATGTGGAACCATAGTAATATACTGTAATGCAATAAATGTTATATGTAGATTATGAGATGCTAAACCTACATGTAGGAGAAAGGTATATTTGTGCTTGTACCTTGCCATCAACAAATAAGTCTTAGATGCTGCTTATAAGTATCGGCTTGCATGGTGATATAGATATACAGTAGGTTTAAATCTTTGTATACATTGAACATTTTTCTAGAGACATCTCGTATCTTACGCTATAATTAGAAAATGAATACGCTAAACATTTGTATCTGTTACCATGGAGATCTTGAGAGGCTGTGGTATGGTTGGTAGACTGAGCTGAGATCCATCGTAATCACAATCATAATAGTTTCCTTCATCGTAGAGTTGAAACCAATCCACAAGATCATGAATGGACTTCTCTACACAGCTCCTCAAGCAGAGAGACATGAGTGTGGACAGGGACTTGAAGAAATGATCCATCTGGGCCATTCTACCATCCTGCATGGGGGGAGAAATCAGAGTGCTTGTAACTTTTTGAATCTAAAAATTTAAATCTAATGAAATAAACCCAAAACAATGATTCCATGTACAGTTCCAAGAGCTTCAATTCAAATAAAAAATGGAAATTAGACCAAATGACTATTACCCTAAATGGTCATTAGACCAAATGATAAGTAGACAAATGATTATTAGACCATGTAGATAGTGGACCGGCTGGGTGTAGACCATATGGGAATAGACCAATTGGGTCGAAGACGAACTGGTTGTAAACCATCAAACTCACCTGATTCTCTGGCATCCACCTTTCAATCTCATCTCTTTCATCATCGATCATATCAGCACATTCCTCCAGCCAATCATTCATCAAGATCTCTCTCGTCTGCTTCGTTGTGTTCTTGATGTGGTCAAGGAATGCCTCTGGAGTGAGAGGCATGATCTCCTTGATACCCGGTCTGTCCAACATCCTGAGATGGGCATATCTGGAAGAAGAAGAAGAAGAAAAAAGGACCAATGATGTATGGCAGGTAGCGAGTGACACACAAAATTCATCATTAACTTCCTTTATTTGGATTACAAGATGAAATTTAAATGCTAAAGCAAGATCAAAATTCAAATATTATATTCAATTCTACTATAGGAAACAAAGGATATGCTCTGTAAAGAATGTACAGGAGCAGTCATTTCAGTTTGTGGTTGTTTGTTCATGGGAAACTACCTTAGCTGAACTATTCTGCGATGGTAATGAAAATGGTCTGATGTTTCGTGTTATATTCTTTATTTTAAAATTGAGCAACTATGAACTTCAAGAAAAGGACTTCCTGTAGCTGGTTTCAGAAGTGGAATTGCTCATGAATGTATTCCACATCTACATTTTTAGCAGGCCAGACTTTCCATAATCTACAGCAATATCCAGTGTATCATATAATGTCAAAAAGAGAAATACACCTTCTATATTTCCTACATCTGTTTGTTTCATAGGCCGGGGGAGGGGGGGGGGGGGTACTCACATATTAGGACATACGGGTGTGTGCCGCTCTAATGGGTCACTTTTTCACCAAAATCCCACTTTTAACAAAAATACCATTAAAAATGGGTCCGCTTTTGTCAAAATTTCCAAAATTTCCAAATTTTGTGTACTAAACACCCGAAAAAAACAGAAAAATACCTGCAAATTGTGAAAAATTGGTCTTTTTTCAATAAAAATGCCTCCTAATAATGGATAGGGGTTTCAAAACTTGAGCGACACACCCCCATCCAAACCAAATCTGAGTATCCTCCAGGTTTTATAGCATGATGCACTCACTGTGTCTCCCACTTGTAGAGGATAGTAGTCATGATGGGATGAGTGATGTAGAGATAGTTCTCCATGAAGTCCCTCGCATCATCCACCGCATCACTCCACGGATACCACTCTCTACCAGCAGAGTTAGAATGTTTGGTTGGCATGGGAACACCAAGTCTCTCCTGCTCTACGGGGTCTTGCAGGATGTAGTCCATGATTCCCTTCTTGATGCTCTCTATATACACAGATCTGGCTTCCTACATTAGAATGTGGAATAAAACAATGTTACAGTCAAACCTGCTTTACTGGCCCCCTGTCTACAAAGACCGCAATTGTTGTTTCCCTTGAAAATAGTTTCTCATTTAAACATGTACTAAAGGAACCTGTCTACAAAGACCACTTTTTGTGTTTCCCTTGGGTGGTCGCTGTAGACAGGTTTGACTGTATAATATTCCATTCTTATTCACTGTTGCCCATAAAATTAGAATATTTTTTGCTTAAATCTTTTCATGAAGTGATTGCAAAAATATGGTTTATTGTTAATAGATAACGTTTATTATTTTCTCTGAACTTAAAAGATCACTCTCTATGACGCCTTGAGCATTTGATTAGAATGGATATGGTGCTATATAAATCTCATGTACTATTATTATTATTATTATTATTATTATTATGACATAATGTTCCTAATTTAAGCACTCCATAGGGCTTTGAAAATCCCAATCCCCGCTTCCACTCAGTAAGGCATGTAAAGTGTGAAAAGGGTTGGATTATGAATTTTTAATGCAATATCACTTATGAGTCATTTCAACTTTACGAGTCAGCCCCATCAGGAAGGGCAAAGTAAATGATAATCATTGCCTCAGAGCACTACTTGTAAGATGCTGAATCAATCAACACAAGCTAGAGTAAGTGAAATAATTTCCAAGGCACTTTGAAAGTGCAGAGATATTGTCTACAGTGTAGCTACCTGCCACTTAAAAACAGGTTAATTATGATAAATGGTAAAAGGGGCTGGTATTGCAAATATCATTTCTTACAAATAATTGTAAATGTTTTATTGTGCACACTAAAACTCCTCATAGGAGTTGATCTCTTACACATATATTCTATTGTACTAAACTTCTAAACAGTAAAGCACATTTTATTAAACAGATATAAATGCCTACATTCATTTCAAATAACAATTTAATTCTATTCATGATTTCCTTACAATATAATAATAATTAAAAAATTTACCTAACAGTGTATAGACACACTTGCCTTAAAAACCTGACTTTCATATGAGTATGTGTTTTTCTACCTTTCTATATATCAGTTCATCTATCATCCTCTGTGACTGGTCTCACGTTCCAATTCCATCAACAAAAACAAAGGTCTTTTCACATATGTTCTAAAAATAGATTTCCACACTCAAACATCCATTAAGGTAACAATAGCCCATAAGAGCTGCATTGATAGGCCTGAGGTATGATTGTATATTTGATTGAAGGCCTTCTGCCCTGGGAGTAACATTTCGAGAGCGTTGTACATTACGAGACTTCTACTAGGGAGTCAATAGAAGACCTAGTAGTGTTAATTCCCACGTAATGGAAGATTGTACTATTGTATGAATCAATCAAGCACTTTACAACTAGCTGGGATTTGACTATATAGCACCTACCAGGTTTCTTGAACCTCCCCAAAATGAGATGGAAGATAATTGCTTCCTTTTGGGGACACACAGTTCTAGAAACATTAATAGATACACCAGTGGGCCCCGTCTTACAAAGAGTTGATTTCAATCGCAACTGACTTGCGATTGTCGCAACTATGTACATAAGAGAAAGGAGACTGCGAACTTGCGATTGATTTGGATCAATCGGATCAATCACAACTCTTTGTAAGACAGGGCCCTGGTCAGCACATAGAATTTACAATTAGAATTTGCCACGGTTTTACCAGCCATATAAAATCCTATCCAAAAAATCTGCCTTCATGGACATGGCTTATTAATAAAATATCTCACAAATATATCATTGTTCCATAAAAATGTGAACAATCCATGGTAAGTGACTACCTAAATTTGAATGGACATGGCTCATAAAATATGTCACAAATACATTATATAATATTGTTTCATGAAATTTGAAACAATCCATTGTAAGTGACCACCTTAATTTGAATGGGAGGAGGAGGCAGTAGCAACCCACACAAAGACCCTGATGATATTACAACAAAGAATGGCGTGAATATACATATACCTTTGAGACATATCTAAGAGTCCTTGTCAGATTTATAATTTATATATTGAGATATCAGTTTACAAAACTACCATGCAGAAAAAGAAAACTTCAAATCAATGGAAATGTGATCTTGCTGCAGACATAACATATAAAGAGCAGAATTGAAATCCTCTATTATCCCATTGATAACTTACACATCCCAGTCTTAGCTATTCTTTGTGCATGACATGTCTCAAAAGACTCTTTATCATTCTCTTAAAGGATACTTAGGTTCTGAAAAGTTTGGCCTTCACAACAGATCTAGGCAAGACAGGGATCATAGTGAATGGTGAGATTACTCCCACTACCGCTATTTAAGGTTTACATGCTAACAAAGATGAACAAAGGTGAAAATTCAATTACTCTTTTTCCTGAAACTAAGTGTAATTTTTGTATAAAAGACCTGAATAAAGAATTAGTTGCAGATTGTAAGGTACAGATTTATTCAGATGCACATTTACCTTACACTGTGAAAGCAAGAACGTGTTTATGAAGGCCAATAAAGAGACCTACATCTTTATAAAGTAGTTGAAGATTTATGATTTCCAAGTGGCACTGGTATGATTACAACACTGACTCAATCTTCCTACCCTATTGACATCATGACTTAGCTACATGTACTGTGTCATCCTGAAAACATTTACTATCTAACATTGATGTTAATACTGTGTCATTTACATGAAGATGCAAGCATTTTAGTTAATGCTTAACTTTGAATAAAATTTTTCATTTTAACATGGTGATCAAGCATTTGTTCCAAACAATTAGCTTCAAGCTATATTTTGTTGTATTCAATGTAACATTTGCTTGTATTTTCTTCCTTTTCTTTTGACTATGCCACGACTATCTACTACACTAAAAAAATGTAATGTTAAATCACCATTTAAAAGGGCCGAGGAGTGACCACTCTTTCAAAATGATAGATTAACACTTTGAACATGCATTCCAGCATGTTCAAAGCTACAATCTGACATTTTGAAAGATTGGTCACTCCTAATTGGCCCTTTTAAATTGAAATTTAACATTTTAGTTTTTAGAGTGTAGTGTTGGATACTGATGCATTAGGAGAGAGTATTATTTTTTACCTCTGTGACTTCTTTCATACACTTCTTGAGAGGTTCAGTCTTGAGTCTAGCAGGTAGGAAGTTGTACATCTCTTTAATCCATTGTGTATTGAGCGGTGCTACTGAGGAATCTTCTATGGACCCCTCGATCAAACCATAATATCTAAAGGAAGAAAAAATAAGACAATGACAGTGACCATAATGGTCAGTTTGGGACAAAAAGTGGCCAAAATGACCAAAACGCTGCAAGAACGGTAACAAAATGTGTTGGAACATTTAAAAAGGCTTCTGGTGTGGTTTATTGAATACCCAGCCAGCTACCAGGTTAAAGGGTTGTGATTTTCTCACGAATGACTTGCATTATGATCAAAGAAGTTTCCTTAGAAGATCATATCCTTAGAAAGACAAATGACTTCTGTCATAACCTTAGTAATAAAAATGTATTAAATTTGCTATATGCTTTCAAAAATATCTTTCAAATGTTGACAATTTACACTTGAATGCTTGATAAGAGCTCATTACACTCACACATACAATGCAGTAATCAAGGGATTTAAGAAAGCTACTTCTCTTGCGTGGGAAAACCCTTTTTTCTCATCATTAGAAGGAAGCTCTATGAGAGAGATATCTTAAGAAAGAATCTTAGAAGATTAGGCAGACAATTTGTGAGACTAGAAGTATAAAAATAAATTGTTTCTGAAGAAATTAGATTTCGTTAATATTGTTGCAAAAGAAGAAAAGAAGAAAGAAATTTACCTGACTACATCCTTCTGGTCCGGTGTAGGTGGTCTTGATAACCCATGTGTTGAGTAGGTATACCCTGGAAACTGCACACTCATCACAGCTTCCATCTCTAGATCATATTCACGCATACATGGAGGAAGGTCTAGGCCATCTAAGAAGAGGGGTAAAAAGTATTACACTCAAACCTGTTTATAAAGACCGCTCAAGGGAAACATGAAAAGTCGTCTTTATAGGCTGGTCGTTTTTTATGTACAGGTTCCTTTAGTACAGAAACCATATTCAAGGGAAATGAAAAAAGGGGTCTTTATACACAGGTGGTCTTGCTATACAGATGGTTGCTAAAGCAGGTTTGACTCTGTATATAAATCCTCTCAATTCTTATAATCGCATATTAAAGTAATTCTGGTGTCCTATCAATTGATTATGATCTACATGTAGATAAACAGGTAATATTGTTATATACACTGTACATACAATCATACACTGCTTTCTTTAAAAAGAGAACATCAACCCTACAAAATGTTACTTTGTGCAAATATTGTGTTATATGATATTGTTTATGAGTTGGCTGTTTATGTTTTAACAAAACATCATTTCTCCAGCAACAATGCAAGTATCAGTTACCCATCTGTAAATGTGAATTCAATTGAAAAGGTTCATGATCTTGACTTTCTTATTACAAAGAAAAAGTGCACGACCTCTTTGAATGAACTAATCTTCAAACTGGATACCTGTAATAATTAAAAGTGACATTCATACAAAAGGAACATGAAGTACCCCAAAAGAGTTTGATATTATTTGTACAAACAATTTTTGACAAAACTCAAGAGGGTTAGACTATTTTACTGCTTGAAACTTGATCAGAACTAATCAAGGATCAATCAAAGAATGGGTAATGTTGAAGCTTGAAACATGAACTTACCAAGACTACTGTCTGAGCTTGCATATGTCACAGACCGCAGATTAAGTGTCGGAACATCATTAACTGACGTCGGTGACGAATGTATTGCATTCAATGATCCATTACCGCTATCAGGTACCATAGGATCGCTACCACTACTAGACGTCCCTCTTGTAGGTCTACCCTCCCTACTGCTGAATGGTCTAGTCCTATCATGTCCATTGACTGCACTGTCTGAATGGTCCCTTGGACTTGCTGGAGGGGTGATAATAGGGGGCAGACGACTCCTATTGGTTGAGGGACCATTAGATGGTGATTTTTTAACGTTGGGTAAAGACGTTGAACCATTGTTGTTCAATGATGCCTGACTTCTGCTCTTCTTATATTCAGCATAGGACTGATTTGATGTTCTAGGACTAGAATGTGAAAGAAAAAAATACAAGGAATAAAGAGTTTTTTAATTTCAGTCACTGACATGAAATATTGATAAATATATCAGTTCAATGATTTGATTACCAATAGTTGCAGATGAATGGTCAATATACTGGGGCATAATTCTAAACACAAAATATAAAACCCCTTTTCAATAAATTCCTCAGTGAGAGAATAATCACACTCACAAATAACAAAATGACATGAGATAACAAGAACAGATATTAAACTTTCCTATTTTCATAAAAAGTAATGAAACTGGTGACATATATTTTTCCAATCATTTCACAAAGAAGAGGAAAGAGAATAAATATTAAATGCACTGTAAGTATTCCATTACAGGTTCAAAATCAGAGATAGTAAATATAAGGAAACATACTTAACAAAACTTTTAGGAAACATAGTATGATAGAAGTGATAGAAGTGATGGCATATATTTATCTGACATAAGTGCAAATTTACATTAACTCAGTCAATTTCAGCTTCACACACACAAAAGTTTCTGTTTGTTTACACTCATTTACAGAGTTTTCGTGTGAAGAAAAGTATCCCCACTCTGTTGCACATTCCTACATGTTTTCCACCAACCGTTACATGCAAATAAAATCCCTGTCATAAAAGAGAGTGAGAGTAAATACAGGAGAGAAGAGTAGATCACCAACTTGGTAAAGCAAACAGAGACAGGTACTTGAGACACCTTATTAAAGCTTCCTCGCACTCATCCTATTGTGGGCGCTCCCATCGGTTCATTTGTCCTAAAGCAAGTGTTCTAATTATATCTCACCTACATGGATGACACTTGTCTTCTCGCTCTGCCCGAGGTCTATTAAAGATCAAATTCCACTCGCTCCTTCCATTTTAATGTTCTTAAGCCTACTGTATATCTACATCACCATGCAAGCAGATACTTACATGTATAGGCAGCATTTAAATTTTCTTGTTGAGCAGTGCTCATAAATATTTAGAAAATGTCATCCAATGTCACAGATGTTGAACACGAGACAGAGTAGACATGTACATGTACCGGTACATGTATCCGTCAGAATGATTTTGATCTAATGAAATGTATTTGATTGAAAGTTGTCAAAGGACGAACATAAAAATGTGGATTTGTTCAATTTTTGACATTCTACTAGTTTTCCATATAAAAATAGGCTTATCCTTTTTTTTAATTTTAAATCAATGTCACAGAAGGGTTAAGCCAAATATACTCTCCTTTACCATTATTTATCATTCAATAATAATGATAAAAATAATAATGTCTTTACTAAAGTTATACAGATGTATAAATTCTAAACCTTTAATGATAGTTGTGGTTGTAATCAAAGTAAAAAACACTTTTCCAACAAAAGAATGATGTGTTTGAGTTCATCTAGGCTTTAGTACAACTATCAAAATGTTAAGACATTGTATACTAGAAACTACATTGGTGTAGGATGAGGAATGGCAGTGGTCCACGTTGTGTGCACAAAATAATATATAATTTGAGGAAGAGTTCTTTTTGAGAAGACATAGATATGTTTATCACCCAGTGACCCATTTCTATTGATTTCAAAGTGAGTTAATTATAGCTTTGCCTAAAACAGCTTAGGATGCCTGAAGGCTTGGCAAACAAAATCAATGGCTGTCTTACTCACAGGGAATAAAGAAAATGACGGGGTGAGGTTATGCAAATATTGGAACAACTTGCATAACATTTTAAGATTTACACTCCTTTCAGAAAAAAAGCAACTGAAAGCTACCCGGACAAATCCTAAAACAGAATATAAAAGACAATTAAACTACTACTGTATACAGGTAATAAGGTACAACATATTCTCACTTGTCATATGGTTTTATCAGATTCATGTAACAAATATGTATAATTTGTTTTCAAGCAGGTACTAATTATAATTAAACTTGAAGAGTGTGATGAGACCTACATGTACTTAGCTGTCAGTTAAAACGCAGTCATTAATTAATGAATAATCCATCGTCTGCCTTGACTCTCAAATAATGGTGTTCATAGAATCACAGTTAGGTGTCTGACTTTGTTTGTTATGCAAATCATAGCCAAATAATAAATATGGAAATCACTTTGGATCCAAAGTCCCTCTATCTCAAAGTTAATGACCCTTTGATTGCTTGCATTCAACTAATGAGATTGGCTTCTGACTCTTGGTCTAATTAATCAGCATAAGTATGTGATGGTAACTACATGTATAGAGTGTTTAAAAATCTTCAAGCTTCAGGACAATACAAAAAATTATTCAATAATTTCAGCTTTCCTCTTCCCTTTCTCCCTCCCCCCTCTCTCTCTCTCTCTCTCTCTCTCTCTCTCTCTCTCTCTCTCTCTCTCTCTCTTTCTCCCCTTCTCTTTCTCTATTTCTCTCTCTCTCCTCCTTATCTGTTCTCTCTAATTCGTTTTACATCTACATCTATGCATACACAATTACACATCTAAAAAGGCAGGTGGGGATATATTTTATTTTATGAATACTGAATAACTTGTTTGTTATCTAATTAGGTTCACAGCTTCACATGCTATTTTTCAATATAACAATTTTTATTTTCATTGAGCACTTCTGTAACATATATCTCTGCCTAATTGTAAAAACATGATTTGAAAACATGTTATTGAATGTGAATAAAATCAATAAATGAACCAATACGCCAATCAATCAATGTTGTGCTCTGCGCATTTAAGGACAAAGTTGAGTTCTAGTCATGAGATCGAAACGTTTTGGAATCTATCAGAAAAGGATGATCATCTAGCATATAAGTATTGGTGTGTGCTACAAGGTTCTGGAATCATCAAATTGATAATAAATTTGGCCCAGATGTATATGGGACAGATTTCTTGTTTCACTTGGATAACAAATATTTCACTACTTTAAATCTTCCACTATATTATCTTCATCATACAGGTAGTAAAAACAAGTATGAATGCTATGAATTCATTCTTTCTCAGTAGGCGCATTTATACTGTAAAATACCTCATTTTGAAAAGTCGCGATGTTTCGCGCAGCCGTTTACACTTGTGCGGAAACATCACCGACTGAAAAGCTCAGTGATGTTTTGGCGTGTTTCAGTTGGTAATGCGCATGCGCGGCACTCCGATGCAAACACTTTCCTCTTTCTATCTTTCCTTGTTATTCCTTGTTTTTCCTTCTATCACCTTCTCTTATGTTATTCTTTATCCCTTCCTTCTATCACTTTCTCTTTCTGTGTTTCCTTATGTTATTCTTTATTTCTTCCTTTTATCACCTTCTCTTATGTTATTCTTTGTTTTTTAATCATTCTATCACTTTCTCTTTTTGTCTTTCCTTATGTTATTCTTTGTTTCTTCCTTCTATCACCTTCTCTTATGTTATTCTTTGTTTTTTATCATTCTATCACTCCCTCTTTCTGTGTTTCCTTATGTTATTCTTTGTTTCTTCCTTCTATCACCTTCTCTTATGTTATTCTTTGTTTTTTATCATTCTATCACTCCCTCTTTCTGTGTTTCCTTATGTTATTCTTTGTTTCTTCCTTCTATCACCTTCTTTTATGTTATTCTTTGTTTTTTATCATTCTATCAATCCCTCTTTCTGTGTTTCCTTATGTTATTCTTTATTTCTTCCTTTTATCACATTCTCTTATGTTATTCTTTGTTTTTTAATCATTCTATCACTTTCTCTTTCTGTCTTTCCTTATGTAATTCTTTGTTTCTTCCTTCTATCACCTTCTCTTATGTTATTCTTTGTTTTTTATCATTCTATCACTCCCTCTTTCTGTCTTTCCTTATGTTATTCTTTATTTCTTCCTTTTATCACTTTCTTATGTTATTCTTTATTTCTTCCTTCTATCACTTTCACTTTCTGTCTTTCCTTATGTTATTCTTTATTTCGTCCTTCTGTCACTTTCTCTTTCTGTCTTTCCTTATGTTATTCTTTGTTTCTTCCTTCTATCACTTTCTCTTTCTGTCTTTCCTTATGTTATTCTTTATTTCTTCCTTCTATTACTTTCTCTTTCTGTCTATCCTTATGTTATTCTTTGTTTCTTCCTTCTATCACTTTCTCTTTCTGTCTATCCTTATGTTATTCTTAGTTTCTTCCTTCTGTCATCTTCAAAAGGACGACATCTAGCTAGCCCCGCTCCTCAAGTCACTTTACCTAACATCGCGATGTTACAACTGCGAGCGTTTATACTTGCCAAACACGCCAAAACACGCCAAAACACGCCAAAAGATCACACTTCGTTTTGGAATGTTTGGGGCTTGGCGTTTCTGCCGGTAAAGCGTAGTTGCCCTTGGTAACATCGCGGCCAGGCTCCGGTTTGGCATTTTTTGGCGTGTTTGGAAGACAGTGTAAATGCCCCTAGTGTACTCCATTTTCTGCTCCACCCTGTACACCACTTCAAGCTATAAAAGATCGATCCTGGAATATTTCTTGACCTGGTGTGAGTACTATGCACACATAGGAGCCATGTCATAATATTTGCAGTAACTATATAATGACCAGACTGAAGAACCAATATCACTGGCTCTACCACTCACACTGAAGTGTTGTACATAGTGTCTCAACAAAATCAATTGACACAACCTGGTGAAGTGCTATCTCATAAAAGAAGACAATATTCTCAGAGATGGTAAAATCAGAAAATGAAATATCATAGAATTCTAATTATAGGTCTGATCCATACTCTGAAGAGGTGTGTCAATATCTAAACAGCAAATATAATTTGTTTTTCTTCTCAATAATATGTGTGTATTATTGTACTTATACACAATCTGGATGTCAAATTATAAGAGATACAAAATATCCCTTCGAACAAGTGGAAGCAGAATTCTTATTTCCTAATAGTTAAGAAAGTATGCCCACTCATACATTTGTACATCGTGTTCAATATCAAATTTTACAAAATACAGTCAAAACTGCTTTAGTGACCACCTGTCTACAAAGGCCACATTTGTTGGTTCCCTTGAAAACGGTTTCTCATTGAATCATGTACTAAAGGAACCTGTATACAAACACTACTTTTTGTGTTTCCTTTGGGCAGTTGCTATAGACAGGTTTGACTGTACAATTATTCTTACACTCACCTTTTTCTTGGTGAAGGAGTCCCACGACTGTTAGATTTATCGGATGAATGTCTATCTAAACTGGCAGATTGTATATGATGTGATCGGCTATGCTGAGGTGATGGCATCCTATGTGAAGGGGAGGGGCCTCGGTGGTTGGGAGATGGCGACCTCCTACCGTTCCGAATTTGTGGACGATCTAAATCAAAATCAAATGAAATTTAATGTAATCTCTTTTAAATAGGAAATAGATGAAATTCAGAAATTTATAAAAATCTTATCATTTCTACAATATGCAATATTACACATAGAAAAATAGAAAAATATAGGGACAAGGTGATTATTGGCCTATATTATCAGACTAAAAAGTTTTCCTACTGTTTTTTACTTGCTACATGACAAGAAATTTATTGTAATTGTCTGTTTAATTTATACTTAAATTTTAAAAATTGAAAAATTATTCTTGACAAAAAATGTCCTTTTCAAAGTCATGTAGACAAACATTTTGTCAACATGTTTTCATCAGTTCACATCTAGCAGGAAATGCTGAGAGACCTTTTACAGAGTTAACCCCTTTCTGGCTCGTAAACAAGCAACATCTTTAGAACTAGCTGTGCGTCTATAGCCATTTTAATGCACAAGAGTTCTTTCTAATTCCTCTAGATATATCAATTATACATGTGTCCGAGTCTCAATTTCAATTACAGATTGTTTGTGAATTTCTGTAACAGGTGATTCTTTCAAAGGGCCTCTGGTAGAGCACCTGGAAAGCATCAATACCCTCGTCAGCATTCATAAGATATTTACCGTGTCTGCGTAGGATCTCGTAAATGTACGAAGATGTTAGATTGCGGGCGGTTGGAGTATAGTTATTAGCGATGGCATCACTGACTCTGCGACTATGTTTGACTTCTTTGGTTGGAGCAGCTCTCGTGAATGCTCCTGGTTGGACTATCTTTGGCTTTTCACTAAATGCAGGCTGCAATTAAGGAAAATAAGAAGGTATTGAGATGTTCAATATAATGATTTTATAAAATCTCTGAAGAGTTTAGCATTATAGTTCTTTGCAATGATTAATAAAGAATGAGCTCAACCCTCATTTGTAATAATTGAGTCCCTTTTGAAGGATTTTAGCTTAATGACATATATATTATGTATATACACTGGACATGAACATGAAATTAAGACACATTACTTGGCTTATTATTACAGGTCTGACTCTAAAATCGTATAATGTAAATATATGTGTACAGTTTATTCACTACCTGGTATACAATATTTGTAATGGGTTTACAAAGCTAGTCAAGTACTTTTCTTTTTCATGAAAATACAAATAGGAGTCCATGCTGATGTTCAGACTAATTATGCTGGAACACATAAATATTTTAACTAGATGGCAATAAAATGATACAGAAGAAGTCCTTGGTTGAAAAGCATAGCAACCAGTCCATGAGATCACTATGAAATTCATCAGAAAGGACGTACCGGAAAACAATTACTTCTACTCTGGTTGCCATGGTATTGTAGACACAACGAAAAATCATTAACATGTAGACTCAAATCAGTACAGCATCATCACTTGTTGGTACATGGGTGCTCACAATTTCAGAATATGTATATATGAATAAAGAAATAAAGAAATTCTGGATTAAAATCAATTCTAACAAGCATCATAAAAGTGTAATGTGTGCAACTTAAGCAAAACAGTCTTTTACTTCAACGCAATTATGTGATTAAATATAATCCATTGTAGAGATAAATATTTTAAAAAAATATTTAAACAAATATTAAAAATACCACTTTGTTTAACACATCAGTTCTTTTTAGATTTCCTGCTAAAAAGGTGAAATTTCCTTCAAGTGTTTTTATTGTTTTTTTTAACAGTGTTGGTTTGTTTGTTGTGTTTGTGTGTTTGTTTTTGTTTTGTTTATTTACCAGAGTCTTTCAGACTTCAATCATCCCTTTATCAATTTTTTCTCACATTTTCTCTTTCAGATGAAAATAATTCAATGTCAAAGCAATCAAACTTCAAGTGATCATTTTTTCAAAGAGAATGTTGATAACAAAAAATGATATCTTTCTAAAAAAAATTCTTCTCCGTAACACCCCAATCTTAATATTCCAAAACATATTTGTTTTCATACGGTAATTGCCCACAAACTTAAATATTTGAAGATGTACTAATCGTGCCACATTATAAGCATGAAGATAAATACACATACTGCAAGTGTACAGTGTACACTAGCAGAACGTGCAAACTGAAACTTTGCACTTTTCATATGGACTATACTTTGGGTGGTTTGGTAGGCCTATAAGTGCACTGTTTTTTACAAACTTTCTCAATTAGGCCCGATGAAGGTCTGAAGTGTAAGACATTCATCTTTTCACCAGATGACTGATCTAACATCATAGAATCTACTAGACAAATTTCGAAATTTTATGAATATTCCTCACTTAACAATGATTACAGAAAAAAAAATAATGCTGAATCTATTTTATTTGTTTCATCAATTTGTTTGCAAGTAGGGAATATGTAATTAGTTATGATCTACCCGACTGTGTATTATTTGTACTTGTCTATATCTAAGTTTGTTGAAATGCTTTTTAATACATGTAAAACTTGCAATGTAATTTAGCTTTTGGGCTACCATTTTGAAGTTGTCTAATAAAAAAACCATTCTACAAATAAAGCATTTGATGTCAGGTCATATAATATCCAGCTAGACATTGAGACTGGGACCCATCACAAAATTAATGTCTAGCCAGTGAGTTTTATAGCGAATCTGAAACAGTAGATCTCTCAGTTGCTCATATATACAGAAAGTGTGCATGTATAAATGATGTTTGATTTAATGGTTGCCAAGTCTGCAAACACAATCTTTTGTATGCTACATTTACATGAATAGACTGGATAGTATTACAAAAAAAAGATATATTATTGGTTCCTTTAAATTTTCATCTTCATCAAAAGCTGCACAGAGTCTGTCACAAAGCCTTTCACATAAAATTGATTAATCTTCATGACTGTAGAGGGGTGAATAAGTTTTGTATAACTTTATGCCCCCTTCCAAGGGATGGTAGACTGATAACATTTCTTTGAAATGTATACAGTATTGTGCAGAGAGATGAGATGATAGTTACAGTTTATGCAAAAATATCAAAGCCCTTTGAGTTGCAAATGCCCCCAGGTAGTAAATGAACTGCCAGGTTCTACCACGATTGTCTGCTACCCGGATATATATGTTTTAAATTATTTATATGACATGGAGCTAAATATAAATAGAACCAGGAGAATCTAAATACAATTTATTGGAAGTTATAGGTTTCCTTATTATCACAGTTACTCAAGAGATTTCATGGAAATTATCACTGAATCAAAACATTTATAATATTCAATACTCTTCTTAAAGATTTATCTCAAGCAATGGCAGATGTTATACATAAAAATATATTATAAAAGTAAAATATCTGACATATATTTCTTCTGTAAGTCTTTTATAATAATTCTGTTCATAAGTGATCTAAATATGGCAAACTGAATTATTATTTTTTTAATAGCAAATTGTTCTTGCCACAAATGATTTCATTGTAGGTTCAATGAAAATCAATCTGTATTAACAGCATGACATTATCATAAACCTCATTTTCTTTCAATTAATACTCTTCTTCAGAGAGAAGCAATATAAATAGATGTTGCTTACCTGATGTGCACTGAGGGGAGGCAGATGGCTGATTACATTAGGTCTGTATTGAAGCTCAAATTGATTGGGTTGGGCTGGAAAGTGCCTTGGTGACATCTGAAAAGAAAAGAAAATGTTTTTTTTTTTGTAGATAGAAATAGTCATTTTCTCTTAAAAGTATACTACCTGTAGACTGTACATGTATTTTTACAGCTTTCAATGAAATTCACATATTGCATGGTTTCACTGTTCGAAAAAAGGTACATGTATAGCGGTTTATAGCCTTCGAAATATTTCTAATTACACAGAATTACTGTAATGCAGCCAATATACAAAGTATATTGATTTTGTCTCATGACCTATGATCTTTCCTTTTGTAATAACTTATTAGTCAAAATTAATCTTTAAATAAAAAATAGAATTCAATAATTTGTCCCATTCCGATTTCGCCTCAGAAAATACATATACCTACATTGTAGATCTTATAAGCAAAATGGAGATGATAAACATTTAAAGATCCCTTGGTTGCATTATCCACGCCTCCAAGTAACCCGAAGGTCGATGCATACCGTATCATCTATACAGCTACATCTTTTATGAGTGTAAAGAAACCAGACTCTTTACATGAACAGGGGGATGAGCATGAAATCAATAACCGATTATGCAGCTATAAAAAAGGGATCTCTTGTGCTCTGCCCATTGTTGATGCTAACTTGTGGGACAGCTAGCAATTGGGAATCGGCACTCAACCACATGTCTTGGTATTGATTTTGTCTCACCTACTGACGTAGACGTCTGTATTGAAGTGTATCAAAAACAGACAGAGAAAAAGATCTTTATGTACATGGATTGATAATGGATGTAACTAAAGTTTTATTTTCTTGTAAACACATTGCAAATTCAATTAAAAAAAAGATACCCCTTTTACTACAAGACATATATTCCACTGATTCATAAAAATGCCAACCTGTAATCTAATCTCTTTTTCAAAACTTTACAACCAAATTGGACTATGGATAGACTTTGTTCAAACAGCATAAAATTGAACTATACATCAATATACAATGTACATGTACACTGCAAAGAGCAATCAAGCCCTCGGCAGAGCTTTCGCATGAGTAGTAGTCTAAAGCTTTGTAGCAACGAGTCTTTATTGATATGCCTAATCAACTAAAAAAACTACAAAAGTACAATATAAGACAGAGCTGTCATGATGTGGATGACTGATTGTTTAATGAATAGATCCAGTACCAGTTTTTGTTCTGACTTTATCATATTATGATACACAGTGCGTGAAATTTTACCCCATGCACTGACAATGGGTCATGTTACAATGAAAGCTACACACTATGGAGAGGGGATTGTAAAGTGAGCTTGTCTTTGATTTAACTTGACACAGATTGTCATAGGTCAGGTTGAGAATGAAACTATGTCACATATACTTTATATCACCCTGTTTGACTTGATGACTAGATTACACATCCGTCGAGTTTTGGCAACTCAATCGCACAAAGATACTTCTATTCTATATACTTCTATATTCTATTTTGTAAATTAATGATAAATTTGTTGAATTCATCTTTTTTAAATATAGGCCCCTTTTTTCAACCAGAAGAGCAGAAAGTCTTGTATTTTGATCATACTTCAGACTGCTCAAAAGTATGTACATGTAGATATACAGGTTTATATGTACACATGTATGTACAGTATACAGTATAGATTGTATAATTTTAAGCTTATGAAGAATATATTTACAGTCTTGAAAAGTTAAAAGACACAACATACATGTAGATGTCTAGGCAGTGTTATTTTTGAGAGCCAGCAGCCCAGCACAGATCACAACAAAATGTTGCATGGTTTCTGGATTATTGACATTGCGAATCTCCCCCTCTTGGGGCAGATCAAATACATACTGCAAGTAGCTTCGGAGGTGTAACAGTAGAAGTTCAAAAGATCGTAAAGCTTCATTTACTTTTTTTGTTCATACTTCCACTATGTACAGTAAACAAAGAGTCACTTTAAGCCCTTAAATGTTTATGTTCAAAGACTTGCAAGTTGAGTTCTGGTCATGCGATTGCATTGTGAAAGAAGCGGTGTGAAATCGACCAGAAAAGGTTGATCATCTAGCATATAAGAATTTGTGTGTATTGCAAGGTTCTGGAATCATCAAAATGATAAGAAATTTGGCCAAGTCTTGGTAAAGTTACAAAACTGTACAAAGAAAGATATATATGGGACTAAAATCCTACCCTGGATTTTTACAATGTTTACATGACATATTTAGAATATGAAGGCATTTGAAGAGCCATGCTTTTCAGGGAACATGTCTTATCTGATGTTCTTCCACACTTGCATAATAAGAATGATAACGCTCACAAATTATTTTTCACCTCTTCCCAGAACTCAACCTTCTCTTTAAGCCCTTGTTTCTGTTCATAGACTTGCACTTACACATACATGAACAGTGTAGTAAAACATGGGGATTATATTCTTGATGACAATTTAGCAGATCTAACATACATTTCACAGGCCAAGATAGCTAACATACACTTCACACTTCTAAGAATATAAAAAGATGGTATACAGCTATATTGTTTATAGCAAACAAAGAGTTAACCCTTGTTCAGGTTCAATCAAAGACTTGCCCTACTCTCACAGCTAGTAACACATGGGGATTAAGTTCTCTGAAGAAAGTCATCTACCAAGCACAATCTGCCTTCCTGTCCTAGCTTCTACAAGCTCATTATGAACAATAGATTAAGTGTCCAGTGGTTACAATGGGCCTGTGAAGGCTGTGATAATGAAGCAATTAAGCGCTCCTATAATAGGCTGAATATAATATCAACCTTGTATGTGGTTACAACATATTGTGTGGTTACACATACTTTGTACCAAGAATGCTGTTAGTCGAAGGAATAACAAGAGAGTGTGATCTTCAATGATTTTGAGCAAATTACTTACCGGTACATGAACATACAGTGTACATTTGGCGCCTATGATACATTAACTAGTGAATTAATTGCTATGCTTGACATGTAGATGTACTTTGTCCACAGGTATGAAATTATTTCTATTCAGGAACACAAGATACAATTTGAATGACAGATTATACCAATCCCATATCAAATACTACATTAATGAACTACCTTTATACATTTGTAGGTTATAACATACATTTTAGTCATCGAGAAATGCAAGACAAAAATTACTAAAAGTACATGTATCTCTTTGACAAAAAGTTTTAACTTTTACTTCCACTAGGTTTTAGTTATTAAAGAAAATATGATAAAATGTTGACACACAAATTAGAATTATATTTGTACTACAAGACTACAATGAGATACAAATTCCTCATACTCATTACAAAAACCATTATACATGTCGTTTGATTAGAGAAACAATTTCAAAGGATTGCCATGATGCATACCATAGCCAAAGCCCAAAAACCATTATCCAATTATTATCATCATCCTTTTCATAAGGGACAAATTTTCTAAATTGTTAACTATTATTTCAAGGGTATTCTACTTCTACTTCTACGTCGGTACTTGACAGGATCCAAAATCAATGGATTCCCACTTCTTTCATTTGTTAACATGATATAAGATTTTATTACACATTTTTGTTCAGTTTAAAACGTCATACTACAGCAATACAACAATAAATCAATTATCAGTGGCTCACCTCATTCATTTTACTCCCCATGGTTGAAGCGAACCCGTCTGCTTCACACAGCTCCACAGAATGGAATAATACAAAATGGGAGTGGGTCTCACGTCTTTTCACTTCGAATTTTCAGGCAAACTCATCGTGATGCATTGTAAATCGAGCGTATACATCCATGTATCAGTTGTTCATGCAATTTTAACCAACATTGAAACTAATTTCGAATAGCGGCAGATCGGAGGCTTTATTATAAAGCGAGTACAAATGTGGGTCGGTCGAATACAACAGCAGCTAGCAGGCCGCCGGATTATACCGTTCTTGTAGTGGGGAAGCACTGGCATAAGACCATGAAGCGTTGGGTTGCTGGGAGACAACCGAAGCGAGCTTTATTGACTTAGAATCGGATTAAAGTAACGGAACAGTAACTCGTCCCTGGTAGCCATATTACATTGTGAGGAAACCGGAGATTATGACCATTGATCTCATTTCATTATAAGACTGCAGTTGATAATGTTGCCTTTAGAGTTTAGTTCCATGAACTTCTTGAACAAAATGCTCCCACGGGACATCGACTTGACAATGCACTGGTACCGCTACTGTATGCTGCGATGTACCTACGTACGTACACGCATGCATGATCGAGCTCCAAAACTTTGCCAACTCCGTGAAACAGGTGCACTGTGAACATGCTCCGGAATAGGGGTGTTAGCAAGGAGTTAACTCCTTGGTGTTAGGGTGGGCGCGGTGGTATTGAGCCTGAACATCGCAGTCCATTGCTCGGACCAGGGTGCTCGGACCGTTCTCTTTCTTTCTTTCTTTCTCCTTTCTTTCTTTCTTTCTTTCTTTCTTTCTTTCTTTCTTTCTTTCTTTCTCTCTTCTTTCTTTCTTTTTCTTTCGTCATCCTTTCATTCTTTCATTCTTTCTTTCTTTTCTTTCTCATTCTCCTTTCTTTCTTTCTCTCTTTCTCTCTTTCTCTATTTCTTTCTTTCTCTCTTTCTCTCTTATTTCTCTCTTTCTCTCCTTTTTTCTTACTTTCTTTCTTTCTTTCTTTTTTTCGTTCATCCTTTCATTCTTTCATTCTTTCTTTCTTTTCTTTCTCATTCTCCTTTCTTTCTTTCTCTCTTTCTCTCTTTCTCTATTTCTTTCTTTCTCTTTCTCTCTTTCTCTCTTTCTCTCTTTCTCTCTTTCTCTCTTTCTCTCCTTCTCTCTTATTTCTCTCTTTCTCTCCTTTTCTCTCACTTTCTTTCTTTCTCTACTTTACCATGACTTCCAATGTCTTGTATTATATTGACAATCAGATGGGCAGCTATGAATATATACGTTCATAATGCTTCCATTTGTTTTTATGTTGGTAAATTACAAATATATATATTATGGTATTTATAGATTTACAGTAATTACGATATGTAACTATGGTAACAGCCTTAGCAGTCACGTCCATTACCAACTTTGTGGCAAACAGGCAGATCATGATGGCTTGTTTATTGCTATGACTAACATTATTTAAATTCTTCAGAGACCAACTTCAAATTAAATGTAATATTGATGAAGTACAGATTTGTTTGCTTATTTCATCCTTTTCATCTTTTTATCATACTGTTTCCATAGCAAAAGCCTATTTCTTCATGAACGTGACTTCAAATGACTTGAATTTTTAATTGCAATCAAATGTCAGCTAAAAGTACATTTATTTAGATGCTTCACATTTATTTCTATTACCAGTATCTATGTTATTGAATTACAATTGTGATGAAGGACTTAGGCCTACTTCCCAAAACGCTAAATCCACTTTTGACCATTTTGTTTAAAGGTAAAGACCAGTTTTGAAATGCCCCCCTCTCAAAAAATGAAATGGAAGCTCTCATTACCAATCATGTGAAAGAATATGTTTTGACTAATACGTGATGATACAAATTTTGCCGAGAAACCGCCTACTAATAATTGATATATGATGATATTTTTTTTCATTTGATATTTGAATAAACAGATTATATTGTATTTTTAAAATGTTCTTGCAAAATGTAAAAAAATTCCAGTTCATGTTTCTCTTTCATTCCAAAAAGGCGCTAAATCCAAAGTCATTTAATTACAAAAGGAATTAAATCCACTATGTCGATTAGGAATTTGTGTTACGATTTTTGTAGATATGGTCAGTTTAGATAACCAATGCAAAGTTTTAATAAACTCACCATATTTAAATGTTTTTGGATTTAGTTCCTTTCTGAATGAAATGGCCGTAAGTGTCGTCTTTAGTGGAAAACATTTTTGTTTCAATGTTGTTTCAGTTAACAAGAAGCTAACCGGCGGCACTAACCTGCGCCTTTAGTGTGAATTGTTTACTGGAGAAGAGGGCGGCAGACCAAAATTAAAAATGCAAGATCATTAAAGTTGAGAATATGAAGAGATTTGTTGTATTGATATTGGAAAAGCTGCATTGGTGCCAGGGCACGTTCATGAATGTCTAATTCCTTAAATGAATATATTTATTTATAATGAAATGAATAGTAAGTAAAATCGTGCACAAAATCAGGTTGCACATAACAATATTATTTTACCATGTTAATAAAATATAAAAAAAGTACATCCTATCCTTCACTAACGTCTATGAAATTGGCAAATTAGAGAGGTTCTCAAATTGCAAGTTTGACAAGTTCGTAGTGTCTCCTATCATGTTTACTGCCCCATCCACCCCTTCTCTCTCTCTCTCTCTCTCTCTCTCTCTCTCTCTCTCTCTCTCTCTCTCTCTTTCTCTTTCTCTCATTCTCCCTCTCTCTTACTCTCTTTCTCTTTCTCTTTCCCTTTCTCTTTCTCTTTCTATTTATCTGTCTCTTCCACTTTCTCTCGCCATTATCTTGTTTAATTAGTAAGCATGTTCACTGAATACAGCTTCATTTTTCAGCGCTTTAAAGGGGCAGTGTTTATAGAGCAGGAACGTTTGAGTTGAGTAAATGGGTTGGAATCAATCTAGGCTTGTAAATTGTAAGCACGACGGGGAAGGGGGTAACTCTCTTCCGATCAACTTTTTTTTAATTTCCTGTTCCAATATTTTGCAAGAAAACGAGAAAACATACATATTTTATTGTGAAATATTGTCGAATATCGTTACCCCAAAAAGTACTGAGTAATACACAAAGCTGCCCGATTGCGAAGGGGAACGGATGCATGATTATTTATAGTAATTCACAATTCACAATTCACAAATGATTTGGGTCCATTCAAAATGATACCCAGTTAGATAAAGTAAGATGTGTAGTGATTATTGTCGGAGAGGGCAGTAGACCAACTTAGATCACAGTCCGTTGCCGTCCGTTGTCAATGGATCGGTTTACTCTTAGTAACATAATTTCGAATGTTATGCATTATTGACTTGTTCTTGACAACCCAGGCGCGGATCCAGGATTTCTTAGGGGTGGGGGCCTAAATTTGAAATTATGCGAGCCAAATATTGGTACGCAATGGTGACCAGCATTGACGTAATGGGGGGGGGGGGGGGGTGCTGGGAGGGGTGATTTCCCCCTCCCTCCTCCGCAAAGCGCCAAAACTCTTACGTTTCATTAAATTATTAGAGAAAGAAGACGATTCATTGTACCGTTCTCGAAAATAATCCTCGTCTGAAACTCTGAATTCAGTTCCCCCCCCCCCCTCCCGCGCGAAGCGTGGAAGCTTTTACGTTTCATTAAATGATTAGAGAAAGAAGACGATTCATTGTACCGTTCTCGAAAATAATCCTCGTCTGAATTCAGGTTACCCCCTCCCCCCCCCCCTCCCGCGCGAAGCTCGGAAGTTTTCACGTTTCATTAAATCATTAGAGAAAGAAGAGGATTTGTTGTACCGTTCTCGACTCTTAATCCTCGTTTGAATACAGTTCCCCCCACCTCCTGCGCGAAGCGCGGAAGCTTTGACATAGAGTAACAAGACGATTCGTTGTACCGTTCTTGAAAATAATCCTCGTCTGAATTCAGTTCCCCCCCCCCCTCCTGCGCGAAGTGCGGAAGCTCTGACCTTTCATTAAATTATTAGTGAAAAAAGACGATTCGTTGTACCGTTCTCTAAAATAATCCTCGTCTGAGTTCAGTTTACACCCCCCCCCCTCCCTCCCGCGCAAAGCGCGGAAGCTTTTACATTAATTCATTAAATCATTAGAGAAAGAAGACGATAAATTATGTTGTACCGTCCTCTTCCTTTTCTCTCCTCTCTTTAGTTTGGTCTTTTTTGGGGGGGGGGCGCCCCACCGCCCCCTGGCTACGCACCTGCGGTCAGATGAACATATTTTGATACCTTGTCCGCCCTCGGAAACTCAGGGGTTTAAGGCAATAACTTACGGTCAGATAAGCATTCAGGGGCCCGCCTTAGGGCCCCTGGTGGGGTCGAGAGTGTGGAAACCACGAAATCTCAGGGGTTTTAGGCATTTGATTATTAGAAGAAGATTATTATTATTATTATTTCAAATCATTTTAATAAAAGGTGATGTAATGTTCACTATTATTATTATTATTATTATACATGGACGTATTATAGGAGTACATGCTGTTCTTTCTAAAAAATAAAAAAAAACATATATAGCCACTACACGATTCGAAAGAAGTTAGGAATAAAGCCAAGTTTTTTTTACTGAAATGAAAACAGGCTGTATTAAGCTGCCGTACACTGCATGCTGCGATTATTTCTGGTATAATGAAATTTGACTAATTTACTCACTCATTCAAATAGAGGCCTAGACTATATTACATATTTTAAGACAAGGTAACGTAGACAATCGAAAGGAATTCCTATATTAAATATTAGACTAAATTATGTCAAGCCGAAATGCAATTAGAACCAATTTACGAAACACGTTTTAAAAAGAAAGAAAGAAAAAAGAAAGTGTAATGCTATTACAGAAATATGAGAATTACATTTCTGCGTGCAAATTCTGCAAAGAAGACAAGGAAGATACTTTATTCGTTCTCAATGTGTAATGGATGCGAAAGATACATGGGAAGGGGGTATTGATAACGGTATATGGCAATGAGCTCAATGTGCTTTATGAAAATAAATGTTTCATAAATGTTTCATACAGACAGTCAAGTTTTGTATTAGCCTTTTATAACATTCAAGAAAATCTAGCGAGCGAGCAACAGAAAAAGAAAACATTTTAATTATGGTTTTGATATGCTGAATTCCTCCCTTGGCCATGCAAGATATCAGACACAATTTTATATTTTCACATTTCATGTTATTAAAAAAGATCGAGAGAGATTCGAGGCACCGGTTGAGAAGCGCTGAATTAAGCGATTTATCAACAAATTGTCACTAATACTAATAAACATGACGATCAAGGTCAAACACTGTCGAAAAGTTTCTTAAAACAAAGCGCAGATAACAACTTCTCACACTCACCGTAGAGGACGTGTGGAATATATAGGTTTGGAGACCGCTGCAAATTATATATCATTTTTTTTTCCTGCATGATTTCTTCATTTAATTCATCTCTAATATCATGAGTGTACAAAGATTAGTAAGACATATTCCAGTGCTGTTTACAATATTTCATATATATTTTTTTTCGAAAATCATTTTTAAAAGACCATCAAAATCAAGCCATTTCTAAAAGTGCAAATAAAGTTACTTATCAGGCACTGGCTGGATGTTGATCTTTTTTAAATGATTTTGAATACTCGTTTTAAAAGAACGGTCATAGCCTTAGTTCCCGGCTTTAGTTTTAAGATTTCTGTTTCAAAAATGTATGTTTCCAAAAATCCTCCCAAAATGTCCATAACAAACGTACTATATTTGGTAACTGTCAACGGACCCTGATGATAATTGATTGTTGCAGGTACTGTGTGCTAGATTGAGCTTCGGGAATCGGGAGATGTCAAATTGATCTATTAATCAGTAAATTACATTGTTCATTTATAAGGTAGCATACTCTTTCAATTTTTATCAAATGTGAAGTGTCGTACGAAGGATGAAAACAGGAAAAATATGGATTTCATCTCATTGTTATAAAAACAGTTTTTGAGAATCACGCCTGTAGTGCATTACGGTATACGCACAATATGCAGACAGCCGCTCCAGCTAGCTAGCTGATATACACACACTATCGTCATCGTCAATTTGCGCATGCGTTTCGCCTTTCGCGTATTCTGCTGATCATTTGTGAACATTAACAACTGTTGGCCGATCTACGCATCACCATCATCATCATCGTTTTAATCAATTAGGAATCATGGGTTCATATCAAAGGATTACCATTGTTCTTATCCTAAGTAAGTATAATTATATTCGAATGTGAATAGGGTCTATAGAGGTCTAGAGAGTTAGAGAATAGATGATTGTAAGGGTTGAAATTAAAAAAAATGAGATGGAGCGTAGCGAGTTTGCTCCGTTCATCGACTCGGGCTGTCTTCAAGTTCAAACTCTGAGTCCAAGAAATCTTGCCCCTGAAGTTGAGGCAGCTGAGCTGAGCAATGTGAGCAACCGAACGCACTGATCGAGTTTGATCGGTGAGATACTGTTGCAAGCAGAACTTAGGGGTAGATCTAATGCCACTCTGGGAGTGGAAGAAATCCTTTCTCTTCTTGGGTATAAATAATATGCAAAACCTATATTTTTGTTTCCCAGTTTTGCTGTGATGGTGACACTTGAATTGACGGATTAAAATTAATGTCAGATCCAGTGCAGAAATGAGAAAGAGGGTGGGACCATGTGTGGTGATGGTGGCCGGTGGAAACGACCCAGAGACTATTGCCATATTGGCATGATTGTAGATCTAGAGTAGATCCAAGCTTAAGTCAAGGAGCTTTAGATCTAGATCTAGATAAACTTGTAACTTCTTGGGTCTAACATTAGATCTAACGTTACTTAGATCTAGAAGTCTACATCTAGGTTGAGTTTTAAATTGGAAGAAAGGATTTAGATTTAGAATCTAGGATAATTAGTCACTGACATGATCAGAGTTATAATTGTGAAGATTCATCATGTTCATTCTGTGTAGTGACGAGTGTGTTCAATGTGTTTAATAAATCACTCATTTTTTATGAAGGGTGGAATGTAGTGATAAACATGGAATTATGTCAGCAAATTCGGATTATATGATACTGATACTGATGGCCATGTGGTATCCCTGAGTGAGGCTGAAGATTAAAGGATACTTTTTTTTCTTGGCGTAAAAAAGAAAGGAGAAAACTTCTGTCAGCAAATGTGAAAATCTGAGGATACCCCCCCCCCCCTTTTTTTTTAATTAGTAGGGGCATACATGTAGTTGACATTACCAATTGAATAGAAACTAATTTCAGCTATTACCATTAGAACAAAAATGGCTCAACTCAATTACAATCATACTGTATAACAATTATTGTCTTGGTTCATCAACAAGTTGTAGTACTACATCAGGTTTTAAAATGGAGGAGGCGGTCAAAGTAGATCCTAAGGCTAAGTAAATTTTCCTAGAAATTAACTTAGATCTAGGTCTAGACCTACATGACACATGTAGACATTGAAAATCATCAGTCCTCCTGCCGCACTCTCCGTTAATATCTAAATTTCTCTTTTTGTTACCCATGCCAATTATATAATTGTCTTTAATAATTGTAGATCTATTTGTATATTCCATATCAGAGAAATAGAGATTGCCATCTTGTAAAGTGATAATCTGAATGTTCAAAGTTAATAACTGTAAGAAATTGTTGTCATGTTTATGTTAATAAATCCACATGTATTTGGTTTCCTATGTTTCCTAATTGTGCCATTGTGGTCTGGAGATTTAAAAAAATATATAATTTTGTCTTTTAAATTTTGTCAAACTTGACTGCAATTTTTTGTTTTGTTTTTGTTTGTTGTTGCTATGAAAGAGCTACATAACTAATATTAGGCCTATCTTTTTGTCATCTAGCGATGAACAGTTTGATTTGTCATGTAGCAGTTTTCTAAGTAAGATTTTAGAGTAAGATTGAAGCGACTAGTTTAGCACACTTTATAGAATTTGAGGAAAATAGCTTATTCTACCAGAACAAATCCTTCACTTTCCTGTAAGTTCTAGATAACTATAAATCCCAAATTTAAGCCTGGCTGAAGCCAAGCCAATTGTTTGGTCCATTGACAAGCAATCCTGAATTGATATTGTCCACATGTAAATAGTCGGCTTTGTGTGGTCTTCCTGCTTGGGTAATTCAGGAAGTTATTGATCTCAATGATCTGACAAGTGGATTGTGAAAGAAAGTCAATATTTGCCTATTGAAACATAATGATACAAATCAGTTATTCACACTCTTATTGTAGCAGTACCACCTGAGGGTAACTGCTTTACAATCATTTTGAGAAATTCAATAGAAGTATAGACTATAGAACAAACTTAATATTTGCAGGGTGATATAATTTTTGTATAATTTGTGATTGAATGATACATATATCCAGACCTAAATTGTCTTACAACCAATAAAGTACATGTAGCAGGATAAAGAAAGGTAGCATATTATACAACATTTATGTTTTATGATTTTATCATTCAATCAGATTAATTTGTAAATTCATTTTTTACAAGAAGTGGTTGCTTTGTGGGAAATGAATAAAAAGGTAATTTATGAACGTCTAATGACATCTTTCCTCTCTGATCTATAGTAGCAAAAACTAGCCCACATGTACGATATGCAATTCACTCTCCCCCATCCCCTCCTCCACAACCATAGTATAATCTAAATTTCTGTTCCTTGTTATTTTTAGTGAATTTATTGATTCTTTTAATGTTTTTGTATAATTACTTACCGGTAGTCTTTGTCCGTATTGAGTCGGTGACCTGTTATAAAGAGTTTTCTTTCTGTAAACGAAAGTGAATGAATGGTACTTTTGTAAATTGTAATCATGATTAGGATAATACTGTAATTATGGTCAGGCCAAATTTATAAATACATTTGTGTGTCTTGACCCAAGTGTGGTAATCATGTACATTGTAGGCCTGCTTGTATTTGTAAGGATTTTTAAAGATCTTTTTAGAGGTTTGAGGGTCATATTCTTGAGAGCAGGGCTATTAAGGGAGGTGTTTTATTGTTGACTGAGCATCAAAAGGACAAACAATGGCACTGTCCAAGAACAAACAGTTATTGTTACTGATTTCTTTTTTCTACTGCTGCTTTTCCTACATGTATTTCTAATCTATGACTGCTTTAATACTTTGCTGTTGCAACATCAGCTATTTATTTACCTCTACCTTTCTTATTAACTAGTAACTTTTAATTTCTAGCTGTGTTTGTCAGAAAGCCTTCCCACTGGCACTTGACCACTAATGTTTCATTCTTACATGTATATATAACATACACACATTTATAAGCATAATGAGTGGAGATTGACATGTTTACACGCGATGGTATTAAGGTGATGTAGAAGAGCAATGAAGCTGTAAGTGTAAGGAGCTTTGAGGGGGTCATACTGAATAGGCGTGTCTTCACTATCTCGAGATTGCCAAATATCCAGCTATTTGAACTATCCCGATCGAAACTATCCAGCTAATTTGCGTCTTCATTAGACCGAAGTAGCAAATTAGATGGATAGTTGGTCGGGATAATATCCCAAGATATCTCGGTCTAGTTTGCAAAATATCCCACTATTTCCCAACTAGCGGGATAGTTTGCGACCGTCTTCATTAGACAGAAGTACGGAGTCAAATATCCCGATCCCATCATGCACAATGATTTCCGGTTTTCCGTGTGTACTAGTTGTACTAGCGCGCTGAGCGGTATAGATCGCATGTGCGCCGGAAATCGTTGTGCATGATGGGATCGGGATATTTGACTCCGTACTTCGGTCTAATGAAGACGGTCGCAAACTATCCCGCTAGTTGGGAAATAGTGGGATATTTTGCAAACTAGACCGAGATATCTTGGGATATTATCCCGACCAACTATCCAGCTAATTTGCTACTTTGGTCTAATGAAGACGCAAATTAGCTGGATAGTTTCGATCGGGATAGTTCAAATAGCTGGATATTTGGCAATCTCGAGATAGTGAAGACGGGCCTATTTAGGCTACCCAAGCTGGTTTATAATTTCTCTTCAATTTAAGGTCAGAGGGGATTGCATTCTTAGAATGCCTTTGGACCTAGCTCAAGAGAAACAACCTCTAATTGAAGTGATATTTCTCTTGTTTTATGCCTAAAAGAAAGGTTTTAAAGAGTACAGTATGTAATACAACTTTTTGGGGACTGAGAAGCATTCACTACAAAATATAATATGTTTTTTACATGTACATGTATATTATGATAATATTATAAATAAAAACGTTTTAAAATTCTAATATTTTATTTTGTTGTAACAAAATTGTAATACATTTTAGATCATTAAATGCAAATTTCTAAGAATATGAACAAAAAACTTAAGGCCAAACTAATTAAAGAATATATCATTTGTAATTGTATATGAATTATGTGCTCGATGTGATGTAGATTGGTTGTAATATTTTTTAACAGTTCACAATGCACAGAAATTATAGGCCAAATTGTTTCCAAACAAAGCGGATCATTAATAGATACAACTGGTCAGATCTTGGATTTTTATTTGCTGAACTCAATTTGAAGAAGTTACTCAAGTTATTATCAATGAGAAATGTGTTGAAAAGATAACCATCCTTGGTAGCAGGCTTCTGTAAAAGAAAATTGAAAGGCCAGAGAAACAAGTATTTTTTAACGTTGAAAAATAGTTGATACTTTTTTTTAAAGTTCATAAGTAAATGTCTACAAGTAACCTACAGTACATTTGCACCTGCACTGTGTAAAATCAAAACAACCTTGTCCATTACTGTGACCAAATGACTGCCTAGAAATGGATAGAATGACTAAAATATAACGTGTTGTTATTGATGTGATGGAAATGATGATTTCTGTTATACAGTGCACATGCATGAACATATGTCATAGACCTGTAATATAGTAGAGGTCTTGAACTTTACAATGGGGAGAGTGTTTTTAGAGTTTCACACTGGAAAAAAAATATAATAATCTTAAAATGAGTTTGACATTGCAATCACAAGATCAAGTTGCTAATTTGATATTTTTTATAGACCTGATGGAGTGATACAAATGTTGCATTGTTTTTCCTAAGAATTTTAATGAAATCATAAAATAAACATGTATTGATGTAGGGGTCTATGCAATACTTTGACATTTCTGTGGTTGTTCTCAAATGTATACAACACAATCAAGTTACATTCAATTGTGCCAATGCTATGAACAATTCAGTACTAAACTACATGCACATGTATTAAGCATTTATATTCAATGAATGAGATCCTCTTAGCAAACATGTTTATAGAACATGTTTGTTGTGGTTCAGTCCCTGGTCACACCCATACATGTTTACATTCCACAAACTTCCCTGTTTTATACTCTTTGCAGATTGACCTCAGCCCCCAGGGTCATTATGGCTTGACCTGTCAGTTTGCGCCCCACCCTGTTGTTGAACCCTATTCTATCTGCCCTGATTTATTGACCCTAGCTACCAACCAACCTATAAATAGTGGGAGCACATAAACAAACCTCCTTATTGCAGTTTGTATATAGTACACACATACTCTAGGTGAATGTTCCTCTCCAGCAGGCAGCGCATCCAAGGATGCAGCTGTTGTCATTTCTCTTTTCTTGTCCAACCACCATTGGAGTTACTAATTTTGCAACTAGTGGTAGGAGTTTAAAGAGTCAACTCACTTTGGTTTGAAATTATGAGGAAAAACTGACAATGGCAAAAGACCAATACATGTAGTTTTTTTGTTTTTTGTTTAAATTCAAGCAGTAAAGACGTTGGTATACAGTTTGAAATGATTGAAATACATTAATTCAATGTCTTTTTCTCTTAATGGATTCATTTATTACTTACAACTTAGTTGAGATTATAAAAAGCTACATGTACAGTGTATGTCTAATATTGATACATTATTTTATATTGATTTTTTCAAAATTTAAGTGAGATACAGAATACAGAATAAGATACAAACTGATACACATGTTTATTTAAAAGTACACATACGTGTAGATGTAGTTGATATGGTTATGTACCTGTAGCTGTTAGAGCCTAGAGGCAGAGTTTACAAATATTATATTTTCATTGCTTATCTGACTGATTTTTACTCTTTGTTCTTAAAAATGTACATGTGCGATCTGTACGCAGAGAATATATTTCTTAGAAGTGCAACAATAAATCTCTTTTTTGCTTTTATTAGTTACAGATCTATAGAAACCGTGTGTGTAATTCTTTGCAATTTTATAGTACCTTGACCTTATGGTGCAATGTAACTTTGAATTACAACCTCACTGACATTTTCTTTTCTATGTTCAATTCTTTGTCTCTGCAGTTGTTTGTTTAATGGGACTGTCAGCAGGAAGAGGTGATGGTACTGCTTCAAGAAGCCCCATTATTGAAGAAGAAGAAGAACTTGAAATTGAATACATCACTGTGACTGTCTTTGGTACAACGGACTTACCAGAAGAGAGCAACAATGGTTCACCTCCTCCTACCCGTCAAAATCTGACTATGGTAACACCAGCACCTGAAAGCACGAATGAAACACTTGCCACACCACAGAATGTAACACCGAATGTAACACCGAATGTGGTGCCTATCAAAGCCAGCCAAGCTCCTGATTCAATAACAACAATGGATATAGACGTTGTAACAGATGTTGGAACTGGCCCCTCTGCTATGGTTGGTGATGGCACTGGTGGTGGTGAAGAGTTGATGATGGCCACTCAAGGCTTAGACGTAACTTCAGATGGACTTGATGCAGCCACACTTCCAGTTGCTGGGGATTTAGCAGAAGAAGGAACAACAGAAGCAATTGAAGTGCTTACAGACATACTATCCATCGTAACAGAGGAAACTGAAGACATAATAACTGCAACGGATGAATTACCAACAAGCAGACAAGATGCTGACATTCTACCAACTATTGTTGAGGATACAGACAGTACAACTGCGCTGATGCAAGAGATGACTACAGCTTCAGAAATTCTGGAGCCTGCTGTAACCTCTGTACTTGGAGAGCATCCGACCACTCAGTTTGCATCAACCCCAGAAATTCTCACCACAGTGGATCAAATCACTTCAGCACCACAGTCTACTCCTCACACACCCCTACCACCTACAACACCTGAGAGCTCAACGACAGCCATGCTCCACACATCGCTACCACCTACAACACCTGAGCTCCACACATCACTACCACCTACAACACCTGAGAGCGCAACCACATCTATGCTCCACACATCACTACCACCTGCAACTCCAGAGAGAGCAACCACATCCATGCTCCACACATCACTACCACCTACAACACCTAAGTTCCACACATCGCTACCACCTGCAACTCCAGAGAGAGCAACCACATCGATGCTTCACACATCAGTACCAACAATCACTACAAGTCAAGCTCAAACAGTAAGTGATTGGATACATTTTTGTGTTTACACACATAATATAGGCTACCGGTAGTTAAAGAGAAGAAGAAAAACTATTGGTAAATATGAATGTGAATACTGCTCATTACCTAATTGTTGATCTACTGTATTCTTCAATTACTTTAAGGGGGGGGGGGGCAGTGGGGTAATGGGGTAATATATTGCCTTTTCACGCACCCTACATTAATTAAGAATATCTTGTCAACCATAGAAGCTACCCCCTACAAACTATATACTGTTTGAAAGCTTTAAGAGTTTAAGACCATTCAACTTATAATAAAACTGAAATGAGAGATTTCCAAACAAGACAAGAAATCACAGATTTTCAGAAATCAAAACAGCAAACAATACTACTCAAGAGTGTACAGGTATACCACTTGTAAAATTTAAAGGTAGATACAATGTAGTATGTTTAATTGTTTATGTAACTTAATGATGGCTTTTTGAAATATTTTGCTGTTTTCACAGTAAGTTAAAAGTGATTTGATAAATCATTTTTTTTTTTTTTTAATGTTTTTTAATAAATAAATCATAGTAAATTTTAAATGTAAATGAAATGATTTTTGTTTGTTGTTATATTTGTTTTCAGACGGAAAGTGATCATACTGTCTCTCATCATTTGAATCAGATATCAGCCAGTGATTTGTCATCAGATGAGATTGATAACATTGTGACACTCAAGTTCGGTGGTATCACGGTAAGTAGATAGCAGGAAAGTTAAACATTTCAGGAGAGTTTTATCTTTTTACGAACAGACAAAATAGTAGACAAAAGGGAGAGTGCATTCCTGTGCCTTGAATTCATGTTCTGTACTCAATCAGTATTCCAATCCTTGATATACATGTACATGTAGTGAACAAGTGAATCGTCCTTAGTTTATACAAGATCTGAAATAATATAGAGTACTTTCTGACACTGTGACATCATAAAAATCTATTCTTAGAAAAACTCAATTTGAACTTCATTTTCAGAAAGAGCATAAAAAAAATGTCCAACTGTTGAAACCGATTGAATATGTGACGTGTTGGCCGGAATACATGTAAATGACCATCCAAATAAAATAGATTTCAATAGGAAATCTAATGTTATGAACCAGAGAAAAAAAACAGTGATTTCCTATTGAATTCTATTAATTCGGACAGACATCTCTCGGCCAGTGCTTAACATATTCAATTGATTTTCAAAATGAAGTTCAAATTTGGAAACTCTAAAAATAATTTTCTGATGACGTCACTTCACCACTCTCTACTAGGGAAACCTTTCCCAGTTTCCCTCAATAACAAATGATTCAGACCACATGATTGTACAGTTTTGTTCTCTTTAAAAACAGTGTACTCCCCTTTAGCATACCGAGTTGGTGGTATGTGAAATTTCATGGAATGAACCCCTGTAGAGAAGAATTACTGAAAGGTCAAAGTTTATAGCTTTCACATATCCTTCATGTCATGCTGGCAGTTCAAAAATAACTGTGAAGTGAGAATGCTTTACTATTATTTTATAAAAAACTTGGCAAAAAGAGGCAGACATCTAGATTGTGTTTGTTTCCTTTCGTAAATCATGTAATGATGAACAGTGTATACGAAGTGAAGAAATCCCACAACAAGCCTACCATTGTAGGTATTATACATAATTGTATGTCTCTCAGTTATTTTAACCACAATGTTGAGTTGTTCAAACTTAAAGGTCAATATATACATAAAACTATTTATTTAGAAGCTAGGAAGAGGCCAAATAAGTACTGGGTAATGTGTATTTTTGTTCTAGTTTCTTCCCACTTCCTGGAAAATTCTATACAGGAATGTAAAATGTTAATATCTAGTGAAGATGTCCTCAGCGTCATACAAGATAATTCCTAGATTTCTATGATTTCAAATTTGTTACATTTCTGTACAGGTGAATTCTTGGTATGACAGCTATGATGTGTCATTTAGACAGTATCTATCCAATATGCTGACTTCAGTAGAGTCTTCTGACATATATTACATCAGACCAACTCCTCTAGATCAGAACGACATCCTCTTTGTCTCATTTATAGCAAGATCTTCATCTGCACGTAAACGTGAGTATACACTATATTTCTATGGATATGCAATCATCAATGAATTATCTTTATTGAAATACTTGATCTAAGTTACATAGTGATATAAAAGTGTTTAAATATTTCTGTAGATTTTTGTTGTTGTCTGTGTGTGTTTAAAGAAAACAAGCCCAACTTGGCCAAGACGGATATTATTCTGACAAGTAATGCTTGTAAAATGAAAATAGCACCCCATTAGGTGGTATGGTATTTTCATTCATCTTTGACAGGAAATTAATTTGGATTAGAAATTTGTGCATATGTACATGTTTGTTTGTAGTTGAGCTGTATTTTAAAGCAGAGTAAGCCTGGCACAGCTGATATTATAATCTGTTCCCTAGCCTGTTTGTGATGTTTATTGATGCTACAGATTGAATTTTGCTACACAATGCACTCATTATGATAAGTCATGCCACAGGCCATGGCATGGGATAGATGTCTATATCACTGGAGTCTGTTCACATACAATGTAACTACTGTAAAGTCGTTAGCCAAAGTTTAAATTAGTTCTCCCTGAGTTGATAAATACAAGTTTTGATACAACTATAAGGCACCACCCATATTAGCCTTCAAGTTCAAGATAAAACATATAGCAATGACAAATACCCAGAAAGAATAGACCAGTTCTGGTCATGCGTTTGCATTGTGAAAGAAACTTTTGTGGAATCGATCAGATAGGTTGATTATCTAGCAAGTATTGGTATGTACTGCAAGGTTCTGGAATCATCAAAATGATAAGAAATTTGGCCCAGTCTACAGTGTAGGTAAAGTTACAAGCACTGTACACAGAAAGATGTTTATGGGACTATGGCATATCTATCCAGTCTGGATAGATATAATAATTTACCAAAAAGATTAATTAGTACCGGCAACATTTGTATCATCACGTATTAGTCAAAACATATTCTTTCACATGATTGGTAATACAAGCTTCCATTTTTTTTTTTGAGAGGGGGCGTTTCCAAAACTGGTCTATACCTTTAAAATGTGCTTAAGTGCACCTGTATTCACTAAAATTGCTAGTGAAAGGATTCTCCAATTACTTGGGGAGCACAGTGAAAACAGAATTTATTAACCACTGACAAACAACCAAATAAACAAGCGTTTTACTTCCCTTGACTCTGTATGTCCTATCCCTGACCAATGAACCACAAAACGGGTTGGGTCTGAGATTGCCATACATGTATATATTAAGAACCTTTGTCAAACTCTGATGCTTTTCCCATTAGTCATGTGGGTTTGTTATAGAGGGAGGATCCCTTACCATGTATCTGATGGTGATACAATTGCCAGACTGTTGATGGGAAGCTTACTCTGAATTGAGCTGAGAGCTATTACGTTGCAGCATCCCACAGAGAAAAGACTAACGTATTCCTAGAAGTCCTAAAGTAATTAATATCCAAATTTCAAAAATCTTTCTTGCAATTCTTAGTAAGGCCTTTGTCCTATTCATGTTCGGAAATGCCTCATCTGACCTATATCTTACTAGCATCAGTTGTGAAGCAACTATCAAGTTCAGTATTTCCTAATGCTACATCTATCTCAAAATTGTTATGTATGTTTGTATTCTCCTTTTCAGAGATGTCCCAATGAAGGCCAATATCCATTTTACAGACACCTTTTATTGGGGTGTATTCGTTGGGATTCCCCACTGGTTTCTTATGCGTGTGAAATCTTTCAGTCTGATGTTGGTTTTCATCCGGTATAGAGAAGGAGCTCCTCAAATCCATGTACATTTTGATAAATTATGCTGTAATGATTCTGGTGGAATTCCCCAAGATTATTTTCAGAGGAAACAGTGATTACCAGGAAATTCTTTAGTCGGAAATTTTTATACTGGCAAGGCATAAATGCATTTGTATTTTGTATTCTTGCCTGGAGCTACCCCCTACCAAGTGGCAATGATATTGATAATGCCGTAAACCATCATCCTAGTAATGTTTCCCTTGATTTGATTAAATTATTCAGCTTCACCATTTCTCTTAGGTTCAGTGTTCCTAAATGTAAAAAGATATGTCAGGAATCCTCAGGAAATATGTACTGTGTTTGACCAATTAGGATAATGAGGAAATTCTAGACAAAGTTGGAACAATTACTTTACCATTGTTTTAAGAAAAGTATAAAAGGAATTAAAGCAATATTTCACAATGCCTATTTTTTTTCACACCCCTACACCTGCAAGCCGAAAAAAGTTTGCTCAAACTACAGTAGACAAGCATCTGTGTGTAGAAAATGAGTACGTAAGGGCCTACAATAAATGCCGTTTGGTAGCTCCTGTGTAATGGTGTCTCTCTGAGGAGGAGAAAATGAGATTGTAACAGAGAAGTGTTCTAAGATGGCATGAAGTTGTAGTAAAAAATTATTATAGATTTTTATGAGAAGCTCTAGAACAGTTCATCATGTATATGTACAAGCATGGACATATAAGAGACACTCGTATATACAGTATGGGCAGTTTTGAGCACATGATGAAGTATGCGTGAATCAAGAGGTTACAGGCCACTTACATCTCAGGGTTCACAGCCTGTTGTGGTTGAAAGAGGAGAGTCTACGCTTTGTTCCAAATCCTCCTTGTGGCTCATTATGCACAGCCAGGTGTCCCTTTACAGGGGCTAAATCGACTGACTCTTTCTCACAATGCTCTCTCGCTCTTTCACTCTCACTCCTGCTTTCTCCTGATCACTTTCTCTCTCTCTCTCTCTCTCTCTCTCTCTCTCTCTTTCTCCCTCTCTCTTTCTCCTTTTTAGTTTTGCATTTCAGGATGTTTTTATAAAGATATATATCAAATTACATATATTGTAGAATTCACCTCCTTTTTTCAGTTGTTGATTTAAGTCGCATCATGATTGTTTATTAATATATACAAAATGATCGTGTTATATTTAGTCTACAGCCGTACAGGAAGACTTGGGAAGACTTACCTACATGTATCTGACCAGCAAGAGGGAAGGTAGAATAAAGGAAGGAGGGAGAGAAAGAGAAGGGAAGATAAAGTGGGGGATTTAACAGGAAAATTATGAGACCCCACCCCCATAAAAGAAAGAAGAATTGTAACAATACTATATGAAACAAAGAACAAAGAGAAATTCTAAATGAAAGAACAGTGAAAGGTATTATTTATTATTAATATCAAGGGCAGGTTTGATTGAAAATGGGTATGAATTCATATGTAGGCCAAATTACTTAACTATGAATGGTTGATTGTATTTCTTCAAATATAGCACCTCATCAAGGTTGTTGAATACTGGATGCCTTCTGTATATGTTTCAAAGTAATATTATACCAGTGCCTGTATCCAGGCTGGGATACTAGGAATACAGTGATATATCTCACTGGGTCGTAAGGTGTAGGAGAAGAGTGCATTGTAGGTGAAGGGAGAGTTGATAAGATGAAAATTGACAGAGACCTTTACCCCAAGATACATTGTATTACAATTGATTGAGATTGCTTCAGATGCTATGTTGAGATGAATTGGACTGTACTCTACAATCTCTGTTTGAGCAAGACGCTGTGAAGATTAATCTAGGAGAATTCATTTAGGGTTTGGCAAAATTCAAAGTAGGCATTCATGTAGGGTCTGTATGTACTAGTAGCTTAGTCTTGGCTCGATGTATTTTGACGAAATCTGTTACCTCACTTTAAAATACCTTCTATCTAGCTATTAGGTAAACAAACACAAATGAGAGTATGATATATTGAGAAGTATTGTATATTCAATAAATATCATTTGTGTTTTCTGATTTTGAAATTACTCTATTTTGAATGAAATTGGCTGAATGTAATCTGTAAAATGGTTAGAAAGGAGAAAGGCAGAAAGGTACTATTACCAGATTAAGATTTTCATAAAGTAGCCTACAATCAACACAAATACATGTATGCAAAGAAAGTTAATCTTGTAGAACCAACCTCTTATCCTGCCAAATATTTGTAAATTTTGTTTGTGAACAAGATTATAATACAGACTTCCTGGTACTCTGTTCCATAGCATCAAACTGCAATGAAATGTTAATTGTATAAAAAGTGTAGAAAATACAAATTTGTCAAATGTAATTTTATTATATTAATAATCTACATGTAACTAAAGTTAATGGCTATGGAGATGCATCATTCGATACAATGCTACATCTGAAGCCTACATTGCTTCATTAATGAATGGCTAATGAAGGACTGGTTATTATTTTCCTTTTATAATTCTTTGACACATAACATCAATTATAATACAGACCCAATGGGTGGTAGGATTAATTATTCCCTATAGTTGGTGTTGGTTGGTCTCATTAGTGGTATACAGTACACGACTGAATGGTACCAACACAGTGTGATGATTGGGCTTTCATTCCATCGTTCAAGGAGTTGAGCAGTCAGACCATTTCAAATCAGAAATAGAAAGAAACTAACCCATGGCAGCATACATACATACACATATGTTCATTAAACCTAGTATGTACATGTAATATGTATAGTGAGAGACATCCTATCAGAAATCAACTATTTGAATATGGGATCTGTGAACGAGATGAAATATGCTATATGTAGTACATTATGTGCACTAAATTTTCTCAAATAGTTATAGTTGTAATAGAGTATGTGTTGAGACTAGGAATATTGTGATTTCATAAAGAGAATTGACCCTAAAAATTGGCATGAAATGACACAAAATTAGAGAAAGCATAAGAATTTTTGAATTTTTGCAAAATATGACTTCAAATATGGGGGTCGCCCTATGTTGGTATACATGTATGCAGGTCACTATTTGTAATGTCATATGGGGAAAACTTTCCAAATTATTTGTACCTAAATCACTTAAAAGTATTCCTTTCTCAATTTGCAGTATGGAACGGACATTTTACACTCCACAGGACTGTACAAAATATGTTGAAAGTAAAACATCTTAAAAAAATATAACATAGAAAATTAAATTTCCAGAACGAATGAGATGGGTAGCCAAAATAATGTTAAAAAGTACTTTGACTTTTATGGTTATTATTGCTAGTAATTGGATACTAAGGAGTTACCAGACCTCCTGATAGAGTGGGACTGGGCTTTGATTTAGAAGCAGTAGCAAACAGCAAATGCATCTGTCATCATCATCATCATCATCATCATGTCTGGCATTCCAAGAGCGGTGGTTGATTACCCTTTGGCTTGACATTGGGGATCTGATAAAATAATTAACCAGTACACTCTTGGCTCCTTCATTTGCTTCCAACCTTCAACTTATCGAAAATAATATCGTTAGTGATATTCGTTTGTCTTGCAATGTATGATGGTCAACAAGGGATCTAAAAGATCATTAAGTTTCATGAGCCACTGCAACACTTCGTCAGGTGATAAAATCTACAAATGTAATGTATAAAACACGCTTGCTTACATTAGATTTTATCACCTGACGAAGTGTTGCAGTGGCTCACGAAACGTTGTGATCTTTTTAGATCCCTTGTTGACCATACATTGCGAGACATTGCGAGACAAACGAATGTGACTAGCGATATTATATTTAATACTACATCCACAATGAGTAATATATTTAGCAATAGCATTAACCTTCATCTTCATTGCAAGCGGTCCTTATGTTTTGGTTTCTATTAGCTCAGACATGTACACGTATTTGCTTTTCTTTTTAATCAGTTTTTTATGCTAGGTTGACGGTATCTAGCATAAATGTGTCTTCAATATTTAGAGATCTCTTGGTTTTATTGCAATGTGCTTGATTTCATGAGCTGAGGAGCTCTACATATTATAGTCCTACATGATTCTTGATGTGCTATCATCTGCTGAGGGCCAGAAGGGTGTTAACTCAAACATTTTTGACAAAGTTAAAGGTACTATGTCCCATTTGCAGGCCAAAAAATGAAAAAGTTAAATTCCAACTGCATTTGAAAGATAATACTTATTTAGAACTTCCCTAAAAAAGGTGGGGCTTGAAAATGTCTTTAAGTGAGAAAATAATGACTATTAGTTGTCAAATCGACTATAGGGCTATAGAAAAGTAATAGTCTTGATTTTCAGACAATTGTACCGAATGGTCATACGTTTTATGTTGCACAAAGATTCAATCAGTTTAATCTTGGCCATCACAAGAAGTGGGTTATTGATGTAAACAAATGCTCATGTACCCTTTACAACTCTTTTCATGTATGTTATTATTAAAGAAGAAAAAAGCCAGTCAGTCGCTCAATAGTGTCTGACAGTGATGTCTAGCAAGTAAACAGGTTTCCTTGCATAATTTGAATATGAGGACACTGCTAACGTTTAAATTTCACAGATAGGAAATACATGACATATTCAAAATTCCTGCAAAGTTCTACAGAATTTGAGGTTGGCTGCAAAAGGGACATAGTACCTTTAATGCCCTTTTGGCTCTCAACAGAGGCTTTATGGTTTTAATAATGAAATCAGACGTTTAAAGGGCAATCCAAACCTTGTAACAAGTTCATTTGTATGAAAGTAGAAATAAGATTAACAGAATGGCGAAATTTGGATTCAAATTCAAATATTAAAGTTATGAATGTTTGAAATATGAGATCACTAAACGTCTAGGTGAATCTCAAATTGGCGGTTTTGTCAGTGGATCGTGACATAGTATCTCTCCTGTTTTTCAGTACAAAAATATTAGTTTCTGTGTTTCTCCCAAGTGCCTTCTCCCTTGAGGCACTACTCAAAATATATTATGGATAACATATCGCTATAGCTCCTCTAAAGAGAATTAGAGAATAGACCCTTGTGAGTAATACATTTTTGAAAAATTCAAATTTTAGTAACTATGTGTGTCGGAACAAATGGTAAAGTTGTCTGACACAACATCACAGAGACAGCCCACACATGTACCTACAGTGATTAAAACTGTCAAAAATTCATATCTTTGTCTGATTTCATTCAAACCTTCACCAGTCTACTTCTCTGATTTGTCTCCTTTCTTCTAGAGTAGTTTGCTATCAAGGTTTGATTTCCCTTTTAACTTCTGTGATTTTTCTTTCTCTTCCCTCTTCAGGTTCGACGAAGCCAGTTGTTCCTCTAGGTGATGTTCTTGGCGCATTGGACAATATTACTGCTTTTACAGAGGCAGTAAGTATAACATATACAGTGCCAGAAAAAACGAAACCGAGAATTAATTATGTTTTATCATAACTTAGTCGCATTTATAATTAATAAATGACACATATTTGGAAACCTGAGATCCTCCTCTTTCATTTGATGCAACTCATATGATGCATATTTCATGCATGAGTGATTAAAATGAATTTGAAGAGAGAAAACCAAAAAGTCATTTGGCGGACAGTATCTGAATTTCATAGAGAAAATCACATTTCTAGAAAGTTGAGTTCCTGCCCTTTCATATGACACCTCAATCAGGAAAACTGAGCAAGGAATGACAAAGTTCTGTTTGTTTAAAGTAGTGCTTGTATTTCCATGATTTTTTCAAACAAATTCGTTTTTACTGGCTGCCTGCCGTAGCAGCAAGCAGAATTGACAAAAGACTTAACTTTGTTTCGTTGACAATCAGCCATGCAATGCCAGTCAATATCAACATCATATTTTGTTTCTACTTGAAGTGTTTTAGAAGCACATTAAACAATACAACATCATTGACAAACATAAGCATTTCAAATGAATTATTTTGTATTTTATTATTTCTGTACTCTTTAAAAACAAATCATATATATTTCTTTCTATTTAATAATTATTTTTAGAAAAATATTTTATATATTATGAGACAAGAACTCAAGCAAACATCTAGAATACACAAAATAGGTAGTGTTATAGAGCAACGTTTGAAAACTTGTATGTTTTTGTAAATACATGTAGACATATATATGCAAAATAATGATTTTTTTAAAGTCAAATTTGTCTTGACATTTGATTGTGAAATGTCATGTGGAAATATGACCTTGCAAAAGTCTGATTTGTGCAAACTTGATATCAGAAGCCGTTGAAAGGTGGGGCATTTGCGCGGCACAGAAGGTTTAACAAATCTGTATTGTATGTGTATTGCATGTATGTTTCTTAGAATGATTTTAATTATATTTAGATTAAAAGTTTTTTTAAAGAGAAAGAGATAACTCATATCAATATGTCCTTATTTTCTTCCCTACAGCTTGGGATTCTTCCGTCACAAGCCCCATCCATCACCGCCGGACTTCCAGATTTCATTCTAGACACCCTACCAACATCACCAAGCTTTACCCTTCCAGTCGATGGAGATGATGATGATGAAGATACAACGGAAGAATCAACTCGCAAACCTCCACCAGAAATTGGTTTCCTAAGCAACCCTGGTCTCTTCATCTCGTTGGTAGTGATAGCTACAGTGAGTATCATCATCATCATTGTTGGTCTCATCTACCTGCTCTGTGATAGAAAACGAGGTAGGAGCGGTGAGTACATAACCAATCATACTCCGCGGAACAGCGACTTGGAGCTGGGATTCGACAATCCCGTCATGGCGGAGAACGATAAGAACGTGTCTAACGGCAACCACCTTTCAAGCATAAAGGGAGAGATGGAATCGGATATGATTGTGCCGTACGATAACTTTACTCAAGAAGAATTGATGAATTATGAGGTGGAAGACACTCATTTGTAAAAAAGATCAATTTCATGGCATCAGTTTAAAATATGGATTGGATGTTTGAGCAAAAATGATTTGTTATGATGCCCAAATGGCATTTTGAAGCAATGTGTGTTATGATGAGATGATAGTGTTTTAAAGCAATGTTTGTGTTTGAGTTTGCCATGATAATTATGTGCATTTCAACAACAACAAAATGTGCTGATAAAAGCAATTTTGATTTGTGGGTCCTTTAACTTTTGGGGTTATAAAACCATGTAAAAGAGATACATGTTGAAGTGCAGTGATCAAACATATTTGGAGGATTCTTGCTACATCCAAGTTTGCCTGGTACTAGCATTCAGTACTAGATCTTTTATTTAACAAGTTGTACTGTAAAGAAACCTCTCAACATTTGTGCTTCCTGTGAGATTGTAGTTGTAATACATTAAGTTTTGAGATATACTAACGAAACCCAAAAGGTTTTGGTTAACATGAAGTTTTCGAATACTTGACAATTATAAACATTTTCTCTCTGTGACGAAACTTGCCATTGAGATCAGCTTTAGTGAAATAGTCTCCTACTTGAATCTTGGTTGACCTGTTTGCTTGTTGTCCTATCTAACCTTGCAAGTGAAGAGTGTTATATAGTACAGATAAAATGTCAGATATCCAAAGATCATATTACTAGTTGTAAATAGGTAGGCAAAAAACGAATTTTGGCCTCTATTACTTCAATAGACTTCATGAAATAATATGAATACTGTACAATTAATCAGAGAGAGAGAAAGAGAGAGAGAGGGGCTGAGGCTACCAAAAGTTCTGTTATGCAATTTATACATTGTATTCTGTTAATAGTGTATTCATATCTGCTGTTTTCTTCCCTTTTAAATGATTATTATAACTATCTGATGATTCTGATCCCTGTTGACATAGAATCATAGTCAATGTTAGCCAAAACATTCTAAACGTACATGATCAGAGCGGCAGAGCCTGTGACCAGTCTGTTTTAAAGTGTTTTGCCGTATCATGTGTACATGTATACATGGACATGTACTTGTAAACACTGGCTTCTATCATCATCAGGCATTGGTGAAAAACTTGTGCAAAACTGTTTAAAGAGTTTACTTTGAGTGATAGCAGTACAATGATACTGTTCATGTATTCCTGGCTTGCCTGACTCCTACTCATTTTCCATGTATTATATTGTACTAGCATTCCTTATCAGAAGAAACTTCCATTATATCCATATGTACCGTATGTCACTGTAAATATAGCTTACTTGTGTAGTTTACTGTGTAAGTATTTACTCTTGTAGATATGTTGAATATTTTGAAAAAGTAAAATGGTACTACTTATCTTTAGATTTCATAAACAGTTGTGTATGATGACTCAATATAGCATTTACATTTGATCTGAAAAAAAAACATAGACTTGTAGTTTATCAATGTTTTAATCTTTTTTAAAACTATTTTTTGGCAAATGAGTGCAAATGTAAAGTTAAGAATTTGATAGGGCCTTGGACAAGTTTGTTTGTGGCCGGCCCACTTTTATTGTATGAAATAATGTAGTTATACTAATTTATTTTCTTTTTAAATATGTAAAGCAAAATTAAACCAAGATATATAAATAGTATAGGTAGGTACTTATGCTGCTATTAACATTTACTGTGTTACACCACACCACTGTTTTGATAGAAGCTCCATAAAAGAATGGGCAAAGTGTTTGATGACACTTTTCTTTTGTTCAGAACTTCAACTTTGTTATTACTCAAAGTTTAGAATTTCAGACCGAAGTATTTGTATCAAACAACAGTATTGTGTCTTGTGATCAAGATGGTATAAACAGTAAAGAGTAGAAAAGCTCCCAGCCTGTGATGTCATCCACAGTGTTATGTTTCATCCATTGTTATCCATGTTTATTGTTTAATTGTTGCATTTAAAAGAGTATGATGTGCATGCTAAACACAATTGTTCTGTGTTTTTAAATCTTCAAGTGCATGCATCCTCATTTTACCACAGGCATTACTGTCTAGTATGATATCTAAAAGTTGCCTTTTCATTTCAACGAATCGATACATCTCGCCAGCATTAAAAAGATAACAACACAGGAAAACATAGACTACTAATAATGAGTAGATTTTTTCTTCTTACTCTTTTTAATCTTTTTAAAAGGCATTAAACACCTTGCTACTACCTTGATTACAAAATATTTCTGAGTTGTGACATATTGTATTCATAGTCTGCATATGTGCCATGGAACTAATTTTAATCTTGCCCAATATTCATGGATAAATAGCATTGCAGTAATCTAAATCAATGTAGTAATGTACGGGAGATTGGTTGTGACTTGCATGAGATGTCCATTTTGTTACTTCTCCATACTTGGTTTACCCGTTTGTATTACCCCTGTGAAGTGAGCTTTTAGCCACAGTTTTGTTCTTGAGTGTTGCAATAGTTGATCTTACAAATGTATTCAACTCAGCTAGCCAAACTCTCTTGCCAAAATGACTGTGATAGAGTAGCAGCATAAGCTACAGTGTATGGCGAGCAATGATACTGGAAATCTCCTGATTTACTTAGAAAACACATTTGAATACATGTTTAAAATATGATAATGGAATAGAAATGTAGTCATTTTTGAGATGTTTTATCCTGTATGCTGAAGCGCTCCTATCATTCTCCAGTTTACTCTTATCTTATTTAAACAAATGTAAACCCAGTAGACTTCCTTGCAAAAATGGAACAAAATAGAAACACTCTTCATCTTCCTATATTGAATGTGTATGATCAATTAATGTTTGGTACTATAGTTCCCAAATGTTCATATTTAGATGATTTCAAGAAAGAAAGCCTAATATTGCCAAACCAGAAAGTGCCTAACTCTATCAGTATTTGTAACCAAATTGATGTTGACTTGCTGAGCTTTATTCTTGCTACGATTTATTATATAACCCTAAAGTTCTCTAATACCGGTATTCCAAGAGAAGAGATCGTTGTATAATCTTATGCTATGACCGACACTAATTGGTAAGAAAAAGTATACATTTATCTTGCAGTGAAGTTTTGATATACAGTGATATTTTATTGTTTTCTTAGATTTTTAGTTGATAAATGTGTACAGTATTCATTGCACCATGAACTTGCTGCTAATCTGAATTGTTAAAGAGGCTTATTGGAAATTAGTGTGCAAATGTGATTGATACTGGAAAACATAAAAGTAATGTTGTGTATTAAAATAAAAGGCAAAGCAATATTAAGGCTGATGAAGGTTTAAGGTTGTGCTGAATCCAAAGTTTGCAATGTGAGAGCAAAATGCTTTGTTATCTCATTAAGGTTTGTTTATGTATTGTCTTGGGACTTGTTTGAAAACATTTAGAGAAGAAAACAAAATTATCCCTTGGTTTTATGTTGAGGTATTAAAAAGCTTGTCATTGTTTCTTCTGTGTCATAATGTATAACATGATACTATTGCCATGAAATATTCCAGCTGAAAGTGGTATCTGTATGCCAACGCCAATACTCCTCCCTGTTTGAAGAGAAACACTTTTGAACAACATAAACATACATGTAGTCAGTACGTATCAAGGACAGTACTAACAGTATTAGAAGACAAAAACTTTTCATGTGATTTGAACAGGAGATGCTTGTACTGGTGATATTTTTGCACTTTATATCCTTTGGAAAATTCAACAATGCAACCATTTATGAAGATGCATGCTCAGAAAAAATGTCGCCAAATTTTGAAGATAGCCTCATGCCACGATATTGTTTTTGATGATGAAAAAAGCCGCCCATCACTTGGCTGCTTACCTATCATAATGTTACCATGGTGATAGGAACGAAAGGATAATTAATTTTGTTTGGTCTTTATAGACATTGAATGCAGTTTTCACTTTCAATTAAGTCTACCGGTAGTCCATAATCCAAAGTCAATCCATTTTCTTTTCTTAATCAATCAAATGTTATCATGTTTGTGATAATATGCTGAAAGCCTCAGTGTTTGTTTCTAAAGTGTAAAAAAGTTTTTTTATTTTATACATTTGTATCTAAAGTTGTGCTCTTGTTTTGTTTTAAGCTGTAACAAAGCTCAAAAGAATGAATGTACTTCAGTTGTATAGACTCTGTTCCAACTCGTTTGAATTCCGCATCGGTGCTCTTTATGTGTTTATAGCCTTCATGTAGTATTAAAGCACCTTGCCGTATTTTGTTATTATCATCAGTGACTGTTATAGCATTTTGGTAAGTTATGCACTTTGCTTTATAATAAAGATATCAGTGAATATGTGAAGATAATGTGTGAAATGTCATTGCTTTATGAGCTTAGATTCCTAGAATGATGAAAAACTACAAGATATGGGATCCTTTTCCACCACAAGAAGTTTTAAATGAGATGACATAGGTTAAATATAGACTATTGTAGCTGTGAAAAAGGTTTAGTTGTGACCGAAGCAAGTTTGTGTTGATGATGACTACTGGTTACATTATATTTTCCACCCCATTTGCTGTTCCGTCCGAGTGAGTACCTTGAGCATTTTAATAGATTCCGAGAAACAAAACTAAAAGTGAAATATAGCCGTTTGTTATTTACATGCCTTCTCGTAAAGTACTCTATATCAGTGTGCCTTCCATTGTTCATACCATGCAGAGGAGCATGCTACCTGTCTTGGTAAGAAATGTATATAATGCTATAAGATTTTTATTTTAATTTGATTCGACGAAGAGCAAGATGCAATTAATTTCAAGTTTCTGAAACAACAAAACCCCTCGGAAGTAAGGAGAAAAAATATAGAATATATAGTAGTTTAGTTTTATCATCGTTTTCAGTTTCATGTTCCTCTTTCATATCTCAATTAAGTAGTTTACTGGTTTTGATTTGCTCGCTGCTGACAAAATGCGTTATTCCCGGAACGACCAAATTGTGTTACCTTTCACGCTCCTCTGCTACAAACACACCGGAATCGTCTATTTTGACGTGTTTATCATGATCATATACATCCAGGCTACCATTATGTATAGACCTGTCGCCTTGGTTCAGTGAGTGATTTATGATCTAACCAAGTCATAAATCCTAACGAGGTTATTGTTAAGGATACTCGTTAAATACAAACTTCATTTTAAGTAGAAACTTGTCAAGTACAACCCTGATCTTTTTGCCTTGACACAAGATCCCATTATTGCAACACATGATATTCAAACCTTTGCTCCCAGAAGTGACTATAATCTTTGTTTTCATATCATCTGACATAATGCAGAAAATATGGAGCACCCGAGTTCACCTTTTCATCCAGTCATCTGTTTAATGGCATTCAACATTTATAAATCAAAATAATTACCAAAGGGGCAGAATTCGTCATTGTTTAGACAAAAACGGTTGCGAAGAGACTCCCCTCTCTCTCCTACATTATATGCAAGACTATAGTCCGCAGCGAAATACAAATTTCCAACGAACACCGAATATGTGACGGATTTGATATTCACTTTCGAAACCGGTAATAATTATGGCCTTTTGGAATATGTCAATTTCCCTCAGGAGCTTGCCCTGGGGTGGCGAACAGAATTTGTTTCTTCCGATCAAGTATTTATTTCTTCTCTTGAGCATTTTGATTTGCAGTCGGTCATTACCTGAATATGAGGGAATAGCTAGAATAGACATGAAAATATTTCGATAATGCAAACCATTCTCTAATTTGAACTTTCTGAGGGCATAATTTTATTAGCAGCATATTTTTCGATGATGGTTCTTGTAATTTATTATAAGAGAAAAACTAAAGGGGGGCGAGGAATATGATTCCGAGGATTGAATGTGTTTTGATTTGGGATTTTGAATTATTATGTTCTAACTGGTGATGGTGACGACGATTAATGTGATGATGATGAAGGTGATGATGGTGGTGGTGATGGTGGTGATGATGATGACGAGGAAGGTGAGGAGGAGGAGGAATTTAAGGGGAGGATCGGATGTAAAACGCGCAGATAATCTTTAGAAAATATATTATCATAAGTTGATGATGGGGATCATCGTAATCATCGTCACAATTCCAATATAAATGATACCGGTATTAAAAGAAAATAATCGCACTTCTGTTCCCAAATCGACAGCGCTCCATCGCAACAGCCTTCTGTCGAACATTAACTCCGAAACTTGGCCTTACTTTTAAAATCCAACATACTGTATCGCGTCGACAAACCCCAATACTCGATTTCAACCTGCAATTTATAAGACCAATATAAATACTGACCTAATGACAGACGAGGTAGTTAACATGTTAAGAGTTAAGAGCTGATGACCTGACCTTAATTGACCTCCCATGACCTCAGTAAGGTGACAGATGTCGTCTGCGTCTGGTGTGTGGTGGGATCGGATCAGGTATTTTTATGACGCACGAATCGGGGTCATGACCTCCTCGGTTCAAGGTGACCGGGGTGCGGCAGGCTATTTCCAGATTTACTCCTGTAAATGCCGCTTTGGACATCTGGAATGCAACCGATTCAGTCTACGAACAAGATAATTTTAGAATGTATGATTTCATCAAGAAACCCACATTGTTTCTTTCTTTTTAAACTTCATAATGCCCAGCAATCGCCAGTAACTTTGTCATAAATTATGTCCGGGGTAACTTTTGTACAAGTATGATCAACAAAGTGATGTTAAAATCAATCCGAATCTTGAATGTTCATTGAAACTATATATGACAGAAGTGCAAGTTCTCTACCTCTTTCGTAATCGTGATGAATATTTGTATAGACCTTTTAAGTACATTATCAGGAGAAAAAATGTATGTAAACGCATATAAGTTTTAAGTTCATGGTACTCGTATGCGCCAACTATAATGCACATGGTCAGCAAACGGTATTCTACTTGTTTTTTGGGGTTAAATCGATAATGATGACGATGTTGATAATGATGATGATGACGACGATGACGACGATGATGATGATGATGATTATGATGTTAATGATAATAATGATGATGATGATAATGAATATGATGGCGACGACGACGACGACGACGACGACGATGATGATGATGATGATAATGATGTTGATGATAATAATGATAATTATTATTATAATGATGATGCTAGTGATGATGATGACAATGATGAAATAGATATACTGATGATTGGGACAATATGCTGACCTCCTCTGGAACGAATTTGATCGCAGAAATTACAAGAGCAAAACATAACAACATAATTATAAAAGATGGCTGGCGAACACTAAACCCATGTTCCTCTAGACCTCTACCCATACACGGTACAAGACACACACACACACACACACACACGCACACGCACGCACACACACACTCAATTATTACACCCTCTGCAAGCATCGTCACAAAATCCTCGACAAGTGCCGACGGATCGTTACCATGGTAACCGAAACAGCCGCGACCTGAGTAGTAAAATCCGGTGAACTCGCCGCATTCCAGAGCTTGGCAACCCTAAACCCCACCCCCATACCGTCTGAATGATGGAAAGTGTGACGAGATGGATGGCTGAGACTTGATTTCAAATAGCTTCTAGAACTCAGCTCAGGTAGAATATGAAACAACTAGGGCACAGAGACATAATTCAACTCTTGAAAAATAAGGTGTCGTATTCCTTCACGAGACCAATACTTTTGTTGTAAAGTTGTTACCCTGTCTCTTCCTGTTTAGACATTAACAATGTGCAAGGAATGCAAAGCATCTCGCCTACTTGTGAAAACGTGTCCGATTATGGAATTTAAAGAGAATTTGTATTGTTTATGTTTTGTTTGTTTGTTTTATATTTATTTCTAGATTTCAAAAATATGGCGTACAGCCTATTTTAAAGACAACTGTTCTTCCATGATAAGATGCTTAGAAGTGACCGTTCACAAATACAAACAGGCAATAAAACAACTAAATCCACTATTAGTAATCGGAATATAGCATGCACATTGAATAATTATTTTGTGAATCCGATTTACACGGCTTAGACTATTTTTATCCGAGTCTGCAGACTTCTTAGAAAGAGGACACAATTTCCAAGATGGTATATTTTTTATTTGATCGGCAGTGGAATGTATATAACATTCATCTCTCCTCTCTACGTTTTCTTATTTCGCCTTTTCCTATTTCCCTAAGTTTGTTTGTATCTCATGTTTGTTCAGTGTATATTTCTTTATGTATTGGGGCCCATTAATCAAGCCTTGGCTTTTATATAGGAGCACCCTGACCATTTACACTGTATCAATAATGTTTATACACGCATGATTTGTATACTGTTTTTTAAAAATATTTTAAATGGTTTAATAAAACGAATTGAATTGAATTCTTTCTCGTTCCTTTGCATCTTTAAACATCATATCCTATCAGTATCAGGTTTAAATATTTCTCGATGACCAAATACTAGTTATTCGGGTAAACAGTTTACGTACAGACCGAGGACCAATATATTGTGACGGACACGGTTCGCCACCTTGGCTTGACACGGAATATTTTGTCAGGATGCCCCGTATCTGGCCAGGCGCTCTCCGTCCGTTTGGACAAAATATATGCCCGTAGCTTAATGGCTGGAGTTATTAACTGCTCACACGTATCTCAACAATCATTCGTCCATCGACTACAATCGGTCACCTAAACGTCTCGTTCGCAGCATCAATCAATTGAGCATCCTTCGAACAATCAATTTCCCTTGTCAACACTTGTCACAGGTTCTCGTCCCTTGGTTTCACTGCTCCAAGAAATCAAACCAATCATGATGTGTAGGTTGAAAGTCTTTATTGCGATCCATTCAACAATCGGGTAAACTCAGTACAAGTACAGTGCAAACTATGTGAGACTTAGCTTAGAGGCTTAGGCCAGGCCACCTATCAGGCCAACTATCAGGCCAGCCTCGGTGAGGCTGGCCTGTATCGGATACAGTGCAGTGGAAAGCCCTAGATGCACAACCCTGACCAACATAACAATTTCCCTGTACATAAACGTGTAAAAGAACAATTATGTCCTCGTTAGTAAAACAACACTTCAACACAATATTTCTGCTAATCCCATAAAATCTTCACATATAATCTTCAGTATAACTCCTTATTCCTGATTAGATCACTACTATACAAGTAATATCCCCAAAAGAAACATGATAATTGCACCAACATGATCAAAATATGTAATTTATGCTCATTTTCCTTCAGTTTGGTAATTGCTAAATCAACGATGCACCATATTGCTATAGCGCATGCTCGTACAACTTAACCTTCGTCCAATACTAAAACCCTGATTTGTTACAATATATCTCATTTATATATTACAAAATATCAGCT